AATCCACTGTTCTGGTTTGCTTCTCTCATAGCGCTCATCTTGTTTTGGCTTCTTTCTTTCTTTCTTTCTTCCTTCCTTTCTCTCTCTCTCTCTCTCTCTCTCTCTCTCTCTTTCTCTCTCTCAAGGCTAGTGCTCTACCCCTTGAGCCAACGTGTCACTTCCAGCTTTTTCTGACTAGTTTATTAGAGATGAGAGCCTCATGGACATTCCTGCCCAGCTTTGAACCATGATGCTCAGATCTAAGCCTACTGAGTAACTATGATTATAGGTGTGAGCCATTGGCATCGAGCTTCTTTCACTTTTTTAAAAATATAATTTTATTGTTCGTTTTAAGGTGTGGTATAGAGGGCTCACCATTTCACAAGCCAGGTAATGAGTCAATGTTTATTTTTGGACAATGTCACCCCTTCCTGCACTTTTTCCCCATTTCCCTCTCTCATCCCTGCCCACAAGTTGCGTAGTTCATTTTCCACACAGTGTCTACTGAGCACTGCCCCCATGTTTTATAGTTGTTCTGTGATTCATTGACAGCCCTCCGCGTTCCAGAATAACAGAGAACAGGGGGTGGGATGCAACGCAAAAGTTCTGTGACCAAAGCTAAATCCGTCCCAGTGGTACCCCAATCATGGCTGTTAAACTGAAATTGCTCAACAGAAGTAAATAGTCATCATTTGCAAACTAACTTGCTGAGATGAGCTGAGAACTGGTTGAAATGAAGTTATAAGTTTAATCCTCTTCTCCTAAGGGAGAAGACGTTTGGTGTATGCATGTGTGTGTGGTGTGTGTGTTGTGTGTGTGTGTGTGTGTGTGTGTGTGTGTGTGTGTGTGTGTGTGTTGGTAGTGGAGCTTGAACTCCAGATCTGAACACTGTCCCTTAACTTTTCGGTTAAGTCTGGCACTCTGCCACTTAACTACAAACTTCTGTCTTTTTGGTGGTTTATTAGAGATAAGTCTCACAGACTTTGCTGCCTGGGTTGGCTTCAAACCACAGTCCTCAGATCTCAGCCTCCTGAGTAGCTAGGAGTACAGGCATGAGCCACCAGCGCCCAGCTTGACTATTCATTCTAGAACTTTTCTTCTACTCTTTTGCTACTCTTGAAACCAAAACAATAATAATATGACAATAAAAAGTAAGTATGCATAGCTTACATCTTTACTATGTTTAAATTATTTGTTGAGGAAAAAGTATTGATGGCAAGACTTGCTACAAAGAAAATGACTGGCTTCTTTCCAAAACTCCATTTATAACTGAGAAATGCAAATGTACATGAGCTTTAATGGTCAAGAGTTCAGGTATATAACAGTGTTACATTTTCATTTTTTAACTCCTTCAAAACATATGGTTTAGTTAAGTAGGATTTATTTACGAGGCAGGAAAAAAAAAATCACATTCGATGACTCATGTCCTACCTACATTTTCCTGTTGGAACTTTTCCCCTAACAGATGAGAAATCTAATTTTATGTTGGATCAACCTACAATTTCATCCAGCGCTGTGGTTTGAAATAGGCATCTGGTGTTAGTTGTATAATCCAAATACTCTTCAAGGACAATGTGGTCATCTTACTCCTTTCATTAAAAAACAAAAATTGAGCCAGTCAGACACGGGTGGCTCATGCCTATAGTCCTAGCTACTCAGGAGGCTGATATTTGAGGATCAAAGTTCAAAGCCAGTCTTGGCAGGAAACTCTGTGAGACTCTCATCTCCAATAAACTCCTCAAAAACGCCAGAAGTGGCACTGTGGCTCAAGTGGTAGAGTGCTTGCCTTGAGCAAAAGAAGCTTAGGGATAAAGCCCAGGCCCTGAGTTCAAGCCCCAGGACCAGCAAAAAAATAAAATAATAATAATAAAATTGAGCAGTGCCAGTGGCTCATGCCTGTTATCCTAGCTACTTAAGAAGATCATGGTTCAAAATAAGCATAGGAAGGAAAGTCCATGGGACTCTTATCTCCAGTTAACCAGCGCATAGCTGGAAGTAGAGCTGTGGCTCAAGTGGTAGAGCAATAAACTTGAGCAAAAAAAAGCTCAGAGACAATGCCCAAGGCCCTGAGTTCATACTCCAGAATTTTTTTTGAAATGATGTAGGAAGTATTTAAAGGTCTTCCTTACTAATGAATGTGAGCCAGACTCTCATCCTGAATAACATGGAAGTTCTGAGAACCAAAAATGCAAAGAAAGGCTGACATGTAGTTCAGTGGGAAAGCACTTGCCTACCAACTACAATGTCCTGGGTTTGATCCCCAGTACCCAAAAAGAAAAGACAAAAAAATAAAATAAGTTTTAAAACATCCCCAAACTGCAAAGAAGGCAAAAGGGAATGAAGAACATAGCATTGTTGGCAGACAAAAAAAAAAAAAAAAAAAAAGGAAAAAAACCCCCAAAATCTAAAACAGGGTCTGAAACAGATGGTCTGTGATCATTTAGAAGTGTATGAGGTGATCATAAAGAGCCAGCATGGGTTCTGTATAAACAAATTTTGCCAGATAATCTAATATTCTAGCAAAATAGAGTTGTTTTTGCAAAACCAGTTTGCAAAGCTGATGTAATATACACAAGGGAACCTGAGAGCAAGAAAAAAAATTGTATTATTTAGCCTTAACAAAGCCTGTAGGTATTCTAATAATTTAATTTACTATGATTCTGCAAAGACAGGTCATTTACCAAGTGTTTACCAGGTCCTTACTTCATGTCTTGCATTGTGCTGAGTGTTCACATGCCCTCCAGAATATAATTCAATCTATAAATTAGAATTTACTTTTGTCAAAAGCTGGTGCCAGTGGTCACACCTGTAATTCTAGCTACTCAAAAGGCTGAGAGCTGAGGATCGAGGCTCCTGGTCAGCCTGGGAAAACAAATTTGAGAGACTCTTATCTCCAGTTATGCACTAAAAAGCCGGAAATGGAGTTGTGGCTTAAATGGCACAGTATCAGCCTTGAGCAACAATGTTCGGGCAGAACATGAGGCCCTAAATTCAAGTCCTAGTACGGCACACACAAAAATAAATACACAGGTTAGCCTCTATTTCTCTCCAACCTTTCTGTCTCTCTGTGTCTCTTTTCTACTTTCCCTTTTCCCTCCCTCTTTCCCTCTCCCCCTGAATAGGAAACAGAATTTACAGCTTCAGTTTAGAGATCACAACATGCATTCTAAACTGGGTGAGAATGCTGGAAGCTCACACCTGTAATCCCAGCAACCTAGGAGGCTGAGATTTGAGGAAGCCAGCTCAGGAAGAAAAGTCTGTGAGACTCTTATCTCAAATTAACCACAAGAAAAAAAGCCAAAAGTGGAGCTGTGAGTGAGTCAAGGTAGAGCACTAGCCTTGAGCCAAAAAGCTCAGGGACAGTGCTGAGGCCCTGAGTTCAAGCCCTAGGACCAGCATACGTGCATGCGTGCGCGTGCGCGCACGCACACACACACACACACACATAAGCCAGGACTACTTTTACACATATAGCTCTTCCCATGTTTTGCTATGAAAGTTCAGTTCAACATGAATCTTACTCCTGCCTGTGTGCTAGCTTTGGGCTGGTAGCCAAACTTTTGCATGCCTCTTTGCATTCATGAGCCCTGCTTCCTGTTGTGTGTTAGTTATAAGAAACTGAGTTTTTGTAAGCTTCTTTATTCTTTTTATTCTCTATAGTTGTGAGAGAGCAAGTAAGTAAATGAGGAAAGTTAAAGATCTTCACAGACAAAGTATCCGGGTGTAGTGTTGGGGGAGGGGAATACATTTGGGGTAAAATGGATTCATAGTTGCAAGAAACATCAGAGTAAAGTAATTTCTTCTGTGCCCCTCCCCAAAGAACAAATCCTTACACAGAAAAGAAAGATTGAACTAAGAATTTTCAAGCTGTCTTTGGACACACACTGAATATAAGCCTTGGCTCTACAATTCACTAGTTTTTACAAATTTGGGTAAATCTCTTTGTGAAACAGGCATAATAAATGGTGGTTTGTTGTAAGAAATGCACTACACCAGTGAGGGTGAGGGTTGCTGTCCACGGTCAATAAAGGAAAAGTATCTATCCTTGAGATAAATTGTGTGTGTGTGTGTGTGTGTGTGTGTGTGTGTGTGTGTGCGCATGGCTCAAGTGGTAGAGTGCCAGCCAAGCAAGCAAACTGAGCAAACAAAAGGCCCTGAGGTCAAGGCCTGGTACCAGACAAAAATTTTTTTGAGAAATAATAAATAAACATTAAATCAAGGCAGACGCTGGTGGCTTGGGTCCATAGTACTAACTACTCAGGAGGTTAAGATCTGGAGGATCACTGTTAGAAGCCAGCTGAGGCAGCAAAGTCTGTGAGATTCCATCTCTAATTAATCAGCAAAAAGCAGAGCTGAGGAAAAAGTTACACTGATCAAGATGCACTGTACTTATAAACTTATTTATTGAATTGAAACTTTCTATACAACGACTTCAAGATAATTTAACAACAAAAGAGCCAGGTGTCAGCGGCTCACGCCTGTAATCCTGACTACTCAGGAAGCTGAGGTCTGAGGATCTTGTTTCAAAGCCAGCCTGGGCAGGAGAGATGGTGACTCATCTCCAATTAACCAACAAAAACCAAAAATGGAGTTGGGGCTCAAGTGGCAGAGCGCTAAGCCTTGAGCAAAAAAAGCTCAGAGATAGCGCCCAGACCCTGAGTTCAAACCCCAGGAAGGCACAAAACAACAAGGAGAGAGAAGAGAGCGATTGGAGAGCGGGAAGACCCACAGCTTCCCTGTCTTCGTCTCGAATGTGTTTCTCCATTGATACCCTGAAATCTCCTAAAGAGCAAACACATCTCGGAATCACCATTCGCGCACCAGCGCCCGCGAGGTCCCAGCCCCGCGCTCATTGGCCCCGCCCACAGCACGCCCTCCAGACACGCCCCCGAGACAACGCCCCGCCCACCCCGGCCCATCCTCTCCCTTGCCCCGCTCCAGTCCCGCCCCTGGCCCACTGCCCCGCCCATCCTGGCCCCGTCGTTCCGCCACCGTCGCGCTTTAATGACATCACCTCCGGGGCCGCGGCGCGAACGGGACGCGCGTGGAGTCTTCCGCGGTTCCCGGTCCCGGGTTCTGGTCCCGGCGGGCGCCGTGACCGGACACCATGAAGGAAACGCCCCTGTCTAACTGTGAGCGCCGCTTCCTCCTGCGCGCCATCGAAGAGAAGAAGGTAGGAGGCCCTAGCGGGGCCGCGTGCCGCCGGGGCCGGCGCGGCCTCGGGCGCAGCCTGGGAAGCGGGCCGGGGCGGGGGTACGCTTCCAGCCCCCGCCCCGTACTTTGCGCTGTCGGTTTGTTGGTTTGGTTTATTTCTGCCGATCCTGGGCCTTGAACTCAGATCCTCCCCCTCTCCCTTGGCTTTTTCACTCAAGCCTGGCGCCAGAGCGCCAGTTGGTGATTAATTGGAGATAAAAGTGTCACGTACATTCCTGCCCGGCCGGGCTGCGAACCGAGAACTTCAGATCTTAGTGCCCTAACTGGGAATACAGGTGAGAGCCACCGGCGCCCGGCCGCCGGATTCTTTTCAAGCTTCCAAGCCATCGCAGCACCTCTCGATGCCCCGCGCCTGGCTTCCGCCGGCGCACCGGGGCCGTGTGGTTCGAGTGCCACAGACCGCGAGTGACTACACAAGAGTTGCTCAAAGAGTTGCCGAATAAATGAATGTTGGTTGTGTTTCCAGCGGCTGGATGGCAGACAAACCTACGATTACAGAAGCTTAAGGATCTCATTTGGGGCGGATTATGGGTGCTGTATCGTGGAGCTCGGGAAAACAAGGTAACAGGATTCTGTTTGTAAGAAGTCCACCCACAAAGTGCAAGAGTAATCTTGTTGACTGGGTTGTTGACAAAGCTGTTCAGAAGTCTGGACTGTCCTTCCAAGAATAAGTATATGTCCTTGATTGCAACACTTTTTGGTTTTGTAGCTACACTGTTTAATCACAAGCTCTGTGAATATCACTGTGGTTCTTTATGACATCTTTAAGTATGACATCCTTAACAATGTAGAGATTTTGACCACCTTCTCATTAACAGACTCCACTTTTTCTTTCTTTCGTGTGTGTGTGTGTGTGTGTGTGTGTGTGTGTGTGTGTGCATGCACTCATATTGATGTATGTACTCAGTTCCTGGGTGGTGTCCCTTAGCTTTTTCACTCAAGACTGGAACTACCACTTGAGCCACAGCTCCACTTCCAGCTTTTTGCTGTTTATTTGGAGATAAGAGGGATGAACTTTCCTGCCCTGGCTGGCTTCATACTTCAACCCCCAGATCTCAGCTTTCTGAGTAGCTAGGATTGCAGGTGTGTGTGAGCCACCAGTCCCCACCTTGCCTCCTTTTTTGAATGACTTTCAAGGGTCTTTCAAGCCATTAGATTGAACATATTACCCTCAGAATGAGATTGAAAATTGTTGTCTGTTTTATTACATCTTTTTTATTTGGAAAGGAAATATTCTTAGTTAACTGTGTTGTTCCTTTATCTTTGCAGAGTTCTTGGCCAGGTTTCCTGTGAACTTGTTTCTCCAAAACTCAACAGGCCAACAGAAGGTATTCTGTATTTTAATCTTGAACTTTCTCAAATGGCTGCTCCTGCATTTGAACCTGGCAGGTATTTAAATCTTTCTTAAGTTATTTTAGCCATAGAAAAACAACACATTTTAAGTTCATGACGTGTATCCATCCCTGTTTCATAGGCAGTCAGATCTGTTGGTGAAGTTGAATCGACTCCTGGAAAGATGTCTGAGAAATTCCAAGTGTATAGACACTGAATCACTCTGTGTCGTTGCTGGTGAAAAGGTGAGAAATCTCCCTAAAATTCTTAAACTGTGTGCATGTGTGCGTACATTGACAGTAACATGGGGCTGGAACTCAGGGCCTAGATGCTATCTGTCCTTAACTTTTTCACTTAAGGCTGGCACTCTACTACTTGGGCTATACCTCCACCCACTTCTTTTTGGTTAATTAAAGATAAGAATGGAATTCTATGCCTCCATCAGAAAGATTGACATCACCCATTTGTTAGGAAATGGAAAGACTCGGAAAAAATTATATTAAGTGAAGTAAGCCAGGCCCAAGAAACAAAGGTCCTATGGTTTCCCTTATTTGCAATAACTAGTACATATATAGGACAAGCAGAAAAGGCCAAAAGCTATGTACATATGACCATATAAGATGGTGTTAAACAAAGTGAACCCCAAGACAGGGACACAAATATCTTTTTTCTTTCTTGCTATTGTTTCTAACGTACTTATAATGTACCGTGTGAATAATGTACCATGTGATTTTTTTTCCAGATCCTCAAAGTATTTTATTTCTTTTTGTTTTTATTGTGAAAATATTGTACAGAGGGGTTACAATTACATAAGCAAGGTAATGAGTACATTTTTTATCAAGCATTGTTGCCTCCTCCTTTGTTTCCCCTTACCACCCTTTCCCATCTCCCCCACTCCCCGACCGCCCCCCCCCCTCCTACGCCAAAGTTGTAAAGTTCATTTTATGACATAATGTCTGGTACATCTCATTGTTGCAATGGGTCCACCTGTATTCCTATTTAAACAATTGGTTTTTTCCCTTCCCCTCTACAAATTATACCAACATCAAATACAGTGAAAGCAGGGGTTATACCGTAGGGGAGGGACATACAAAACAGCAAAGAAATCATCTTATAAATACATTAGAAACAATAGCAAGAAAGAAAAACCATGTGAGTCCTTATCTTGGGTTTCATTTCACCTAACATCAACTTATCTGACTGTTTCTGCTTGTTTCAGATATATACTAGTTATTGCAAATAAGGGAAACCATGGGCCCTATGTTTCTTTGGGTCTGGCTTACTTCACTTAATATAATTTTTTCCAAGTCTTTCCATTCCTAAAAAATGGGGCAATGATTTTTTGTATGTTCCTGCCCCACGGTATAACCCCTGTTTTCACTGTATTTGATGTCAGTGCCCTGCATCTTGTATATACACTTCTCTAATTCAGGGAGGGGAAGGGAAAAAACAAAATGCTTAAATAAAGATACAGGTTGACCCATTGTAACAATGAGAGGTACAAAACACTATGTTGAAAACGAACTTTACAACTTCGGCAAGGGGGGGGCTAGTTGTGGAGATGGGAGGGAAGAGATAGTAGAGGGGAAACAAAGGAGGAGGCAACAATGATCAATAGGAAATGTACTCATTACCTTGCTCATGTAACTAACCCCTATGTACAGCATTTTTACAAGAAGAAATGTACAAAAAAAAGGATCTCACTGAATAGGATCTTTAGATCTCAGTGTCTTGAGTAGTTAGGATTACAGGCACAAGCCACCGCTCCCCAGCAGAATTATGTTCTCCATGAGGGTATTTTTAAAGCATTTTTTTACTCTAGAGAAAGTTTGCTTCACTTCCACCTTCTTATTATATAAACTCTAAGAGTTTGAGATGTTATCAGACAGAATAAAAAACATACTAGGTTTGGAGTTAGAAAAATGTGTGAGTATAAGGTATTTTACTGTGGTCCAATAACTCAAATAGAAAGGTGAACTGATTGTATTTTAGATATTTACTTGGCTTAATTTTTTTTTTTTTTTTGATTGGTTGTGGGGCCTGAACTCTGGGCCTGGGCGCTGTCCCTCAGCTCTTCAGCTCAAGGCTAGCGCTCTACTACTTGAGCCACAACACCACTTCCGGCTGTTTCTGCTTATGTGGTGCTGAGGAATTGAACCCAGGGCCTCATGCATGTAAGGCAAGCACTCTAGCACTGACTGAGCCACCTTCCCAGCTCTTGGCTTTTTAATTTTCATTTATACTGATCAACTAGAAGGCTTCCTGTTTTCTCAGAAAACAGAAAAGTACTTAAATGCAGTGTCATTTTTCTTGCTAACTATCTAGTTGCTTTGCTCAGTTAGGATTTTTTTTTTTTGGGGGGGGGGGGGTCCTGTCATGGGGTCTGAACTCTGGGCCTGAGTGCTGTCCTTCAGCTCTTCAGCTCAAGGCTAGTGCTCTACCACTTGAGCCACAGTGCTACTTCCAGCTTTTTTCTTTTTGCTTATGTGGTGCTGAGGAATCAAGCCCAGGGCCTCAGGCATGCAAGGCAAGCGCTCTACCACTGAACCACCCTCCCAGCCCTCAGGATTTTTTAAATGTTTTTATATTTTTCATTCATTATTTTATGTATTACATTTATGTTTTTCAGGTCTGGCAAATACGTGTGGACCTACACTTACTAAATCATGATGGGAATATTATCGACGCTGCCAGCATTGCTGCCATTGTAGCCTTGTGTCACTTCCGAAGACCTGATGTCTCTGTGCAAGGAGATGAAGTAACCCTGGTAAGCGCCTGTGATCTGAACCAGGACCCTTCCACGTGTGAGTGGGCATCCTAGACAGCATAGACAACTAGCTGTCAGTGAAGTCTTGTTAGCCATGTAGGTTCTGGCTAGTTTCATAATACAAAAGCTATACAGCATCACATCTTCTAAGTTATCTTTATAGAAATGTCAAGAACATATCCCAGCATGAGAGCAATGACTACCAGAATAGAGCAGTGATTATCTCTTTGGATTGAATGTCACATCTAAAAAATAACTTGATTCCTAGCATAGTACCATTCTTACCCTGTAACAGCCATGCATTGTTTGAAAGGATGGAAGTTCTGTGGATTCCTGGGTCTCTCTGGGATTTTTTTTTTGGGGTCCGGTCGTGGGGCCTGAACTCTGGGCCTGGGCACTGTCCCTCAGCTCTTCAGCTCAAGGCTAGTGCTCTACCACTTGAGCCACAGTGCCACTTCCAGCTTTTTACTTTTTGCTTATGTGGTGCTGAGGAATCGAACCCAGGGCCTCATGCATGCAAGGCAAGCGCTCTGCCACTGAGCCACCTTCCCAGCCCATCTCCGGGATTTTTTTTCCCTTTGCATAACAAAGTAGTTGGTGGAGGACCATCAGAGTACCTAGAGGAGTTGTTAGGACATATTGCCAGGATGTAACTCCACAGGAACGCAGAGGGGGGGGGGGGGGGGGGGAATAAGACTTTCCATGTCTAACCTAGAGTTCTTAGATGGTACCTATGCTGCCAGTCCAGAAAGCACACTGAAAAGCATTGGTCTAGGGGTCTTTTTCTTTGTGCTGAGCAGGTCAGTTTTGATGTATGTAAATTGTGTGCCAGAGTATTAAAAGTTTGTAGATTTAGATACAGAAGAGATACTGTTTCTGTACCCAGAACAGAGATGAGAAACCTGTCTTCTGTCAAGGGCTGTTGGTATATGATACTATTGAAGGACCAAAAAATGATAAATACAGACAGAAGGCCATGGCCAGCTAAATAAGCATAGATATCTGTTCTGTCATGTACTAAATGCTTTTTGAGCTATGGAAGATGAAATTGGTATGGGAAGTAAATAAAAAAGTAGTGTGATTAGGGGCTGGGAAGGTGGCTCAGTGGTAGAGCACTTGCCTTGCATGCCTGAGGCCCTGAGCTCGATTCCTCAGCACCACATAAGCAAAAAGAAAAAAGCCGGAAGTGGCGCTATGGCTCAAGTGTTAGAGCACTAGCCTTGAGCTGAGGGACAGCGCCCAGGCCCAGAGTTCAGGCCCACGACTGGACCCCCACAAAAAAATAATAGTGTGATTAGAAGACTTTAGAAAGGAATAGAAAAATAATGTATTATTGCTGGTGGGAACATAAAAATAGTAGTTTTAGCCAGGCACTGGTGGCTCACGCCTGTAATCCTAGCTACTCAGGAGGCTGATGTCAAGGATCATGGTTCAGAGCCAGCTCAGGCAGGAAAGTCTGTGAGACTTATTTCCAATTAACCACTGGAAAACTGGAAGAGGCCCTGTGGCTCAAAGTGGTAGAGCACTAGTCTTGAGCAGAAGAGCTGATGACAACAGCTAAAAAATAGTACAATGTTGTTGGAAAAGTTTGGCAGTTTCTTAAAAAGCTAAGCACAGAGTGGTAGGGTGCTTGCCTAGCACGCGTGAAGCCCTAACGTTTGATTCCTCAGTACCACATAAACAGAAAAAGCCAGCAGTAAAGCTGTGGCTCAAGTGGTAGCGTACTACCTTGAGCAAAGACACTTAGGGACAGTGCCCAGCCCCTGAGTTCAAGCCCCAGAACTGGCCAAAAAAGAAGAAAAAAAAAAGCTAAGCATAAACTTTCTATATAAAAATAAAAAATAAAATCGAAGGAAAAAACACGGTACACATCTTTCAACACATTTTACTTTGTAATATTAAAATAAGTTATGGCTTATGACTAAGAAAATGAATTCCAGCAATTCTGTGCTGAGGGACCTAAGAAGGAAGGAGAGTGTGTACTCAGGTGTATTTGAAAGGGTTGTAGCATTAACAGTCAAAGCTGTCCAATGTCAGCTGGTAAGTGGATAAAAGAAGGATGTATTCACACACCTAGGCATGCTTACTTATATGTGCTACAAAGTGGAGGAGATATTAAGTTGAAAAAAGCTTGATACATAATAATGAGATCATTCAGCTGATTGATGTAGAATGTGCAGAAGAGGCCGATTAATGGAGGGGCCAAAGGTGGAAGTGAGAGTGCAGAGAGGCTTGGGAATTTGGGAGTCATGGAAATGTTACAAAATCCAGATGTAGCTGGGTGCCAGTGGCTCAGGCCTAACTACGTAGGAGGCTGAGATCTGAGGATTTGCAGTTCAAAGCCAGTCCAGGCAGGAAAGTCCATGAGACTCATATCTCCTACTAATCATTAAAAAGCCAGAGGTAGAGCTGTGTCTCAAATGGTAGAGCAGCAGCCATGAGTGAAAAAAAACAAGGAACAGTGTCTAGGTTCTGAGTTCAAACCCCAGTGCCAGCACAAAAATAGTAAGGATCTGATGTTGGTTGTGTACGTTTTCAGTCACTGGAATTGCTTGTGCTTACGATGGCTTCATTGCATGGGATGCAGAGTATACCTCAAAGATTTTGCACACAGTTTGAAAAGTAGCAGTGTCAAACAGGTAGTTGGAAAAAGATGTGATTCAGGTACTAAGGATTAAAAGAATTCACTTTTAGTTTCAGCTTTTGATTCTCAAGATGATAGATACTTTGATAAATTCCTAACTTGGTGACTAATTGGTGGTTATTTTCTTTTGCAACAGTACACACCTGAAGAGCGTGATCCAGTCCCTCTGAGCATCCACCACATGCCCATCTGTGTCAGCTTTGCCTTCTTCCAGCAGGGGTCAGTTTCCCCTTCTCCTGGCTGAAATTACAAAGGCAGCTGGGAACTTCAACGCTCTACACAGATGTGTCCTAGATGACTGGAATCCTCCTTTCCTATCACAGCATCTTACAGTTAGTTCTCTTTCTGAGAGCAATAGTTGACAGTTTTTAAAAACAGTAGTGATAAGAAGGCTCTACTTGATTATGCTTCCCAACATTTTCGTCTTATAGTGTACTTACCAGTTTATAAGTTGTGGCATGTGCTTCTTTTTCTGGAAATGTGCAGATTGTAAAAGATTAGGATGCTAGGCTTTAATTAGAGTAAGAAGGTGAGTGGGTCAATGAAGACTGGATTTGGAAAGGTATTGGGGGAGTGGTTCTAGGAGCAGGTTGTTGGGAAAATACTGCATAGATGGGCACGTGTGTCCTTAAATCTGCCAGCAGTTTCTCCACAATCTATTGCTAAGTCCTCTTCCAACAGAAACTCTAGCGTCTTGGAGGCCCATGTACTGGTGCTTTTATATGGAAGCTTAAGCCTTAAACCTTCAGAAACAAGGAGACATAAATAAGATCCTTTAACCATTTTGTGCATGAGAACAAAGATTTGTTTTAATCATTGTAGAGAATTTTATTAGAGGGAAATGGACCCGCATTATCTAATAGAAATAAAATGCAAGTTATATAAGTAATTTTATATTTTCTAGTAGTCATGTTAAAACAGTAAAGAGTTAAAAATGTTTTATAGATTTTGTTTGACCTAATAAGTTTTTATTTTACTATGTAATATCTTAAATTATTCAAGAGAGTTCTCTGTTCTTTGAAATCTACTATTTTGCATATGGACTCAGAAGCCATGTGCCTATCAGTTGGTGTATTGGGTGGTGTAGAAATGGGCATTAATGTGCCATTAGCAGAATCTAGAAGACCGTAGAATATGTCACATAGGGAAAATTGTAAAATAGTACCTAAGTTTTTATTGAAGTCATTTAACCAAAGACGTACTAAGATTGATATTATTTCATTAAATAAAATCTGTCTGAACTGGTTGTTATTTTACTGTAATTGCTAGAGATACCTGCTTAAGTATTCACTATGTTTATAAATGCAATTTTGAGTCTTCCCTGTGATTCAGATCCACAGGCCAAGATCTTTAGTGTTGGCTTCATTGATACTGTTTTTAAAACCCATTACCTTAAGAATGACAGGCTCTCCGCCCAAATTTGCTCAGGATGATATAATGTTCATTTCAGAACATACTTGTTGGTGGATCCCAATGAACGAGAAGAACGAGTAATGGATGGCCTGCTGGTGATCGCCATGAACAAGCATCGAGAAATCTGTACCATCCAGTCCAGTGGCGGGATAATGCTTCTTAAAGATCAAGTTAGTGCTTTGACCTATGTCCCTGTAAAATCTCTTTAGAAGCTTGTTTATTATATCACAACCACCAAAAGCCAACAAGGAGACTTTCCATGATTGATTCTGGGATGTGATGGAATCAGGTTTCAGTCTAATCATGACATCCTGTTGACTGGTAGCTGGGAAGAGTACTTCCCCCATTGCTACCCACATATCTGGCCCTCCAGGCTTAGCTTTTCTTCCAGTAAAGGAAAAGTTATATCCCCCTCCTTTAAAAATATAAATAGCTAAGTGCTGGTGACTCACACCTATATTCCTAGCTACTCAGGAGGCTAAGATCTAAGAATCATGGTTCAAAAGCCAACCCAGGTAGGAAAGTAGGAGAAAAAGATGGTTTTACTTTTAGAATTTAGAAGTGGTTCTTAAACACAATATATTGCAAATAGTATGAACAATAGGTGCTTAGTTCAAATTCAAGCTGGACATTGTGTTTGCTGCCTTTGGGCAGATGATTTTGTATTTTTGGACTTCAGTTAATCTAAAAAAGGGAATGAGATTACTGCCCATATCTTGTTAGGAGGTTGTAAAGATGGATAAATACATATATAAGTTACAGTGTATAACATACATTAAGTGTTGATAAGTGCTAGTTTCAGTTATCATGATTGGCACAAGTAAAATCACAACTACTGTCTCGATCCATTTCTGTGGATCACTCATGGAGAAGGAAGCAGATGTTTCTCAGAGCATACCTGTATGTCGTCTGTGGCCTCACCCACAGTATCAATCACACTGTTCCTTTAATGCACTACTCCTTTAAAAGTGATAAAATGACTCTTGTGTTTTAATTTACATTTAAAGTGTGTCATTTCATATTTGGAAATAAAAAGCTTGGATTATAAAGGTAGAAAAAAGAATTGATGTTTTAGGTTTTGATAGAGAAAGCCACTTGATTTGTGATACTTCACTTTTATAAACAGGTTTTGAGATGCAGCAAAATAGCTGGTGTGAAGGTAGCAGAAATTACAGAGCTCATACAGAAAGCTTTGGGGAATGATCAGAAAGTCAGGTAAGTTGGACTCCTCAGAATTAAATAGTCTTTTTACAGGACATTTAAGGGCTTTTCTTGCACATAGACAACTGTATTTTACACTTGTTCTTTTTTTTTTAGTCTCAGTTGAATATAGGAGTGTATTTTTTGAAAGTAGAGAGCAAGTGAGGTGTCACAGGCCTGGAATTCCAGCTGTTTGGGTGGTGAAGGCAGAAGGATCCTGAGTTCAAGGCCTACACATGTAGTTCGCAAGACTGTACCTCAAAAACTAAAATAAAGATAACAGGGCCAGGGAAGTGGTAGAACCTAGTCAGCACTAGTCTCTGAGTTCAATCCCAGTACTAAAAACATAGAAAAAGTAAATTGATTAGACCCCTTCAAATTTTACTCCAATTTTTCTATCTGATGGGAGGCCAGTGTTTACCTGGAACAGCTAATTTGAGGATTACAGACTATTCTGTCATCCTGATACAGTGGTTCATACCTGTAATCCTAGCTACTCAGAAGGCTGAGGTTAGGAAGATCAAAGTTCCAAGCCAGCCCAGGAACTCTGTGAGATGCATTTCAACAATAAGGAAAAGGCTAGATGCTGTAGTTTACACCTCTCATCCCAGTGAGTGCAAATAGGAGGATTGTGGTTTAAGGCTGGCCTGGGCAAAAAAGTGAAATTATTTGAAAAATAAAGCAAAAAGTGCTTAGGGTGTGGCTCAAGTGGTAGAGCACATGTCTAGCACATACAAGGCATGGAGTATAAACTTTAAATATTGCCAAAAGAAAAAAAATATGGGGATATACTTTAAACACATAGCTAGCAATGTATAGCACATAATAGCAATGTATAGCAACCTTTTACTAGTTATCTTGACAGCTGTCGTAAACTGGTAGGATTAAGGTAGTCATATGAATCAATTAGAGTAGTTTTCACCAGCAAAAGGATAAGATAGTAACTTCTTTCCTGCCTTTTCTATCATCTGTCATCTCCTCCCTGGCCCCTACCCAAAAACTGACAGGAAAGAAGGTGGAAAGTTTGGCTTTGCAGAATCTATAGCAAATCAAAGGATCACAGCTTTCAAAATGGAGCAGGCCCCTGTTGATACCTCTGAGGTGGAAGAGAAAGCCGATGAAATCATTGCTGAAGCTGAGCCTCCTCCAGAAGTGTATCTTTACTGGGTGGGTTTAATGGCAGCAGGACTCAGCTTTCCTCTCTCTCGTCTGCACAAACTGACATTGCATTCCTGGAATACTGTACTGTTAGAGACAAACTACAGTGGTGTCATACTAAGTTGATGGTTTAACATTCAGCTTCTTGAACTTTAGTAGCTCTAAAACCCAGACATTCTCCAAGACCCATTTTATGGCCTGAGATGTAATACGGTGATGGAACACTATCCCAGTGTATAGAATGTCTTTGGTTCCAGCGACCACCCAATTACAGCATTTTATTTTCCCTTGAAAATTTTGTACTTTAAGACTCATTTTAATATTGAAATTTGTACATTTAATACTGTTCACATTTGCTAAATTTCTTACAGCTAGAGTATCAGAAGCTTGATTCTTGGGTTTTTCTTACCATGATGGTGTCCATAATCTTGCCTGTTAAAAATTTTATCTTTCTTCATTATTCAGCCATCTGTATATTGTCTTTTTTTTGGCCAGTCCTAGGGCTTGAACCCAGGGCCTGAGCACTGTCCCTGAGCTTCTTTAGCTCAAGGCTACCACTCTGCCTACTTGAGCCACAGCACCACTTCTGGCCTTTCCTGAGCAACTGAACCCAGGGCTTCATACATGCTGGGCAAGCACTCACTCTACCACTAAGCTACATTCCCTGGTCTGTATACCATATTTCTTGCTGTTCAGTTTTCTTAACATGCTCAGTGTTTCTAAGCCTGTGCTCTGGACTCCTGGCACTGCCCAAATTGGAGAGGGAATAGAAAACTCGTGGGGTGCTCCTGAGGACTCTGAGAAAGAAGATGAGGACGAGGCTGGCAGTGATGAAGCTATCATTCTTGACGACATGAAAATGGACACTGCAGTGGATGTTGCTGGTATTGGAGGCCAGGGTAGGTGGTGCTACCAGGTTTTACCTCATCTCTAATATTTGTCATCTATAACCTCTTATCTAAGAGGTAAGTGTTATATATAATTATTTGCAAGTAATAGATCATGCACTACAAGATCTGTCTTCTTTGTAAACACCTACCTATACAGAGAATATAGATGGGCTACACATAGTGGTTTTGGAAGGGCTAACATTTTGTGGTTTAAATTTCAGGTAGGCACCAATGGCTCATGCCTATAATCCTAGCTACTTAGGAAGCTCAGATCTGAGAATTTCAGGCAAGTCAATGAGTCTTATATCCAATTAACTACCAAAAAAGCTGGAAGTGGAGCTGTGGCTCAACTAGAGTGCAAGTCTTTAGCCAAAAAGCTCAGGGACAGCACCCAGGTCCTGAGTTCAAGGCCCAGGACAGGCACTGGGAAAAAAAGAAAATCAACCAAATGACTAAAGCAAAGCTAACTGCAATGTTAACACCAATTCTAAGAGAATCTGATTTTTGTGAAATAACTGTACTTTTGTTATGTTTTTGGGTCCAGTCGTGGGCCTGAACTCTGGGCCTGGGCGCTGTCCCTCAGCTCTTCACCTTAAGGCTAGCGCTCTACCACTTGAGCCACAGTGCCACTTCCAGCTTTTTTTTTCTGCTTATGTGGTGCTGGAATCGAACCCAGGGCCTCATGCATGCAAGCGTTCTACCACTGAGCCACCTTCCCAGCCTGAAATAACTATACTTTGGTATGCAAACAATAGCAAAACTGTATTTTACATATAAACGTGAGCTAGTTTTAGGGAGATACTTTCCTGAAGATGTCCCATAAACTTGTAGTTTTAGGCTCTTACTACCCAGCAGAGCCTCTGCTAGGAGAATGATCTACGCCTAATGTGGATTTCCTAGGGAAATCTGTTTCATACTTTTATCTTTTTAGTGAAAACAATTAAATGATCAAGTATGACTATGAGAACACACAGAACTCCAGAAGTGCTTGCAGTAGCTAACTAGTTCTGCCTGGTTTTGCATTTTAACCACTGTACAACTGAATTAACTTCTACCTAGGGATAGTTTTACTTTGTGCTGGTCTTGGGGCTTGAACTCACAATGTGAGTGCTGTCCTTGGGCTTTTTGGCTCAGTGCTAGAATTCTTCCACTCGAATCTCAGCTCCACTTGCAACTTTTTGATAGTTTATTGGAGATAAGTCTGAGACTTTTCTGCCTGGGCTGGCTTTGAACCACCATCCTTAGATCTCAACATCCTGAGTAGCTAGGATTACAGTGTGAGCCACTGGCACCCAGTTCACATTTTTAGTTACTGTTCAAAAGATGAGCAAATATGAAGTACTTTTCAAAGAAAGTACAAATGGATTATTAACATTATCCGTGGTTAACCCTGGTAGAGATAAAACACAAAGACAATAAAATGATGGTATCTTTTTACTGCATGATTGAGAAGCATTCAAGTATCAGCATTGGCAAGAACGTGAAATAGGTTCTTCACTCTTGTGTGTGCGCGCCAGTCCTGGGCACTGTCCAAGGGGTTTTGCTCAAAGATAGTACAACCACTTATGCTATAGCTCCACTTCTGGTTTTTGGAGAGAAGAGTCTCACAGGCTTTCCCGCCCAGGCTGGCTTTGAACCACAATTCTCAGAGCTAAGCCTGCTGAGTAGCTACAGGCATATTTTTTGCTTGTTTCTGGAAAAATGTCTTAGAAAATGTGTCTTTGGTGGTACTGGGGTTTGAAGTGAGTGTCTTGTATTAAACAGCACTAGTTTGGATAGGATTTTGTGCTTTTCCAATGGGCCTCACTGTAATCATCCTCCCTTCACTGCTGGGATTTCAGGTTTGCGCCACTGTACCCACACCCTAAGTCATCTTAGGCTGTTTAAGTCATCTGACATACTGACTTAAAATCACTTTGCTAATTGGTTCTATAAAACATGCTAACACAAGGCTGATGCCTGAAAGCCCAGCTATTCCCAAGGCAGAGGGAGACTGGGCATGCAGGTCGTGGTTTAAACCAGCTGGCCCAGGTGAGGTTAGGGAGGCTTTGTCTCAGTCAAGTGTAGTGGCATGTACTGGCGGGACCCTGGCTGCACAGGAGGCTTGTGGTCTGAATCCGACAAGGTGAAAAACATGAGCCCTTACCTGAAAAAAACAAGCTAAAAACAGACTGGGGCATATTATGGCTCAAGTGGTAGAGCACCAGGCCTGATTTCAAAAAGATGGTATATAAATAGTATTCTCTGTACTACTATTATGGCACTTACTAAATGCACTGAGCATTTATGCCAGTAATAAAAAGAATCCTTAGGGAAAGTGTTGAAAGAAAGCTGGGCACCAATGGCTCACACCTGTAATCCAGGCTACTTAGGAAGCTGAGATCAGAGGACTGAGGTTCAAAGCCAGCCTGGACAAGAAAGTCCGTGACTCATCTCCAATTAACAACAAAAAAAGAAGTGGAGCTGGGGCTCAAATGGTAGATAATTTGCTACTCTTGAGCAAAAAAGCTCAAGGGACAGTGCCCAAGCCCCAAGTAAGCAACACACATACACAATTTTTATACAAGAGCTTCTTGAGAGGGAAAGATGTTAAAGAACAAGGTATGTCTGAAAGTGTCCAGCAAATAGTCACCTGGTGTGCAAACTTGAAGGTCACTCACATTACCTCTCTGCCATTTCTCAAAGCTGCTCCTATCGTCCTCTCCGATAGTGAAGAAGAAGAGAGGATCATTTTAGAACCAGACAAGAACCCAAAGAAAATAAGGTAACAGATCTCTGGTTTGTGTACACCAACTCTCTCAGGTCTGGGGGCCTGCCTTTGGCATGACGCTGTGCAGCAGCACCTCCTCACTGGCTTGCCAGTTTCTAATTCTGTAAGGTGGGACACTTTCCACCACTGCTATTTTACTCTCGCTGCTGCCACATTTTATATCCGACTGGGAAAACCAGAAAGTCTTCTGCCAGTGATCCAGAATTTAACAAGGACACTTGGTGAGCTGTTAATTTACTTTATTCACAGAACACAGACGGTCAGTGCAAAACAAGAGAAAGCACCCAGTAAAAATCCAGTGAGGAAGAGGAAAAAGAAGAGAGCGGCTAATTAGAGTTAACATGATTTAATGTATGTATATATAACTATTAAAAGGATATTTATTCCATGCTAACAATCTTGGGTATTTTTTATTCAAAAGTCCTTTAGAAAAGCTAGCAGTTTCTTTTCTTTTACATTATGCTTCAAATGAACATTTCTAGAGAACCTTATCTATTTCAGAGCTTCCCACCTGTAATCTTTTGAGTTTGTAAAGGTTGATGAGGAATAAGTTATTTAATAAGCTGCCACACTTCATGCAAAGAAAGAGCAAAGAGACAGACCAGGGCTGGGTCCAGAGCACACTTTTCCCAGTCAAAAGAAAGTGTGAGCAGTGCAGCAAATAGGCCCAATTATTTAGGATAAAGAATGTCAGAATTTGAGGGAGGGTCTGCTTTCCTAGAGAAGAGCTTTCCTTATATAATAAACCCTAAGCTAAGAGAGCATTTCTAAATGATATCCCCCAAAAGTCATGGTTTTACTTCAAATTAACCTTCACTTATGAAGGTTTCCAATTTATTCTTATATTGGCGGCTGGAGTCAATATTTACTAAAACCACTTAAAATTAGCTAATTATCTGAGATAGATACATGTACAAAAAGATATACAAATTAAAACCATTTAAAAATGATAGATACCATAATTTGTCCTTGGCCAAAACTTGTATGTTCAGAAATGATTGTGAAATTAAAACCTAAAATAAAAACTGTACACCATGTACTTGGAATGATTTACATTAGAAAGCAAGGCATCCTTCATAGTTACAGATTTAGTGTCTCGGGTGGGTTGAGGAGAGAAACCCCATGATACCTGAGGGTAGAAAAGAAATGGCTGTTAGTAATGAACATTCACTAGATAACAGAGATCATAAATAATAAATTTGCCAAAACCTCAAAATTGTTTCTATCTGCGAGTGAGTCCGATGATATTAGGATGTTTGATCCCCACATACAATGCCTCCCACTGAAATCAAGGGGCAGAGCTGTTTACTACAGCCCTCTGTGGACATAGGCTTCTCACTAGGCATTAACGGGACAAGCAGCGTCTCCTTGGTGGGCCTTACTTTGAGTTTCTGTACTTCTCTCGAATGGACTGCTGCGCATGCTGTGGTGCTCTGAGGTAGGTCTGGTGGAGGTCCAGGAGGCAAGGCCTGAGGCTTTCCAGGGTGTATCCAGTCTTTTGGACTAATGATTCCGGCTAAGGACAGAGAAGGGGGTTGATAGTCAAAGCAGCAATTTGTGTGTGTAACTTATCTTGAACACCTCCATTCCTCAGGCCACTATCCTGTCACTTTTACACCAACTCTCATCATTTACTGTCTGCAAGCAGCAGGTGATATGGCTCCAGAGTTTTCAAGCACACATTTCAGTCAAAGCAGATGTGCAAAATGAAAACTTGAATACGAACCCAGCTCCGTCCTGTGATGGTATAGAGTGCTAAGTGAAAGGCAGCTCCGGCAATAATTGACGGCAGGTACTTCAAGTACGGGTCCGCATCTATCAGACATAATTCTCCCAAAAACTGGAATGGAAAACCATTTAATCACAAGAGCTCTAGAATTCAAATCCATGCCAAGCAGGAGACTGCTCATAGCCTTATCCTCTTTTTCTTCCCTTGATAACTTTTTTTCTTGTGCTTGTCCTGGGGCTTGAACTCAGGGCCTGGGTCCCTGAGCTTTTGTGCTAAAAGCTGTGCTCTCCCACTTGAGCCACAGCTCCACTACTGGCTTTCTGGTGGTTCATTAGTTGAGTCTCAAGGACTTTCTTGCCAGGGCTGGCTTCAAACCATAAGTCTCAGATCTCAGCCTCTTTAGCAGCTAAACTTATACACATAAGCCACCAGCGCCCTGGTCCCTTAATAACTTAACTCTGCACACTACACTACCAGCTTCCTTTCAAAGAACTATTTGGTGCTTTTCAACAGCTGCCCTAGGAATCATGGACACCTAGACCCCTGCTTTTAGGGTTACTACCTCTCAATTACTCATTAATAAATGTTAATATATAACATGGCTGGAATGGCAGTTAATGTATATGCTCATACAGGTGCAACTATTTTTCCCATGTGTGTTTACAATCCCTGTGGTTGAATCCATGGGAAATAGAGGGCCAACTGTGGCTGTATCCTTTGCTAATGGTTAACTTTTCCCCATGCTGCAAATGGATTCCAGCCCTAAAACACTGGTTCTCCTGATCCTGAGCAAAGCTGCTCAGCGATGCTGGTGCTTTTCCCCCACAAGCAAAGTGAACTTACCATTGCTAAGCTTTCAACCTTGCTGTTTGCAGGCTGCAGGTGTAGGAAGTACTGTGTAAGAAACTGGTTTACTGTAGGTGCAGCCAGGTCAAAAGCAAGGACCTTCAAAACCAGGTGCTCCATTCTCAGAACCTGTTTCTTAGAATAGGTATCATCTGTAATGTACACAAACTCGCCTACTTCTGGGGGGTATATTTCTTCAAACTTTCTAAAATGAAAAAAGTTCAAAATTGTAAGTCCTAACAAAAGAGAAGCAAGCTTCTCAATTCAAATCTGAAATTCCATTAGCAAAATAAAGCCACTCTCCACCAACTGCAATTCCTCTGTCCCCTGCCCGACCAGCCTTTCTGCTCCACCGCTCAGCAATGAAGGACTGTCATGTAGTCAGAGATGAAGGAGGGCGTGACACAGCCCACCCAAGAGGGGAGCTGTGCCAGTGCTCAGCGAACAGCTGAAGATGGAAGAAACTCTGTTTGGGTTTTTATGCTTCATTTTCACATCTTAGTGGAGAGAAGGCAAAGATACAGATTGTTTGCCAGTAAGCCCTGCATGGAAGAAACTACACCCAGAAATTCAGTGCCAGTGTACTTCTGTAGCCAGTTTTCAAGTTCACAAACCACACCATAGACCCTATGCAAGAGCTAAGAAAATTAGCATTATAGATTCAAAAGCCATTTTGTCCTCCTCCACTTCTATTAACCCCACATACCACAGTGTCACCCCTAATGTAGTGTCTACCCTGTGGAATGCATTAAATTAAAATGTTACAGTTGGAAAATTCCAATTTCCTGAAGTCACATAAACCCAGCAGGACTTACGAGGCAAGCAGCATGGCGGCAGTACCCACGAGCTGGAGCTTTCCTCTCAGCACAGACATGGAGGACAGAAAGCGGTCAATGTAGTTCACAGCCAGGTGCAGGGTCTCGTTCTGCAGCTTGTACTCCTCCCCCACTTCTACCAGCCAGTCCACCAGGATGGCCCTCATACTGTTGGTGATGTCAGGCTGCTTCTTCATGTAACCCACTTTAGGTTTACATTTAACCTATCGGGAGGGAGGTTTATAGAAGGCTAGCGATGAAGGCTCACGCCTGTAATCCTAGCTACCCAGGAGGCTGAGATTTAAGGATTGCAGTTTGAACCCAACACAGGCAGGAAGTCAGTGAGATTATCACCAGTAGACCACCATAAAGCTCAAAGTGGAGCTGTGACCCAAGTGGTAGACCGCTAGCCTTGAGCACAAAAGCTAAGGGACAGCACCCAGGCTCTGACTTCAAGCCCCAGGACAGGTAACAACCCTGTCCCCTGCCCCTCAGATAAAGAAAATTGCAACAAGGATTATTTTATCATTAGCTGAATTGCTACAAATAGAAAGTCAAACATTGCACCAGGGTAATTCACTAGTAATTAAATGTTTAAGCTTTAGTCTCTCCATTCCAATCTGCCCCAGTGAGTGTACCCTGCAGGCAGGTTTCAAGTCTTACCTCCATCTCCCTGAGGTATGCATGGATGTCTGCGTGGTACTCTGGCACTTCATTCACACTCACTGGCTTCTCATCTTCTAGCACAATTGATATGTCCATAGCATGTGGTGACTCTGGAACCATCCAAAGACAGATTGGTTTTCTACTTGGTTCCTTATGGGAATCTACTACTACTAAAGCATTTTATCTAATTAAAATGAACATATTGTGTTAAAGTACATAGACTATTTTAACTCAGATCTGTCTATATATAACTGCAATAATTTTAATCAATGAGAAAAAAAATCCTGAAAGGCTACTCATAGGATTCAGTATTATGTAAAAGTATCATTCATCTTCCACGGGATAGGAGTAGATGGTGCAATGATCTGGTACTTAAAATTCAAGTTGATAAAATGAGGTTTGCAGTAGGAATTACAAACCCTACCACAGGGCTGACGGATGCAAAGCACAGCTGGGCAACAGCTAGGATCCATCAAATGGTTTCAAATAATTTATTGCTAAAGAAATTGGTTTGAATTGGGCAACTCAAACAGATTAGCACAACACTCAAGTGATTCAAGTGTTTTTTTCTTTATGCTGGTCCTGGGGTTTGAATTCAGGGCCTGGACACTCTCCCTGAACTTTTGTGCTCAAGACTAGCATAGCACTCTTACCACTTGAACTGCAGCTCCACTTCTGTTTTTTTTTGAGTCTCACACACTTTCCCACCTGGACTGGCTTTGAACTGTGATCCTCAGATCTCAGCATCCTGAGTAGCTAGGATTACAGATGTAAGTCACCAATGCCTGGCTTATAAATTATCTTTAAAAAAAAAAAATCTCTTGTTGGTCCTGGGGCTTGAACTTAGGCCCTAGGTGCTGCCCCTGAGCATCTTTGGCTTAAGGGTAACGCTCTACTACTTTAGGCACAGTGCTTTTTTTTTTTTTTTCCTGAGTAATTTGCTGGAGATATGAGTCTCATGGACTTTCTTGCCCAAGCTGGCTTCAGATCTCACCTTCCTGAGTAGCTAGGATTACAGGAACGAGCCACTAGTGCCTGGCTAAATTATCTTTTAAGGCAAAGAATATCCCTACTTTTTTTGACCAAAGATTCCTTTGAGGTTAAATTTTGGTTGCACATTTTATGTCCAAAGGAATTTCCCAAACACCCCTCTGCCCAATCAATAGAACTAAAATGGATACATGCAGCTGTCCAATGTCACCCTTTGGTAAATAAACAATACAACGTGTAAGCAGAATTGCCTACAGCAGCCACAATGAGTTAAGACAGTGTCACTTTATAGTATATAACTACTAGTTTTACAGAAAGAGGTGTCAGGCATCACCATTTTTAAGACTATCCTCAAACAAGTCTAAAGCGGGATACAAGAAGTGAGCATGAAAGCCAGGCTTTGGTGGCTCAGGCCTAGCTACTCAAGAGGCTGATCTGAGATTCCAAAGCCAGCCAAAGCAGGAAAGTTCCTGAGAGCAAAAAGCCAGATGTGGAGCTGTGCCTCAAGTGCTACAGATCCAATCTTGAACAAAAATGCTCAGGGAAAGGGCCCTGTCTTCAAGCTCCAGGACAGGTGTGCATGTGTGCGTGCGTGCGTGCATGGGCGCGCGCGCACACACACACACACACACACACACAAGCTCACAATATTTCAGATTACTATCTTAAAACAGGATTCTCTGAAATATACTATTAAAGCCAAGTGTTGGTGGCTTGAGTATGTATCCTAGTACTTAGGAGGCTGAGATCTGGTAACCTTTTAAAGCCAGCCAAGGCAAGTGTTTTGAGGATACATGTATTAACTACCAAAAAGCTGGGCAGAAGGTATGACTCAAATGGCACCAACTATGATCGAAAAAGAAAGCCAAGGGAGAGTTCAAGAACCCTAAAGAACCCCAGTACCAGCAAACATATACACGCAAAAAGTATTATAACTACAACAAATCTACTCTCCCAACCAAATAAACATCTACGAATCAGCCTAAATAGGCACTAGAACTTAATGAAGTTGATGTAATTGATAGTCTCACATGGAGTGGGCAGTAAAATCAACAGGAGTTGAGATAAACCACACCCTTTCTTAAACCTGTTATAGTAAACCTTAAAATACCCAATCCCATTAACCCAATAGAGTAACCACAAGTCTGAATTGATAAAGATCTTTAGAACGTACCAAAACTACCATCCATTGGAAAATCAAGAGGTACCAGAGGTTTTCGTGTGCCAGACAAAGCAATGGCTGTATTAAAAGCCAGCACATCTTCGCACTCCGTGGCTTTGGGTTCGGGTGGCGGCTTCTGAGATTCTGCAGGGGCTTCGTCCACATGAATAGTGAAGGCGGGCTGTTTACTGTTAGCCTTCCAAGGAGGAAGAGCGCTGACAGGCTCATCATTTATCGGCAGGTCCTTTAGGGGTGCAGCCTAAACAGAAGTAAATGACTGGCTTTGAGCTTATGAAAAGGAGTTATGCTCCCTCCCCACCTTGCTTTTACTCCCATATATTGTTCAGAAAAACAGCTTTCTGAAGCAAAAAGTACTCATGGATAAGAAAGCATGTCTCAATTTGTCAGACATTCCTATAGGCAAACTCTACAAGCAGTACTGGAATTACAAAATAATGGAGGTTAAGAAGCATGGTGTGTGTGTGTGGGGGGGGGGGAAATGGGGGGGGGGGGTCCGGCCAGTAGATACGGGACGAATTGGCAAAAAAAGAAACGTGTGGATTCGCACTCTTCACCCTAGGGCGGAGCAGCAGAGCAAACCGCGCGAAAATGGCGGATTTCACCAAATGCAAAGCTTTTTTTTTTTTTAATAAAACCCTTCGCTAGTAGTTTAAGTCAGTCACTTAAGCAGATGACGAGTAGGGGAGATCTGGGTCCTTGGCGGTGCCTGGCGCTGGAAAGTAGAAGGAACTCTCGCAGAGGGCCAAGACGACGCTCCAGCACCGCAGACGGGCAGCACAGCCGTGTTGGCTGGGGATAAGGAAAGGCGCTACCAGTCACATCCTACAGGCCAAAGCCCCCGACCCAGAACCCGGTCCCGAGAGCCCCTCGTCCTGCTCGGCCCCCAGTGCACAGGCTGTGGCCCGCCGTGCTCACCCGTCGTGTCTTGGGCCTCGGCGGCCCCGCCGCCCGCGCAGGGCCGGCTTTGAGCACCGCGGGCGCGGCCTGGCTCCGCGGCTGCGGGGCGGGCGCTGCCTTCTCCGGATTGATGTTCTCCTGGTCCTCCTGGGAAGCCGTCTGCGGCAAGGTCAGCAGGGCCGAGCCCGCGTTGCGGGCCGCGGCCCTCGGTGCCGATCGGCCCAGCATCTCGACACCCGCGGGCGAGCGGGATCGTCAGCCGCGCCGAGCCCCGTGCGCTCCGCCCCGCAGACGCAACGCTGCAGTCCTGGCGCTCGCCGCAGGCCCAGCCAGCCTGCCGCCCGTGTGCTCGCCCGGCTGGGGCCCGTGCGGGACCGCGGAGGCCGTGAAACGTGCGGGCAGACGCTGCGGGGCGCGGAGACGCAGAGACGCCCCGCGATGCAGCTAGCAGCCCGCCGGAGCGGCGGCTGTTCGAGCAGTTCAAGTATCCCGCGACTATTGAAATGGGCCAATGACAGCGGCCCGGGTCCGTGACGTCATCGGGGCGACGGGACGGCGGGCCTGGGAGGCCGCGAGGGGGCGGGACGGACCCGAGCCAGACGGGAGGGAAAGGGCGGGGAGACGCGGGCGCCGACTTCTCGCGGTTTTTAAATTGAGCCAATGGCGATCGCTGCCAGGGTGGCAGGCAGTGACTCGGCCTGGTTTGACCCATTTCATTCTCTGTGCGTCGGCCTCGGAGAGCTGGAGAAACTCCTGGACAGCCCGCAGGTGGACTGGCTTGCTCTCCAGAGTTCCATGAACTCCTGGCCGGATGACTCCTCGCAACGCTGTGGCTGTGCGCGCGCGCACGCCGGGCTGGGCGCTGTCCCTGAGCTGCTGTGCTCCAGAGTGGTGCTCCGCCGCAGAGCCACAGCTCCACTTTCGACTTTTTGGTGGTTAATTGGGGATAGTCTCATGGATTTTTCGGCCCCGGTTGGCTTCGAACTGCAACCCTTCGAGCTGCAAAGGCCTTGGACTCAATCCCCAGCGTGTGTGTGTGTGTGTGTGTGTGTATCTTCCTCTATAGCTAGGATATCGGGCGTGAGCCACTGGTGCCCACCCAATTCTGTTCTCTGGTCTGTTAATCAGGTGGTTGCTGGGAATAATGTACATAACTGATTTGATACGCTGCTCACATTCGCAAGTAGCAACTGTTTACTTAGAAGACAATGTGTGTCTTAGGCTTTTTGTGTGTATGGTGTTGGTTTAGCACATACTAAACACTAGCACCAAGCTACATTACAGGGTTATGCCTTTTCTCTTTTTCTAATGAAGATAGCAATTTAAGATGCCACCTTAAACTACTATTAATATATTAACAATATATCACTAGACATGGGTCTAGTAATAGAGCAATTGGCACAAGGGTCTGAGTTTAAATCCCAGGATCATCAAAAACAATATAGTCTACATTAAGTTAAACAGTCATTACTTTTCTCTTTTTCTCTTAGCTGTGGCAGCTAACAAAAGGTACACAGTGAAAGCCAGGTGTTGGTGGCTTACTACACCTGTAGTCCTAGCTACTCGGGTGGCTGAGATCTGATGATGCCAGTCTGAGCAGGAGAGTCCAAGAGACTTATCTCCAATTAACCACCAAGTAAAGCCAGAAGTGGAGCTGTGGCTCGACTGATAGAACTCCAGCCTGGGATAAAAAAGCTAAGAGAAAGCAGCACCCAAGACCTGATTCAAGCCCTTGAACCAGCACACACACAAGTACACACTGAATCTAGGAAAGAATGGTGGTTAATATAATGAAAACAAGGCTTCGTGCTTTTGTGAAAAAGGCCTCAGACTCAATCCCCAGAAACTCTTTTGCAAATAAATATGACCATATCAAAATAAAAGTCAACTATATGTGCCTTTAATTTTTTTAATTTAACATTCAATTACATTAATATTAACATACATACAAAAATATAACATAATTAAGAATCATTGGTCTCTGAAAAAGGAATGAGTCTACTTTTCTTGAATAGAAAGAATAGCATATTTTCCGTTATCCTTAAGCCATTAAAAGCCTAATTTCCCCGAAAATGAATAAATAAGAAATTGATGAATACAACTTCTATAGCTCCAAAGTCTGATTGTCTTTCTTATGTAATGACAAGGAAGCCAGTAGATACTTAGATGAAGAAAAATCTCAGGAGCCAGCATAGTCACTTGTATAATCCATGCTGTCAGAGAAAGTTCTTTGGCTACGTGACATAGCACTAAAGCTGGGTCAAGCATTTCACAAACTTCAGCAGAGTCACAAAATGTCACTAAGCAGACAAATTCCAACTCCTAAGGGGAAAAAATTGCAAGATTATTTCCAGGGGTTGATGACATAAGTATTCAGGATACTAACACTGGTCTCTGGTTCCAGCTTTCTAAAATATTAGCATAACATGTCTTCTTAATCACATTAACTTTAATGAGAATCACTTTTCTTACATAATTAGACAAACTTACAGAACAGTTGTGAAGATTAAATAAGGTAATCTGTAAACTCAAAACCATTTTAAAAACTGGGTACTGGAGATCATGCATGAATCCTAGACACTCAGGAGGCTGAGATCAAAGGATCTCAGTTTGAATCCAGCCTGGGAAGAAAAGTCTTCAAGACACTATCTCCAGATAACCACTGAAAAACAGGGTTCAAGAGGCAGAACACCAGCCATAAAGAAAGATTAGGAAGAACAGGAGGTTCTGAGTTCAATTCTCCCCAGAAATATCCCCCAAATTTTATTTTAAATCTGCAGTTTACACATTGATGTATATCTTATGAAAACTGGACATATTATTCCTATTTTCTAAATATTATCTCTGTATAAATTAAAGTATCCATTTGCCATAATATCTCTTATAATCATTCCATTCATTTAAAAAATTAAGGTTCTCTTTAAAGTTATATCTGTCAAAAGAAACAGAATCCGAGAAGTAGAAGTATGGCTCAAGTGGTAGAGTACCCTAGTTTAAACTCTAGTACTACCAAAAAAGAGGGGGGGGGGGGACAGCTTTAAAGTCCTTATACCTCAACTTTAAAAAAGTTTATTTTTGTGACAGGGTCTCACTGTGTTATTTTAGGTTGGCCTCAACTGGCTAGGTAATTCAAGCTTTCCAACTGCTAAGATTATAGATGTATACTACCAGGATCCACATCAAGTATTTAAAAAAAAATTTTTTTTTTTGGTCAGTCTTGAGGCCTGAACTCTGAGCCTGGGCACTGTCCCTTAGCATTTCAGTTCAAGAGTAGCACTCTACCACTTGCGCCACAGCACCACTTCTGGCTTTTTCTGCTTATGTGATGCTGAGGAATCAAACCCAGGGCTTCATGCATGCAAGGTAAGCATACTACCACTGAGCCACCTTCCCAGCCCAGCAATAAGTATTTTTACACATTAAAAGTTACCTTGTAATTCTGCAGATCCTAAACATCTTCTTGTTGAACTGATCACACTATGGGACCTTACCTTATGCATCTTTTAAGCTGAGTCAAAGAAAGAAACCAGTGCATTCTGATCGTAACTATCAAGAATTTCCAGCAGAAGAGGTACTTTGCTTTTCACATTAGTTCCTTTGAACTTAAATTTGTCTATGAAAAGATCAGTGATCATACCTATAAAGAAAAAAAAATAGTTCTTTTCATTAATTCCTTTAATGACATACTATTTAGTGCAAGTAATTCCTTGACAATCAATTCTGAAATCAGAATACTTGACAATCAGTCTGAAATTCCTTTAAGATACACAAACCTAAAAGTATCTTGCTTTAGAAATATCTGTGAGGGATTTTAAGGCAAGTTTCAAGATAATATTTAACTAATGACTGGATATAAGCCATTAATTCAGATAACAACTGGTTACAAGCCATTAATTCACACTGGTTATTTATTTATTTATTTATTTTTGGGTCCGGTCGTGGGGCCTGAACTCTGGGCCTGGGCGCTGTCCCTCAGCTCTTCAGCTCAAGGCTAGAGCTCTAGCACTTGAGCTACAGCGCCACTTCCGGCTTTTTTCTTTTTGCTTATGTGGTGCTGAGGAATCGAACCTAGGGCCTTGAGCATGCAAGGCAAACGCTCTACCACTGAGCCACCTTCCCAGCCCCAGCTTTAGGTTATTTTTTTTTTTTTTTTGGGTCTGGTCATGGGGCCTGAACTCTGGGCCTGGGCGCTGTCCCTTAGCTCTTCAGCTCAAGGCTAGTGCCCTACCACTTGAGCCACAGCGCCACTTCCGGCTTTTTTCTTTTTGCTTACGTGGTGCTGAAGAATCGAACCCAGGGCCTCAGGCATGCAAGGCAAGCACTCTACCACTGAGCCAACTTCCCAGCCCATACACACTGGTTATTTTGAATTATTATTGTGACTAGAAAGCCAAAAGTCCTGGGCTCAAAGAGCACACTTTTGTGTGTTCCAGATATAAAATGGTAGTCATTCAAACTGCTGAGCCTTTATCTAAACCTCTGATGTAAAAGGTCTATTCCAATAATTTCCACAGTTTAGAAAGAGAATAAAAGCAATATACCAATGTATTTGTATTGAGGAGTTGAGTACAAATACTAGCAGTTCACAATAAAATATGTGGATGAATATTTGCACTAAGTGGAATCTAAAATAAAGATCCATGTGTTATGTAAGCTGGATTTTGCTGCCAAATGATTTATGGAAAAACAAAAGCAAAAACTTGGGCTTTTAAGCCTTGTGCTGGTGGCTCATGCCTGACTGTACTCCTAGCCACTAAGGAGGTTGTAATCTGAGGATCAAGGTTCAAAGCCAGCTCAGACAGTAAAATCCATGATACTCATCATCAACTAATCAGCAAAAAGGCCGGAAGTGCAGGTATAGCTTTAGTGGCAGAACTACATCCTTGAGCAAAACAGCTATGCTAAGTTCAAGGCCCTGAGTTCAAGCCCTAGTACCAGCACACACACACACATACACACACACACACACACACACAAAACAACAACAAAAAAAAAAACTTTGATTTTTCAAAGTTCTTTGGATTTTAGAATCACTAATAGATGGAAGATTAGTTCCATCAAACTTACTGTAACAATAAAACAAAGTTTGTTCTTATAGTGAATATTAAGCCATTCAATGTTACTGATACAGTTTGTGAGAAAGTAAGTCTGGGTATATAAGAAGACACTCCTTAGGTGGTTAAGGATCAATGTTGACAGCTGGCAAATGATCATCTGGTGATTGGCAAAACTCATCAGAGGGCAGAATGCACACATATAGGTGAGAAATTCTACTGCTGGTTTTGCCACTGACTAGGTATGTAACAGCGAAGTCTTTAGCCTAAACAGCAAGTTAAGGAGAAAAGAAAAAAGAAAAAGCCAAGTATCAGTGGCTCAAATCTGGCATCCTAGCTACGCAGGAGGCTGAGATTTGAAGATCAAGGTTCAAAGCCAGCCCAGGCAGGAAAGTCCATGAGACTCTTAATTCCAGTTAGTCATAAAAAGCTGGAAGTGGAGCTATGGTACCCACAGGTGTGCGCACGCATGCGTGCATGCACACATGCACGCGCGCATGTACTAACACCATCTATCTTTCAGGTTAAATAATCACCGGATTATGGAGCTGGTATCAATGCTGTGTCACGCACAGCAGGGCTTACATTTCTGAGGCTGGCCCTTCCTTCCTCCCTACCTTCTTTATCTCCCCTCCCTTTTTCACTTTTTTCCAGAGTAATTTGTTAAACACCCAACTTCTTACTACAAATGCAAAACTGGCACAGCATATAAATAGCCTTTATTTATTAAATTTTGTTTAAAAAATATTAGTTCCCTCCCCCACCCCTCTACTGAGGTTTTAGAGGAAAAGCCTCAAGCTGCTTTTTCTTTAGGCACTCTACTACTGAGCTACACCTCCAGGCCTTTTTTTTTTTCTTCGGTGGGTCGTGGGGCTTGAACTCTGGGCCTGACACTGTCCCTCAGCTCTTCAGCTCAAAGCTAGTGCTCTACTACTTGAGTTTTCTGGTAGTTAACTGGAGATAAAAGTATCACGGACCTTCCTGTCCTGGCTAGCTTTGAACCAAGATTCTCAGCCTCCTGAGTAGCTAGGATTACAGGGGCGAGCCACTGGCGCCCAGCAAGGCCTTTTTATGAGGGCGGCTGTTGTTAGGTTCTCAATCTACCTACTTGTGTTCTTAACTATGAGGCCCCTGACTATGCCTTCCTGATGCTATCTAAACCTTGATCCTCCCAATCTGATCCTCCTATGAAGTAAGGGTGACAGTGTCACACCACTGCATGCAGCTATGAGTTGTGAAGCAGTGTATACAGCCTTTGTGCCATGGCTGGCCTCCCAACTGAGCAAGGATAATAGCTTGAGCCACTAGTACCCACCTTTCATTTTCAAATCTTTATTCAGTTACTTTGGTGCCAGTTCTGAGGCTTGACCTCAGAGCCTGGATGCTGTCCCTGATCTCTTTTTTGCTCAGAGCTCTATCAATTGAACCCTACTTTTCTTCCGTGCATGCGTGCGTGCGTGCGTGCGTGCGTGCGTGCGTGCGTGCGTGCGTGTGTGTGTGTTTCACCTGGGCTGGCTCTGAACTGCAATCCTCAGATTTATCTCAGCCTCCTGAGTAACTAAGATTATAAGTGTGAGCAACCAGCACCTGGCCATTTTTCAATCTTTTTTAGAATTAAAATTTAAAACTAGCTTGGCCAAGTACAGAAATATTCTGTATAGTAGGTTGCTTTTCACTCATTCATTTTTATCTTGTCTGTCTGCCCAGCTCCTTTCACAATCCTTGACAAACAGACAGCTAGAAAGAAAGAAATACAGCCAAGTACTGAACAGTTCACAAACCATAGAGTCTTTCAAGGTGCGCGGGCTGTTTTTTGTACTCTTCTTGTAGGTGATCCGCGTCTTCTAGAATACATCGGTATTCCGGAATCAGAAAGTTTGTGTTTCCCTCATGAACCTGCAGTTCCTTATGTCAAAGGAAACAACAAAAAACTTTAATAATCAAAATTAATCTACTATAATATTAAACATTACAATATTAAAAGTCTCATATGACTTACTTAAATAACTATCATGAGTTCAGAACCCACATACTTACTTTTAAAGCATCAATTAACTGCACCTTCTTAGCCAAAAGCAACTGGTACTCCAGCTTTGGGTGGATAAGCTTTAAAGTATGTTTGACGGAGACTTCATTTATCTCTAGAAGTTGGCCAGGCACAAAGAGATGTCACTCATCAGAAACATTATTATTACACGAAATCAGAAGGACTGACTTGTTCTTCTGTTTTACCGTATGATATGTTGAGGTTAATTTTCCTTTTTGTAGCTTCTTTTGAAAGCACATCTTTTAGGATGGATATTGTAGAAATGTTGTCAGATTTAAAAATTCCTTGTCCTTTTCTATAAAATTAAAAGAAAAGCTGTAGAAGGAAGCTCTCCAGGAAAACGTAGTTTATGACAAGTACTTAGTGTTGAGATTTCATTGTCCTGGTTTCATAGGACAGACATTGAGTATGATGACTGCATTTCCCCCACTTCCCCTCTCTATTCATACTCCTTCCTTTCAGCCCTCCCCTACCTCTAGTATCACACTGCAAGTTCACTGTCCATCCCTGGCATCCTCCCCTGCATATACTAACTTTGGTGAATATGCTTGTATGCATGTACATGTGAACCTGAATGTGTTTTCTTGCATACTTACAAAGGGATTTGACTGCTGAGAAGAATATGAAACACACAAAATGGTAAAGGGCAATAGTATCCTATTATAAATATACATATAGGGCTGGGAAGGTGGCTCAGTGGTAGAGCGCTGGCCTTGCATGCCTGAGGCCCTGGGTTCGATTCCTCAGCACCACATAAGCAAAAAGAAAAAAAAAAGCCGGAAGTGGCCCTGTGACTCAAGTGGTAGAGTGCTAGCCTTGAGTTGAAGAGCTGAGGGACAGTGCCCAGGCCCAGAGTTCAGGTCCCATGACGGGACCCAAAAAAATAAAAAAATAAATATACATATAATAATCTAGGGACATGTTAACTGTCTGCTAACGTATAGGTTCATGTTTTCAAGAGTAATTATTATAGACCTAGACACACACAAGCTTTTGGAACATAAAGTAAAACACATCTAGACCTGATGCTAAAAACCAGTTTGATTTCTGACAAATTCTCGGCCTCCAAAGGCTAAATTGTGTGGCAAAGTATGTTCATACTGTTTGCAGAGCTTAGCATAGTTGGGGTAGGACAGAAGGGCAAGTAGATTATCTTAATCCTCTGTAAGGAAGGAATCTAAAAGCAGAGAAGATAAATTTTCTCCTCCCACAGAATAAAAACAAAGCAAAACCTACCAAATACCCCTTAGAGACAGAGTCAAGAATGAGAAGGCAAAGACCTTGAAGAACAGGAAAAGTCAAGTTCAAAGAACAAATGGCCACTGTACATTCCAACAGGTCAGAAAGGAGAGGGCCAAGCTCAGCCTCTGCTAGGCCCATGCCTTATGTGTAGGAGGCCCTGGTGTCCATCTCCAGCACCGGGGTATCTTATATGCTCACACATAGCTAGGAGCTGAGGAATTATGGGAAAGGAGAAGTGACAAGGAAGGGGCAGGAGTGGAAGTAGGAGCTTAAGAAGAATAAAATGAAGTATAACAGGACAGCTTGGGAAGGTCTGGTATAAGCCCCCCAAAGCTGTTTTGTGTATGCCTGTACTGAGGCCTGAGCTAGGGCCTCAGGCTCTTGCTTAGCTCTTTTTTATTTTTTGCCAGTCTTGGGCTTGAATTCAGGGCCTGGGCACTGTCCCTGAGCTTCTTTTGCTAAAGGATAGCACTCTACCACCTAAGCTACAGTGCCACTTCCAGCTTTCTCTGTTTATATGGTACTGAGCTTCATATGTGCATGCCAGGCAAACAACATTCCCAGCCCTTAGCTTTTCTTTTTTTTTCTTTCCAGTCATGGGCTTGAACTCAGGGCCTGGGTGCTGTCCCTGAGCTTCTTTTGCTTAAGGCTAGCACTCTACCACTTGAGCCACAGCACCACTTCTGGCTTTTTCTCTTTATGTGGTACTGAGGAATTGAACCTAGGGGCTTCATGCATGGTAGGCAAGCACTCTATCACTAAGCCACATTCCCAGGCCCCTTAGGTTTTCTTAAGGCTGGTGCTCTACCACTTGAGCCATATCTTCATGTCTGGCTTTTAGCTGGTTGGAGGTAAAAGTCTCAGTCTAAACCTCTTAAACAAATGGTGTTGGGAAAACTGGACATTCATAAGTACAAGATTGAAAGAGGACCCATCTGTCAATTGCACTAATATCAACTCAAAATGGATCAAAGATTTCAATGTCAGACCTGAAACCTTGAAACTACTACAAGGAGTAAGAACATTAGAACTTAATAGCAGCTGGGCACTGGTGGCTCACACCTGTAATCCTAGCTACTCAGGAGGCTGTGATCTGAGGATCGTGGTTCAAAGCCAGCCCAGGCAGGAACGGTGAAGAGACTCTTTTTTTATTTTTTTTAATTTTTTTTGGGTCCAGTCGTGGGGCCTGAACTCTGGGCCTGGGCGCTGTCCCTCAGCTCTTCAGCTCAAGGCTAGCACGCTACCACTTGAGCCATAGCACCACTTACAGCTTTTTTTTTTCTGCTTATGCGGTGCTGAGAATTTGAACCCGGGCCTCAGGCATGCAAGGCAAGCGCTCTACCACTGAGCCACCTTCTCAGCCCCTGAAGAGACTCTTATCTCCAATAAACAACTCAGAAAACCGGAAGTGGCACTGTGGCTCAAGTGGTAGAGCCCTAACTTTGAACTGCTCAGGGACAGTGCCCAGGCTGAGTTTAAACCCCATGACCAAAAAAAAAAAAACAAAGAAGAAGAAGAAGAAGCTGGAAGTGGAGCTGTGATAGAGCACTAGCTTTGAGCAAAAATGCTCAGCAACAGTGCCAGGCCCTGAGTTCAAACCCCACAACTAACCAAAAACCAAAAACAAAACTTACTGGCATAAAGCAGGAACTATTTTTTAGTAGAGTTCTAGGGGATCAGCAAATAGGAGAAGACTTGACAAATGAGATTGCATCAAACTAGGAAGGTTCTGCACAGCGAAGGACATAGTTACTAAGCTAAAAACAAACAAACAAACAAAACCCTCTAGCCTACAGGCTGGGCAGTCTCTACCAGCTATTATTATTAGGCCAACAAGGGCCTAATATCCAGTATACACAAGAAGCTCAAGAAACTAAATCCCCTCCAAATAAAAAGCCCAATTAATAAATGGGCAAAGGAGTTAAATAGAGACTGCTTAGAAGAAAAAGTAAACATGGCCAAAAAACACATGAGGAAATGCTGAACATCCTTGGTCATAAAGGAAATGCAAATCAAAACAAAATTGAGATTCCATCTCACCCCAGCAGGACTGGCCATCATTGAGAATTCAATGATGGCATGGATGTTGGGGAAAAGGAACCCTATCCATTACACTGTGGGTGGGATGTAACCTAGTGCAGCCACTCTGGAAGGCAGTTTGGAGATTCCTCAAAAAACAAAACATAGAAGTACCCTATGATCCAGCCATACTCTCTTGGGCATCTACCCAGAACATTACAAGTCAGGATAAGTAAAAGCACTTGGACATCCATGTTCACTGCTGCACCAGTCACCATAGCCAAGGTGTGGATACAGCACAGATGCCCTATAACAGATGAGTGGCTCCAAAAAAAATGTGGTATATAAACACAATCGAATTTTACTCACCCTTTAAAAATATATCATTTTTAGTGAAATGGATGGACCTAGAAAAATTATGTTAAGTGAAGGCAGTCAAGGTTTACTCTCAAATGTGGATGTTAACTTATACATGTGGATGTTAATTTATATATGTTATGCATATAATGCATAATAAACTGACTAAAGAATGGTATACTTGGGAGCAGAGTCCAGTGGTGTAACTCTTCTGAACAACTAATGAACTTTTTGCCAAAATAAATACCAGGAAATAGAAACATGTTTTGGAGGGGGTGGACAAATGAAGGGGGCACAGAAATGGAGGGACAAAGGGTAAGCAAATGCAGTCATTATATTCAATGTATACTATGTAACTCGAGGGTAGGGATGTAAGGGAGAAAATGAGAGAAAATGAAGGAAAGGGTGACATGATCAAGATTCAATGTACTCATAACCTGACTTAAGGAATTATAACTCCTTTGTACAACTTAATAAAAAAAAGTCTCAATCTGTCAGATTTGTTTGAATGGACTTGCAATCTTCAGAATCTATCCTAGCTAAACCTACAGGTACAACAGCCAGCCCTGAAGATGTAAGCATTTTCTTTTTTTTCCTTCCTTCCTTCCTTCCCCTGCCTTCCTTCCTTCCTTCCTTGCTTGCTTCCTTCCTTCCTTCCCCTTCCTTCCTTCCTTGCTTGCTTCCTTCCTTCCTTCCTTTTCCTTCCTTCCTTCCTTCCTTCCCCTTCCTTCCTTCCTTCCTTTCTCCCTCCTCTCTGCCCAGCTCCCACTCTATTTCACGTTTTCCCCCTCATCTTTCTTTTGCTTCCCTGGGGATTGAAATCAGGGCCTCACACATGCTAGACAAAGCACTACACCACTAAGCCACACTACCTGAAGTTGTGAGTTAGAAAAAATACCCACATCAATTTGGAAAGAATGGTCTCCATTTACTCATCTTTTTTTTTTTTTTTTTTTTTTTTGTGAAAATACTGTACAGAGGGGTTACAATTACTTGGGCAAGATAGTGCATTTACTCATCTTTTACAGCAATAGAATACAGTTTTTTTTATGAAGCTCAAATATTCTAAGAATATTGCCCAGATTTTATATGACTATTTTGTTACTGTTATTATTGTACTAAAACGGTCTTTTTTTTTTTTTCCTTTTTGTTAGTTGTGGGGCTTGAATTCTGAGCCAGGGCACTGTCCCTCAGCTCTTCAGCTCAAGTCTAGTGCTCTATCACTTGAGCCACAGAGCCACTTTCAGCTTTTTCTGTTTATGTAGTGCTGAGGAATCGAACCCAGGGCCTCATGCATGTGAAGCAAGCACTAAGCCACCTTCCCAGGCTTGAAAGGGTCATTAAAAACTATTTTCTAACTAGTGGCTATCATTGTTGAGTATACAGGAAAAGTATTCATCTGTGAATATTCCTATTTACTTATCAGTTCTGTAAACTTTAGTTGTATTGGTTTTTAATAAACTCTTTGATAGTGTACGATTTTAGTCATAATACTCTCTTGAAGCAAATGCTTCAAGACATTCTGTTTCCCTATGGAGAAAATAAGTCAGATTTACCTGTAGACACTTTCCAGTTGTGTATCGAGAAAGGTGTTCTGAAAGCAAAACGTGACACTCTCTCCTGCAGGAGGTTTCTCGGGAACATCAGGCAGGCAAAACACCACCCAGGAATGGATTTCAGCAAAACTGAACTGGCCTGTCAGAGTCAGGGTGTTCATGGGTCTGTAATAGACAGTATAGCATATAGGACCTGTGAGTATGTGATACCGGTATATTTTCACAGGCACAATTTCACCATGCAAACAACACAAATATTTAAAAGGCAAGTTTTCTTGAATAAATTCTACTAGTGAACATTATTAATTCTATGTGTTTATTTATTTAATTTTGTTATGGTACTGGGGCTTGAACTCAGGACTTGTGGAGGCTGTCCTTAGCTTTTTCTACATAAGGCTGGCACTGTGCCACTTGGGCCACAGCTCCACTTTAGGCATTTTGGGAGTTAATTAGAGATGATAGGCTCACAGACTTTCCTGCCTATGCTGTCTTTGAACCTCAATCCTCAGATCTCAGTCTCCTGACTAGCCGATAGGCATGAGCCACCAGCACCCAGATAACATTTTTACATTTTTGTTCAAGGCTAGCATTCTACCACTCAAGCCACAGCATCACTTCCAGCTTTTTCTGTATATGTGGTACTAAGGAATCGAACACAGGGCTCCATGCATGCTAGGCAAGCACTCTACCACTAAGCCACATTCATAGCCCCCAGCTAATACTTTTAACTTTTGAAAAAATATAATGCTTATGTACACCCACACCTGTGCTAGGCATTTAAGTGATAAAATAGCTATTTTTTTCATTATAACATGCTTTACAAGTCAAATTTGATTTATTCAAAGTTGATTTCATTTTTGGAGGTTATGGGGTGTTAGAAGGAGACAGGATCTTGCTATATAGCCCAGACTGGCCTCAAACTTCAGATCCTCCTGCCTTAGCCTCTCAAGTTTTGGGATTGCAGGAATATGCCATCATGTCCAAATAAATCTTATTTTTTTAAGTTCATGGAGTATTTCTACTCTTTCTACTATATAGACTACATGCATACACGAATCTCCTCATGGAAAGAGGCAACATAACATGAAGGCAAAGAATCCTTTGAAGATGGTAGAAAAGGATTTGAAACCTTGCTGTACAATATCAGTTGTGTGCCACTGGACAGGCTAGAGCATAATACCTTCTATCTTACAGGGATCTGGAATAAATCTACCTTACAAAAGCACATAATCAGGCTGGGAAGTTGGCTCAGTGGTAAAATGCTTGCCTTGCATGCATGAGGCCCTGGGTTTGATTCCTCAGTACCATATAAGCAGAAAAAAGCCAGAAGTTGTGCTGTGGTTCAAGTGGTTGGACACTAGCCTTGAGCTGAAGAGCTGAGGGACAGCACCATGCCCATGCCCAGAGTTCAGGCCCCACGACCGACAAAAAAAAAAGCACATAATCAAGTAAGAAGGGAATAAAGGGGGGGCTGGGAAGGTGGCTCTGTGGCAGAGCATTTGCCTTGCATGCATGAGGCCCTGGGTTCAATTCCTCGGCACCACATAAGCAAAAAGAAAAAAGCCGGAAGTGGTGCTGGGGCTCAAGTGGTAGAGCGCTAGCCTTGAGCTGAAGAGCTGAGGGACAGCACCCAGGCCCAGAGTTCAGGCCCCACGACCGGACCCAAAGAAAAAAATAAAATAAAGAGAAGGGAATAAAGGGTAAATAATCAATTAATGCCAAGTGTGATGAGACATACCTGAATGTATAAATAATATAAGGTAAGTTTAAGCCAAATGGATGATTTGGAAGAGGTGAGAAAATACAAAGAATAAAGAATGAATACAGGTTCCAGAATTGAGGAATAAAAAAGGTACAAGAAATTTTTGAGGTTATTCAGACCACTCATTTGTAAATTTAAAAAAAAAACAACAAAACTCAAATCTGGAGACATTAAAATTATTTCCCCCAGCTGGGTGCTGGTAGCTCATGCCAAATCAGGAGGCTGAGATTTGGCAGTTGCCATTCCAAGGAAGCACAGGCACACAATGTAGAAATAGCTACAGAACTTATAAAAAACCAGTTTATGTGAATAGTGTAGTCACTCAGAAAGGAAACTGTTCTCTTCTTCATCTTACCGGTCGTGGTGGATGAAGTGAGTTCTCTGATGGAGGGACAGAGGTCTAATGTGGTACTGTCGGACTTGACAGGTTTTGGGTTGAATTCTTGGAGTCACATATGCTTGAAGTGTCCCATATTGGCCTTCGATTGAGCGAACCTGGTGCGAAACAGAAGAGAAAATGAAAGGATGAATAAACAACAGCATAAACTCATTTAAATGTTCAGTGCAAACTGAATTTTCAATTTCAAGTTACTGAGGTTTCTTTTGTGTATATGTGTGTGCCAGTAGGGAGGCTTGAACTCAGGGCCTGAATGTTTCCACTCACAGCTGGCATTCTCACTTAAACACAGCTTCACTGCCAATTTTTCTGTGGTTAACTGGAGATAATCTCATGGACTTTGCTATATGGGCTGGCTTCAATTTGCAGTCCTCAGATCTGAGTAGCTGAGATTACAGGTGTCTATTCCATATCATTCTGACTAACAAGCAATTTTTAATATTATAAAATTTACTAATTTACTTTATACCTCATATTGAAAAAGCAAACAGAATGATAATGTCAATAATTAAGAGAAGTACATAACAGCTTCATCACACATTCACACTAACTTGATATGAAGAAGTATTGTGTGGCAGAATCTCTCCTGATATAACACATTTTGAGTTTCAGAACATGAACACTACCAGGAGAAAAAGTTGTATTCCTTAATCATGGGTTTATTAAGGTTTATCAAAATTAAAAGAGCTGGGCGCCAGTGGCTCATGCCTGTAGTCCTAGCTACTCAGGAGGCTGAGATCTGAGGATCAAGGTTAAAAGCCAGCCCAGGCAGGAAAGTACACGAGACTCTTATCTCTAATAAACTACTCAGAAAAAGCCAGAAGTGGCACTGTGGCTCAAATGATAGAGCACTAGCCTTGAGCCAAAGAATCTCAGGGACAGTGTCAAGGCCAAGAGTTCAAGCTCTAGGACCAGCAATTAATTTTAAAAAATGAAACACCACACTATAGTAAAAACTAAAGTGAATTTGTGAACTATGTTCAATATTTAATTGTAAAAATGATTGTTATTAAATTGCTAAAAAAATTAAAGATTTTATAGAACAAATGAAATCATTAGAATGAAATTGGTAAAATGTATGCAGTGGAAAAAACACAAGGAGGAAATACCCATATCACTTCAATAACTTAACTGGTTCCATTTAAACCATGACAAGACTACTTCATAAACATAGAAGTCAATGGAATTTGAATGTTAAATGTTTGATAATAAGGAATAGTTAATTTTTTAACTTGGTGACATTATTGTTTTAAAAAAGAATTTTGTAGACATTCATACTGAAATATTTACAAAGTTAATTATAAGTATTGCTTCAAAATGACAATATAAACAAGAATGGCATAAACTGGTCATTGCTAAAGCTATTGCTAATTCCATGTAATAAATACATAGAATTAATTACTCATATTTTTGGAACTTTTCATAATAGAAAATTACAAAAAATCCAGTTAGAAGAAACTGTAAAATAAATAATTTTTGAGTGCTAAAGGCAGAGTAAGTTGGGGGCCGTGGCTCACACCTGTAATCCTAGCTATGCAGGTTGCTGAGATCAGAGATCACAATTCAAAGCCAGCCTGATCAGGAAAGATCATGAGACTCTTATCTCCACAAAAAAAGAAGTGAAACTGTGTAGATCACCAGTCTTGAGTGAAAAAGGTAAGCAAAAGTGGAGGGCCCTGAGTTCAAGCTTCAGTACTAGAGCGCATACAACACACACACACACACACACACACACACACACAGCAGATCCATGGTTGCTTGGGATAAATTAAATCCCAGCTGGTCATTCTAAAGTCACTGCTTCAAAATGGCGTACTGCATGGAGAGATTCAATGGGAAGAAATGCCATCACATGTAAGGTATACCAAGGGAAAAAAGCAAAAATTTAAACAATTATAGTCTTACCTTGAGCTCCAACCTTGTGGTATTTGCCTGGCATCGGTAGGTGGCAAGAAGAAAATTTTCGTTGGACTTGAGAAGAAGTCAAGGTTGAGGAAACATTATTATCATATATTTGTTAATAACAAAGCATCCACAAGGAAAGTATTTCCCATTTATTTGAACATTTACCATTTGTGCTAAGTGCTTTTCCAATATGTTCTCCTTTATTCCTATTAACAACCCTCCCTGCAAAGTTTACTAAGTAATTATTTTTTAGAGGAAGTAGGAGTTAGTAAAAAAGATTGATAAAAGTAAAACAATTGCCAAGAGTCAGCTGCAGTCATTACCTCTAGTATAATGCTCTGGTCTACCTTCTCCAGTGCAGTTGAAACTTGTTCTCCTTTCCCTAACTTCAGAGGTAATACTGATAAAGGGACACTTTCTGCAGCAGGAGGTAAGATAGAGTGGGCACTTGCCACAGCAGCAGGTGAGACACAGTGAGCACTTCCCCCACTATGGATGGACAGCAAAACAGGAAGCCTTTCCCACAGCATGGACATGAAATACAGCAAGCATTCCCACAGAACGGATTGAGATACAGGAAGCATTTCCCATAACATGGACATGATCTCATTACAGGTACTTTGTACACGTTGAATGCTCAATAAATGTCTGCTAAACGAAGGTTAATGTACCAGACCCTAATACTACAAAAAGGAAAGGGAAAGGAACAGATTGTATTCATAGGCAGGTATGTGAGAGCCTATATAGTTTCTAAAAACTTGAAGAACTTCAATTTGGCTGAAATAATGTCCCTGGGAGAGGAGATACAACCTGGTGAGAAGTAAATTAGAGAAGAATTAAGAGCTGAAGCATAGGAAGTTTTCCAGACCCCAGTGAAATCAGAATATCAAAAGCAGATTGTTAAGAAAGGGTCAAATGGAAGACCTCTCTGGAGGCAGTGTACAGCACAGTGAAGTGAGTGGAAAGACTAGAGGCAGAGAAAATGAGAAATGAATAATACACTAAGGCAGTGGAAGTGGAAAGGAAGCCAAGAAAAATGATGAAAGGCACAGAAATAGAACTGGCAGAATTTGGAACTCGAGGACACCACCTGAGTTTCTGGATTCCCTGAGGATAGGGAGAGGGAACAGCAGCAGCAGCAGATTTTGAGGGAAAGGCTATGAAGGGATTAACTGAAAAAGAAATACCAGCCAGGTACTGGTGACTCAATGCCTGTAATCCTTCTACTGAGGAGGTTGAGATCTGAAGACTGTGGTTCAAAGCCAGCCTGAGCACAAAAGTCCATGGGACTCTTATCTCCAGTTAACTATCAAAAAAGATGGCAGTAGAGTACTAGCCCTGAAAGAAAAAAGCTAAGGACAATGGTCAGGCCTTGAGTTCAAGTCCCAGTACCAGTACAAAAACAAAAAAGAAAAAAATACCAAACCTTCGAAGCATAAGTGGACTGAGATGGAAGGGGGCAGGAAGTATGACAGAGAGGGTGAAATTGACTGAAATACAGTGTGAACATGTAAGGAGATATAACCATGAAATTTCTCTCTGTAAAATTAATATAACCCTCCCCAAAAAGAAGCAAAAAAAAAAAAAAAACCCAAGCAAACAAGAAAAAATAGACTAAAAATGAAAAGAGGTCAGAAAATTTTTGAGTTTTTAACTTACCTCAGAATCACAGCTGCTAAAGCTAACAACAGCAGAGTTCTTGTCCACATCAAGTAAATCTATTGGAACATCACTCTACAGGCAATATTAGGAAAAAAATATTCAGATGGAAAATTTAAAATGTTCACAAAGAATGTATTTTGTAGGATTCTTCTTAGTTCTAGGTTATGACCATCTTAAATTTGAAAAGATCTTAACTTATATTTGATAGCTTATACTTCAAGAAAATGAAGTCTATAAAATATATTTTATTTAAAAATCTTTTTTTCTAATTTTGATTATCAGAAATAGAATATAATCTATCCTTATCCCCTTACAAGATGAATCTTTCCAATATAGTCCATAGAGAGACAAAGGGTGCATATTTTCGCTCATAAGTGGATATTAGATCTAAATTATAAACATACATGAAATATACAAGGTCATATAAATAAATTTAAATAACACATAAACAAACAAATCGACTAAAATATGATACAGAGAATGAGTCCAGTGATGTAACTCCTTTGAACAACTAATTTTTAATAGTGCAAAAAAATGAGTATCAGGAAGCTAAAACATTTTGGAGTGGAGGAAGGGGGTCAAGAGAAGGAGGGGTACACAAAGGGTGAGAGGAAGGGTAGATTCAATATACACATGTGAAATAACTTGAAGGGATGAATGGGATGGGAGATGGGCGAGAAAGATGAAAGCAATGACACTGATACCAAGATTCATTGTACTCCTAACCTAACATGAAATCCCTTTGTACAACTAAAGATAATAAAATATTAAAATTAAAGTAAAATAGTTTACTCTTATTTCCTATTAGTGTTTAAAAAAAACTATCTCAAGCTTTAAATGGCTTTATATATGGGAACATTTTAATTTTCTCAGTTCCTTCTTCATCAATTTTAATTTCATCCGTTGTAAGAAAGGAGATGATTTGGGTCTTCCCCTAAAAAAGCTTCGAGAAAGCTATTGCACTGAATCCTATGAAGGGGAATCCTAAAGTTATATTCAATGAGTAGTCTTGAACTAATGTTAATGAAGGCTTTTCTACTTTTAAGGGTTAGTAATCTGATCTTGACCTGACTTATAAAATAGTAACCTCTCTACATATCATCTTTATAATAACAGAATATATTAAAAAATAATCATCTGATCTTGACAAGGCAACCAATGGCTCATAACTGTAGGCCTAGTGACTCAAGAGACTGAGAGATTAAGATCCCAGATTGAAGCCAGTCTGGGCAGTAAAATCTGTAAGACTCTTATCTCTAATTAACTAGCATAATGCTAGAGATAGAGGTGTGATTCAAATGATAGAGCACCAACCTTGAGTGAAAAAGCAAAGGCACAGCGCCTAAGCCCTGAGTTCAAGCCCCAGGACCAGCACATACACACACATACACACAAAATACAAAAAGAAAACTTCTCCCAGAGGATAGCCAAAGGAGAATTCGTATTACTGCCCTTGTCTCTCCTGGAAACGGAAGTTTACCTATCTTGTCTTTGTTACAAAGTATAGAAATAAATAAAAGGCAAAAATAAGATTAAAATAATCTGTAAATAAACTGATTGTCTTATAGAACATTAGATGCCATAATCACTTAAAATTACTGTCTAAAGTGTTTGATGATAATCCCAAGTGTACATTCCTAGTCTACAAAATATCCAGTGACGAAACAAATTGGCCACTCTGCTTACCTGAATTAAGACATTATCTATGGCAGTCTGTACCTCTAAGATGAGGCTGTAGCTGGCATCGTCTTTGTTTAATGTGAACTTATCATTTATACTAAATGAGGGTACAGTTGATTTGGCTTTGCTTGACTGAGAAGACTGTTGATAGTTCTCTCTTTCCTGTAGTACCTTATATTGCAAATGTTCCAGTTCACTTCTGCAGGAAAATATACACAATTTGTCATATATACATACATATACACAAATGTTGGAGGGTTGGGAAGGTGGCTCAGTGGTAGAGTGCTCTCCTAGCATGCATAAAGCCCTGGGTTTGATTCTCCAATACCATACACACAGAAAAAGCCTGAAGTGGCACTGTGGCTCAAGTGGAAGAGTGCTAGACTGGAGCAAAAGAGCTTCAGGGACAGTGTCTAGACCCTGAGTTCAAGCCCAGGACTGACACCACAAGAAAAAAATATTGGAGATCCCTAGATTGTACATAAAATTTTGAAGCTAAGCATTATTTCTGTCCCAGTACTGGGACTTGAACTCAGGGCCTGGGCACAGTCCCTTAGCTTTTTCCACTCAAGGATGGCACTCTACCACTTGGGCCATACTTCCACATCCAGCTTTTGGGTGGTTAACTGGAGATAAAAGTCTTACAGACTTTCCTGCCCAGGCTGGCTTTGAACTGCAATCTTCAGAATTCAGCCTCCTGAGTGGCTAGGATTATATGTGTGAGCCATTGGCACCCAGCATATAGTGTATCTTTAAGTATTAAAAACCAATAACCCCTCGGGGAAGGGAGGGAGGGAGGGGATGGTATGGGGAAAACAATGGAGGGGGTAACAATGTTCAAGAGGAAGTGTACTCATAACCTCACTCATGTAACTGTAACCCTCTGTATAGTAGCTTTACAATAAAAAAAAAAAAAAAAAAAAAAAACAATAACCACATACCTTGGTGAGATAAAAGCAAAGAAAAAACTTGAAGTTACCGTAAAGAAGAAATTTTATTCTGCATCTCCTGGTTAATTTTTAATTCTTCTCCTGGCCCATTTTCCTTATGAGTGGGCTCTGTAGTCAGACCTGTAATCCAGCCTGTGGAGATGAATTACAATTGTCAGTGTGTAAGAGATATATTAGACATTGTTTAGCAGATGTCCAATAAAAAAACCAACCCTTCAATATGACACCAACTTAATATTAGGACTTTTTCAAAAAACAAGCCTCCCTCCACAAAACCAAGCAGGAAAATAGTTAAAATCGTAAACTACTGAAGCACTTGTGATGTTACTTTTTACTTAAAATACTCTATTTTTACAGAATTTCATTTCTTAGCAATTTTTGGTTTTAGGTAAGGAAGAAATTCAGCATATTACAGCAAGTTATAAAATAGGTGACAAATAAGAATTATCTTTCAAAAATTACTTTCATACCTGAGCATATAGACAAATACCTGTGGGAATACTAGCTGCAGGGATGTTGAGACGGGGCTATCCTGGGCTATTTAAGAAGTCCAGTCTAGCCTGCACTATACAGTGAGACCCGATCTCAAAAACCAAAACACAAAACCCCAACAAGAAGAAGAAAGAACCAGTGGCTTGAGCCTATTTGAGAGTAAAATATGTTTATTTGATCGCTTAAAACATAAATTATGCTGGGTATCGGTGGCTTATACAGTAATCACAGCCATTCAAGAGGCTGAGATCCAGAGGATTGAGGTTCAAGGCCAACCTGGGAAGAAATTCCATAAAACTCCACCTCCAATTAAGCAGCAAAATGCTGAGCTGGGGATGTGGCTCAAGTACTAGAGCACCATGAACAACTAAGTTAGTGAGAACGAGGCTCTGAGTCCAAGCTTTGATGCTGACGTGCGTGCATGTGCACGCATGCGTGCACACACACACAAGCACACAAACACACACACACACACACACACACACACACACACACACACACACACTACTTTCATGGAACTTATAACTCTCACATGACTTATGAGATAAAAAAGAATTACCTCAAAAGCAAGCAAGTTTTTATAAGAAATGCACATACTTCAAGACATAGACAAAATTTCAGTAAATACTTCTCTTTAAATCAGAGTATCATTTCATTTTCAAAGGTATTAGAGAGAAACCATCTTAAAGTGGTGTTCAAACTAACAACTCTATTCATCCCTTGAGTTTTTCAGTGCATATCATCCAACCCAAATCTCACACATGCTAGACAAGCACACCACCGCTGAGCTCTACTCCCCAATAGAGTCTAGAATGCTCTACATATTGACTTAACATTTTATGTGGTTATAAAACTAAATTTACCAAAGTTAGACTTTTATCACTTTCCTGCCTTCTTTCCTGCTGGCTTTGAACTGCAATCCTCAAATCTTAGCCTCCTGAGTAACTAAGATTACAGGCGTGACCACAGGTACCAGCTTTGATTATCTTTTACATTACCTGAATAGGTGGACACCACGATTTCATCATACCCATCTTTCCCTACACAACCACCCTGGATGGAGGTGACACTTTCAGACAACATCTAAAATGAATTCAAGAACAAGCAGTTTGTTAATAACTAAAGTTCAAATATACGTTAAAGCAACTTGTCTGGTTGGTTCTAGATATGTCAGCACGTACTAATTGACTATTTGTTATGTACAGACAATGAGATTAGATGAACAAAATCTTGAACAAATGAGAGAAAACTCTACTGTATTGAAATATGGGAAAGAAGGCTCCAGATAATTCTAGTATGTTTGTGTTAGCACTTAGCTAACAATACAATCATTTAAAGACAAAACCAATTCATAGAAAAAAGTTGTTTTTTATAATTACATAAGAAAAATACTATCTTAGTCTCCTTCCTGAATTCAATAGACCCATCCTTTTGTGTTTGCGTGTGTGTGTGTGTGTGTGTGTGTGTGTGTGTGTGTGTGTGTGTTTGCCCCAAAGAACTTTAATTTATTTGATATTTTTGCGCCAGTACTGGGACTTGAATGCAAGGCCTTGTGCTCTAACTTGGCTTTTTCCAATCAAGACTGTCACACTTTGGGCCTGGTGGCTCATGCCTGTAATCCTAGCTACTCAGGAGGCTGAGATCTGAGGATTGTGGTTCAAAGCCTGCCTGGGCTAAAAAATCCCTAAGACTCTTATCTCCAATTAACTACCAGAAAGCTGGCAGTGGCACTGTAGCTCAAAGTGGTATAGTGCTGACCTTGAGCAAAAGAGTGGCCTGGGCCATGAGTTTAAGCCCCTGGAATGGCACACAAAAAAGGGGAAAGAAATGATAAATGCTTGAGGAAAGATGTTTAACCTGATTTAAACATGACACAATGTATATATTTATCAAAAATCTCACATGATCTCCTATTGACATGTCTGATTATGGCGGCTTTATATAGAAAAAAGGAAAAAAGAATATGTAAGATTTAATTTATGTAGAATGTTTTATATGACTCTATATGTTGGCATCAACAGGCCTTAAAGTTCACAGAACTAAGATGACATTTACCTAGTATTTCTTCTTTCTCAGCTGGCCCTTGAATATCTAGAAATGAAACTGTTACCTAACTCTCTCTGCTTAAGGATATTCTGAAACTGCCCTGACAATATAAAGTTTATGCTTAAGCTCTTATTACAACAAAACACTACCACATATGACACTTAAATTCTTATAATTATGCACTGAAGAAACTAAGGCAAACTTATTTAACCAAAAGGAAATTTATAATCTGTAAAAACATAATAAAAAAGTAATTTATGATCTAGCTTATGGGCAATAATCTGTTACTCAAACACAAGAGCAGTGAAGAAAGATTGCAATAACATCAGAATTTATTTACTCAGGGTTCAACTAAGAATCTCACTTGGCTTTTTTGCTCAAGGGAGGGTGCTCCACCACTTGAGCCACACCTCCACTTCCGACTTTTCTCTGGTTAACTGGAGATTAAGAGCCTCACAGACTTTCCTGCCTGGATTGGTTTGCAGCTTCAATCCTCAGATTCCAGCCTTTGAACAGATAGGGTTATAGGTATGAGCCACCAGGGTAGCAATATTGTAAACAAATGTAAGATTTTAATTTGGGTAGAGGGACTACTACTGAGGATTGAACTTAAGACCTATTTTAGTCATGTGTCCAGTCCTTTCGAATTGGTAATTTTCAAGGTAGAGGCTCACTTATTTTATGCTCAGTTTAGCCAAGCTTTGATGCTTCTACTGTGCTTCCCTGTGTGAGTCTTTGGGGATGACGCAGCCATCATGCCTCCCTCAGAGCTGGAGTGCATACCACAGTGCATACCACAATGCCTAGCTATTGGTTGAGATAGGGTCTCAAAAACATCTTTTGCCCAGCCCGAACCTGAATGGTGATCCGATTGTGATGCCCTATCTCTGTCTCCCAGGTAGCTAGGATTACAGACTAACCTGGCAAACCAAACCGGGAAAAAATTTAATGAATTTTTACTTAAAATCCAAACCATCAGTCATCTCTATAATAATTTGACAAATAAAACTTATATTTGTTTCCCAGTGTTGAAGATTGAACCTGGGACCCTATATGTGTAAGTTTATGTTCCTATCCTCCACATGAAGCTTGTTAAATAAACTTACCTGATCGAATCGAAGAACAGGCTCGTTCGCATTATCAAAACTATACACTTCCACCATTCCATCATCTCGCCCAACAAGTAAATCTTTAACCCCATCACCCACAATGTCAAAGCTGTCCATACACAAAATACCTTAAAAAAAAAGATGTTAGTGATGAGTTATTAAAAAATTAATACTAAAAACCCCCACAAAATAGCTATTTTTTGTACAAAACAGTTAAAAATGGAAAACATAGAACAATCCAGCATGAAGGAAAACTCGCCGAATAGTCAAGTGCCTGCTTCCTCCACCCACATTTCAATGGTGTCAATGGCCCCAAGTGTACGTCTCCTTCCCTCAGCTCTAGCCTCTGCACAGAGCTCCAGACACAGGGGAGACTATATGCATCATCTCCACACCTGCAATTCACATTTCCCTCAGGAAGGTGCAAATTCTTTACGAGACATAGAATATTCCTCAAGAATACCAAGGTCTTTCAGTTTCCAATTAATTCCAATTAAAAATGGACTTCTGCACAAAATGGCAATACAACCTATACAAAAACATTTACTCCAGGGCCAGGATGTAGCTCAGTGGCAATAGCACATTTCTTACTGTATGATACAATTATGGCTATGGTATAGTAGAACTGAATAACACAGATTAAATCAAAAGGGGTTCTGTGAACTGCTAAGTCTGTGGATAATAGGAATAAAATGAACAGAATGAATGAGACCATCTATTTTAATCACTGAGATTTCAGAGTGGGTGAGACATCAAAGGCATACCTCCTCTCTTTTTGTCATTCTGGATTTCCCACTTGTGTACTGGTTTGGATGCTGTGATCTGAATGAGCCCAAGTTTCCCATCCAATGTTCCGAATACAAGGTCTTCCCCAGAGTCACCTAGTGAATTATAACAAATGCATGAACACTATCTCTTTAAAATTAAAATATTTTCATCTAAAATTTTAATTTTAACATTATAAAAAGACAAGCTACAATATTGATCAAGATGCATTTGTACTCAAATTAATATGTAGAATTGAAACTCCTTTGTACAACCAGTTAAGACTTTTTTTTTTTTTTTTTTTGGGGTCCAGTCATGGGGCCTGAACTCTGGGCCTGGACGCTGTCCCTCAGCTCTTCAGCTCAAGGCTAGCACTCTACCACTTGAGCCAGAGTGCCACTTCTGGCTTTTTTTTTTCTGCTTATGTGGTGCTGAGGAATTGAACCCAGGGCCTCATGCATGCAAGGCAAGTGCTCTACCACTGAGCCAACTTCCCAGCCCCTCCCCAAATTTTATAACCAGAAGAGATAAGACTACTCTCAAACATGTAAAAATGAAGAAGCTAAAAATTAAAGTTCAATAACTCATTATTGTAAGTTACTAACACACAATCAAAAGGCATGTCTCAATTCTTGCACAAACATCTCAATTCCAGTACATATTTACATATTTTTCTATGATTTTCCATTTTCAAATACTTAATCCAGATTACCGCCATTTCCATTGTGCAGTGCCAACACAGTGGGTGGGCCAGGAACCTCAATTTCGTACATCACATTAGATCCCTGTAGGAGAGCAAGAATTGAAAACATGAAACCAAATCAGACTTAAACACTGCATTCATGGATAACATCAATTTTTAAATACAGTACTCTTAATGACACTTAGAATAAAATCACTTAAACAAAAACTATGTCATGAGCTGGCACCAGTGGCTCACACCTGTAATCCTAGCTACTCGGGTAGCTGAGATCCAAGGATCACAGTACAAAAAGCCAGCCCAGGCAGGAAAGTCTTTGAGACCCATCTCCAATTAACTACCAGAAAACTGGAAGTGCTGCTGTGGCTCAAGTGGTAGAGCACTAGCTTTGAGCTGAAGAGCTCAGAGACAGCATCCAGACCCAGAGTTTAAGCCCCATGACCAATAACAACAACAACAACAACAACAAAAACTATGTCATGAATACCAACTTGGATTTGTTACTAAACTTAACATATGTTAGTACATTTGATAATAAAATATATACAAAATATAAACACTAGGGAGAAATGTAGGTAAACAGTCTCTGTTTTTAACATACTATTTGCTTAAAAACCTTCCATTGGTAAGTTTTCCTTTCAAAACTCTCCAGGAATAAAGTACTTCTTTTGTCTTTTCTAGTGCTAACTAGTGCTAAAGTTACCTCCTAAGGAAAAGTCGGTATTTGTCTTTGGATAGTCCCCAAACTCACTGCAATAACAGGCAAAATAATCTCATACAAGTTAGGTGCTTTTATTTAGCTACTTCTATAAATCAGTGAAAACACAGTTTGTGAAACTAGAGGAAATAGAGGGAAGTAGAGGTGAGGCTCAGGTGGTAGAGGGCTAGCCTGGAGTGAAAAAGCCACGCAAGGGCCCAAGGTCCTGAGTTTAAGCCCTAGGACCGACATGATACCAAAAAGAAAAAAAAAAGAATTACAGGCAACAGACAGCAAAGTTTTTGTTAAAAGAAATTACTTTATATTTGGAACATGCAAGAATAAATTTAAAGGCATCTACATTTATCTACGCAGACATAAATACACACACACACACACACAAAGAGACCACTTCTGGAGTAATAGATTGCACCCAGAACAAGATGCAGTGAGGGAGTTGTTTTTTTAATCAAGAAGTATTTATCTCTTCTTTAAGCAGACACCTACAATTCAGCCATATCAAAGTCTAATATTATACAGGCTCCTTTTAAAGTCCATTCAACTAGGCACTGGAGGCTCATACTAAAATCCTAGCTACTCAGGAGGCTAAGCTCTAAGGACTATGGTTCAAAGCCTGCTTAGAGAAAAATCCTTGAGAACCTTACCTCCAATTAACAACCAAAAAGCTGAAAGTGGAGGAAGGGCTCAAGTAGTATTGTGTCAGTCTTCAGTGAAAAAGACCAAAGAGAGTTCTCTGGCCCTGAGTTCAAGTCCCAGGGCTTGGCACTGTCCTTTGGCTTTTCCAGTCAAGACTGCCACTCTACCATCTGGTAGAGTCACAGTTCCACTTCTGGCTTTTGTTATGGTGCTTAACTGGAGATGAGAGTCTGTCACAGACTTTCCTGCCTGGGCTGGCTTCTGTGATCCTCAGATCTAGCCTCCTGAGTAGCTAGGATCATAGGTATGAATCACCAATGCCCAGCCACACAAATAACTTATATTTTAAGGATCCTGTGGTGGTGTATTGAAAGCCTCTTTGGAAAAGACATAGTGGTAATGATGACCTCTAATAACTATGATGTGAAACAGCTGTTTTAGCCAAGTCTGCTTCATTATGACAAATATAGATACCAAAATGACTTTTCCTCATTTACTTATTCCACAAATATCTACTGTATGCTTGCTTCATTCTACATAATGGCATATACACTGGATAACCTCAAATTATGTATCAACCTCTCCTCACCCAACCCAATTTCTTCTTTTGATTTTTATGGAGGAAGAGAATAGAAATGGAGAAATAAAACAAGAAAAATTATACTAAAAATTCTCTGTAGCACTATAACATACCAATTCAAGGAAATGGGAGAAATGATAGTAAAACTTCTCTGTAGCACAGCAATGGTCCTAACTCAGAAATCAGGATGGAAAGAAATTATTCTTTTCCTCCATATAACTTCTCTAAAAACTTTCAAAGGATCTCAACATATTTGTCTCAAGTAAAAACAAAAACTAATTTATCAAATACAATTTAAATTTTCTTTCCAGGTACTTTATGTATATTTAAAGTAGTTATCTCTAAAGTAATTTATCTCAAGTATGCAACATTCAGATACATTTACCTAAGTTATGAAAAGCTGCAAAAATTCAAATTATAGTAACCTGTAAAACTCTGAGCACTCGGTCTTGACAGGCCAATATTGGTGTGATTCGAGGTACTTTGTCCACTGGAAGGCAGATGACATCATTGATTTTGTCTCCAGAAAGGTAATAGTGTTGGTCTTTGCAGTCACAATAATGATTGTATATGTAACTTGCACTTAGAAAGAGGTCAGAGCCAGATACGTACCTGTTAACATTAAAATAGTAATTTAAGATATCCATACATACACACTTACATAGTTTTGGTTCTAATATTGAGACTTGAACTCAGGCTGGGTACTGTCCCTTAGCTTTTTGCTCAAGACTGTAGTGCTGAAGACTGGCACTCTACTGCTTGAGCCACACTTCCACTTCTGGCTTTTTGTTAGTTAATTCATGGTATAAGTCTCATGAACTTTTTCTGCCTGGGCTGGTTTCAAACTTCAATCATCAGATCTCAATCTGCTAAATAGCCAAGATTACAGGTGTGAGCCACAAGCCCTGGCAATCATCACCCTATAATTAAAATTCTCCCAATTATCTTGCCTTTTTGATATGATAGTTTGACTTTGAAAGATGAACTTGAGAATTTTAAGGCTTCTTCAGGCTTCTGAATAAAAAACAAAAATGAAAGAAGAAAAGGTATGTATCTGAAGACAGTATTACAAAAGGAACTTCTTTGGAATGTGTAGTATGAACCAAATACTGTCCTAGGTGATTAAACGTATTAGCTCGGTTAATCCACATAATCTTACAAACTAGAAAACATTATTACCCCCCTCCCATCTGTCACATAACTATTAAATAGTAGAGAGTAATTCAGATTGTCTTTAGTTTGAGGGGTGGATTTTTTCTCTTGGTGCCAGTACTGTGGCTTAAACTCAGGGCCCTAGGCATTGTCCTTTAATTTTTTCACTTCAGGCTGGTGCTCTACCATTCGAATCATACCTTGCACTTCTGGCTTTTTGTTAGTTAACTGGCAATAATAGTCTCAGACTTTCCTGCCCAGGCTTGCTTTGGACTGTAATTCTCAGATCTCAGTGTCCTGAGTAGCTAGGAGTACAGGCATGAGCCACCAGTGCCTGGCTCTTAATTCTTATCTATTTCATCAAACCAAAGTTTGAAATCCCAAACATCAGAGCAGAAATGCTACACATTATTCACGATTGTACAGGCCAGCTGTGTACCATGCAAAGCTCTATGCTGAATCAGTAGTTCCAGATTCAGGGGTCCAACTGCTTATACAACTTGTCTGCATTAAAGAAATACAAAACAAACAAACACAAACCCTCTCAGTTATTCTCATTCAGCAGGTATAAGTGGAGATGTCAATTGTCTCCCAAGGGGGTCTTCCTATGCAGCAATTTTAGGAAACCATATTAGAGGAACTTTAAATCCTTTTCTAGCCTCCCATCATTTAAATATAAAATGTGAATGGAAAGATTTCACATTAACAGAAGTCATGAAGTCATTTACCTCCACATAGTGGGAGGTAAAGATAGGACGATCATTATTTGAGGCTAGCCTTGGCAAAATGTGTGACAGCCTATGTGTAAGATAACCAAAGCAAAAAGTGCTTGAGGCTCAGGTGGTGGAGTCTTTAGCTAGTAACTCTGAGGCCCTGAGTTCAAAATCTCAGTATTGCCCAAAAAAAAGGGAGGGAAGGGGAATAATTTTTCATTTAAGAGCCTTGCAGCTGAAATTATAACCTACTGGCAAGTTATCAACTTTGATGGTTGGCCCTTTAACATAATGTTGCTGCCTCAAAATCACAACTACCAAAAAGGCCAAAGAGGAGCCTAAATATCTTCCCTTAATCATGAATCATAACTGAATCATGGCTGGAAATGTGGCTTAGTGGTAGAATGCTTGCCAAGCATGCATAAAGCCTTTGGTTGATTCCTCAGTACTACATAAACAGAAAAAGTTGGAAGCCAGCACTGTGACTCAAGTGGTAGAGCACTAGCCTTGAGCAAAAAGAAGTTCAGGAACAGTGCTCAGGGACAGTCTTGAGTCCAAGCCCCAGTACTGGCAAAAAACAAACAAAAAACCTGAATACACATTAGAGTTGACAAGTAACTGTATACTACAATAGCAAAGAGGATTGTGAGTAGTCCTAACAAAGAAATGATCAGTGTCTGAGGGGATAGGAATATTTACCCTGATCTGATTACACATTGCATGTAAATATTGAAACACCACTCTGTACCCCATAAGTAGATTTGATCATTACCATGTATATATTCAAATTCCCTGTACTCCAAATATATGTACAATTGCTGCCAATTCTAGGTGTAAAACATATTTTTAAAAATAAATGACCAAAAGGGCTCGGAATATAGCTTAGTGGTAGAGTGCTTTGCCTTGCATGCATGAGGCCCTGGGTTCGATTCCTCAGCACCACATAAGCAGAAAAAAGCCAGAAAAAAAGCCAAAAGTGATGCTGTGGCTCAAGTGGTAGAGGGCTAGCCTTGAGCTGAAGAGCTGAGGGACAGCGCCCAGGCTCAGAGTTCAGGCCCTACGACACGCAAGACAAAAGAAAGAAAGAAAGAGAAAGAGAGAGAGAGAGAAAGAAAGAGATGTACTCATTATCTGACTTATGTAACTTTAACCTCACAGTACATACCTCTATAACAAAAACAAAAATTATAAACAAATTTTAAAATGCCAAAAATGAATATATGTGTTTGTCTGTGTACACATATAATGTGTGTACTGATTCTAGGCTAAATTTACTTTCTCACTAATAAAGTACCTTTAGCCAATTTTATTTTCCAGCAAATGCATTAAGATACGTTACTTCATCAGATGTTCTCCATCTACCTTAAACATAAATACAAATGCAAACATAATAACATAGCGGTAAACGCACATGGCTTTAATGCTCTCAGTGAGGTTTGTTTCAAAAGAGAGGAACTGTTTTCCTCGCTTTGTAAAGCCTTTAATCTCAGATCCTGCAGCAATAAAAATTTTCTCCTGAGGTGTGTTAAGAATCCCTCCTAGTTCCAGCCTTGCAATCTTCTGCCCTGGTAACGTCTTGAACACTGCCTGCAAAAATCAGCCAGGAAAAAAATTAAATATACAAGTTGTTTTATTCCTTTACAATAAAAAATGCTATTATTTAAATTCACAAAATATTACAGTCCCACTATATAGAAACATTTGTAAATAAAAATCGTGGGTTTTTGTTTTTTTTTTTTGCTATCATTAAGCCTCAGAAAACTTATTTCCACATGTATTTGATGCTATCACTAGAGTCTAAACTTTTGCAACCAAGATTTATTAAAAATGTAGAATTTCACTGGGTGCAGTGGCTCATGCCTGTAATTTCAGCTGCTGGAGGAAGAGGCTGGGAGAAAGGCATTTTGAGTCCACTATGGGCAAAAAGTTAACCAGATCCCATCTCAATAAATATGATCACACCTGTAAGTCGAGGTATGGGGGAAACATAGGCATCTCAGGTTGCCACGGACAAAAAAAAAAAAAAAACAACCAAAAAAACCCTATCAGAAAAATAATCTAAAAAAGGAAAAATGGCTGGAATATCTCAAGTGATTAGGGCAAATTCAAGGCCCTGAGTTTAAACCCCAGTACTGCCATGAATGAATAAATGAATAAATGAATGAATGAATCCAGAATCTCAAGTCAACTCCAGATCTACTAAATGAGACTACTCTGCGTTTTAACAAAATTCCCCAGGTGTTTCCTATATATGTTACAATTGCAGAAGCATGCTTTATGTTATATTTTATTTTTATTCATGGTTCTACAGATTGAAACCAGGGCTTCAGGTTAGTAGGGTCAGTGCTCTACCACTTGAGCTGATCCCTTAGTTCTTCTCTGTTTTGTTTCTGACATGGAGTCACACTACATTTGCCCACAATGGTAGCAATCTTCAACTTGGGTCCTCCAGCCTGCTCTTGCCAGAGTAGCTGGGATTATAGGTGTGTACCACAACATTCAGCTTAAGAAGCCTTTGCTGTCCTATGGACAGGAAAGTTTAACTTGCAAAAACTCTTTAAATGGACATGTTTGTACACTATAATTATCTTTTTTGAAAGAATAGCTCTTGACTTGTTTATGAATTTTAGTAATAGTTACAGATTTTATTGAAAATGTGAATATATCTTAACATCTTAATCATATCTCTTTAATTAAAAACATTCTGTGTGCACATGCATGTGTGTGGGAGGGGGGCTAGTAGTGGGGCTAGAACTCAGGGCCTTACCCTCAAGGGTAAGGCTGATGCTCTATGACTTCAGTCACATCTCAACTTCCAGCTTTTTGCTGGTTAATTGGACATGAGTTACATGAACTATCCTTCCTAGGCTGACTTCAAACTTGATCCTCAGATCTCAGCGTCCTAAGTAGACAGGATTACACAGGCGCCTGCTACCCGTACCCAACCCATTTTTGATTGCCTATACTTTAGGAAAATTTTTTTTTTTTTGGGTCCAGTCGTGGGGCCTGAACTCTGGGCCTGGGTGCTGTCCCTCAGCTCTTCAGCTCAAGGCTAGCGCTCTACCACTTGAGCCACAGCACCACTTCCAGCTTTTTTCTTTTTGCTTATATGGTGCTGAGGAATGGAACCCAGGGCCTCATGCATGCAAGGCAAGCACTCTACCACTGAGCCACCTTCCCAGCCCACTTTAGGAAATTTTTAACCTAGGAGTATCTACTAACTTGTGCATCTGCCTCTTAGAAAACCATATTCACATCCAACCCCTGTGAAAGCCACACTCACCCCTGCTTCTCCTTTTTTCATGCCAAAGCACAAGACTACTCCATCTTGATCTCCAACAACCACCTGGAACAGATTAAAAATCTAAAATTACTACTTCTATTATTACAAAAAGTCATTAATGTGTTTTCCAATTTCTCATTGTACTAGTGTTCAAGAAAGGATATCAGGTTTAAGCATTGTAACAAATAGGAAGCAAAGATTCAGTATTACCTAGATAATGTAAGTACCTTCCCTTATTTTCAGCTATGTATCTTGTAGAAGTTGTGTAACCTATTTTCTTCATATATTCCAACTAAAACCACATAATAGATATAAGAATTTGCAAAATAAAAAATACAGCATCACTACCATCTCTAAATTATCTTTTAGGGACTCAGGGATGTTCTTGAGGTTTTTTTAAAATCAGGACTGGTTCTGTACCACTTAAGCCACTGCTTCACTTCTGGCTTTTTGCTGGTTAAATGGAGATAAGTGTCTTATGGAGTGGCTGGGAATATGGCTTACTGGTAAAATGCTTGTGAAGCATGCATGAACCCCTGGGTTTGATTCCTCAGTACTGGACATGGCTCAGTGGTTCAAATGGTAGAATGCTAGCCTTGAGCAAAAGCTCAGGCACAGTGCCCAGGCCTTGAGTTCAAGCCCCTGGACTGGGTTAAAAAAAAATCTCACCTCCTGAATAGCTAGAATTACAGGCACAAGCCACCAGAATTTGGCTTGGTATTTTATACTTCTTTTGCATCAGACTGTGTATGCAGAAAAATGGAGTATGGTTTGTTTTCTTTTCTTTTCTTTTTTCAGTGCTAGAGATTGAATGCAGGTCCTGCCTTATGTATGCTAGACATATATACCCACCCCCAAAGAGTATGGCTTTAGTAAGTTTACTAAGTGTACATAATGTACAAATTTTAATGTCCAAGAAATTCTATTTGTAAATGTCTGTCGGTATTTCAACTTCTGCTCAAGTAAAATTTATTTCCATGCAAACATCAGCATTTTTAAAAGATAAACTCACAAATAATCGACAAAATAATCTGACAAAACAAGAGAAAAGTGGAGAAACCAGTGTGTGTACCGTACCTTTTGTGTAGCTCTATGTTTTGAAGCAGGAAGTAGCTTCATAGTCTTCTGAGAGGTCACACCCACCTAAGGAAACAGACCACCTACCTAGTGAATGTTTTCGGATACATCAGGAATTAAAGTCAGATCCATAGTAAACTTTATTATGTTATTTATTTATTTTTACTGAAACAAGCTATATAGTTATCCAATATGAATAGTTTTGAGAGCTGGGTGCCAGTGGCTCCAGTCTATTAATCCTAGTTACTTAGAAGGCGGAGATCTGATGATCGCCATTCAACGCCAATCCTGGCAGAAAAGTCCCCTGGATGTAAGGTCCCTAAGACTCTTACCTGCAATTAACCACTAAAAAGTAGGACGTGGAACAGTGGCTCAAGTGGGAGAGCACCAGCCTTCTGAGAGTGAGAGAGAGAGAGAGAGAGAAAGAGAAAGAGAGAGGGAGAGAGAGAGAAAGCCCAGGGGCAGCATCCAGGCCCTGAGTTCAAGCCCCACGGCCGGCAAAACAACAACAACAACAACAAAAACCAAGTGTGAGGTGCGGGACGGAAGCGATCTGGTGGGGCAGGAGGTGATTCGGGGCTCGGACCCACGGGCCGCGGCGGCCACTGGTGGGCTCCGGGTGGGATGGCGTCAGGACCGTCCGACCAGCGTCAGGAGCACTTTGAGCACAGCAGGAGCCAGCTCAGACGGGGGCGGGGTGGGTATCTGCTTTCCAGCCCCTCGTGGGGTCTCAGCCTTGCCAGGGCCAGCGCCGAAGGGGGCGCGGGGAGTACGGCGCTCAGCCCGCCGACACAGATGCCGCACGGAGCAGGAGCAGCGGGGCCCCGCCTTCGCGGTTACCTGCAAATAATCCGCTCGGTTTAAAGCCAGCTGCATGGTGGCTGCGCGGACAGTATGCTCAGGTCCGAGGAGACCGCTGGCCTTACCAGGCCCGGCCGATCCACACGCCGCCGCCGCCCCGGCTCCGAGTACACAGACCCGCTGTCAAGGCAGCGGCGCCGGCGTGACGTCAGCGGCGCCGGCGTGACGTCAACACCGCGTTCCTGCGGCCGCCGGACCTCGATGACGCCCCGCCCCTTTCCAGGACCGCCCACTGGCGGTATGCTCCAATCAGAGTCCTGGACGGGCGTTGCTAGGGAGACCAGGGACGCAGTGTTGACTCCACCCCAGGGCTACCTGGGGTTAATCCAGCCATCTCCAGCCCCGAGCTCCAAGCACCTGGCGGGGAGCTGACCTGTTCCTCTGACTCTGGATCCTACGAAGGAATTATTCTCCCATTTTAGACGCTGATATACAGCCGCAGATTGCAAACTTTTGGCCTTGGTGTTATTTAATACTGAGGGCCGGGCATTGGTGGCTCAGGCCTGTTATCCTAACTACTCTGGAGGCTGAGATCTGAGGATCACCGTTCAAAGGCAGGAAATTCCATGAGACTCTTATCTCCAATGAACCACCCAAAAGCCGGAAGTGGAGCTGTGGCTCCGGTGCCAGCCTTTAGTGAAACAGCAAAGCGATAGGGATGGGCCACAGGCACTGGGTTCAAGTCCCAGGCCCGGCACACACACGCACACACACACACACACACACACACACACACACACACACACACACATCCTACGAGAGGGACCTCTTCTAGATTTATTCTGTTACAGCAGCATCACTCTGTGATGGAAAAGCAGGAGCACACACCGGTCACACACTCATGCTCTGCTTCCTTTCATGCTATGCCCTATGTTACATGAGGACTGTTTTTTCCCATTCCTAGAGATCATAAACGGCTTTGCTCTAAGCACTAAAGTACATCCCTAGCTTTAAAAAAGAGAAAGAAAGAGACTGTGTAGATCGGGCTGGCCTTGAACTTGCAATTTTCTTGCCTCAGCCTCCTAAGTACTGAAATTACAATAAGTGTGCCACCACACACAGCTTGTGTTTATGCTCAGTCCCTCTTTCATGTTCTCTCAATCTTTTTCATTATTTTTATTTACTGTTTGCACTATAGCACTTAAAATGTCTGTTTTTTTTTCTTTCCAGTCTTGTGCTTGAACTCAGGGATGGCCTGGATGCTTTCTCTGAGCTTTTTCACTCAAGCCTGGTGCACTACCACTTATGTCTCACAGACTTTCCTTTCCAAGCTCGTTTCAAACCATGAGTCTCAGAACTCAGAATTATAGGCATGAGCTACCAGCACCCTGCTAAGTTGTCTAAAGTACACAGATAAAAGTATGTACATAAGTATGTAGTGATCTGAAGGCTGAGAGACTGACATTGTGATGTTGTAATGAAGGCAAAGTACACATGAAAAACACTGCCTGACTTAGAAACTGGCACAACTTTGATCAATTCTTCAAATAATGGAGAAAATTCTTTTTTTAGCCTGACAGTCCTGTGTTGGCCTCAGAGGTAAATAATCGAATCAAACCACCTAAGAGGTGTTATAGTAAGGGATGATGCTTTTGTTCTTTGAAAGTCCAAAGACTAGCCAGATGCCAGTGGCTCACGCCTGTAATCCTAGCTACTCAGGAGGCTGAGATCTGAGGATGCTGGTTCAAAGCCAGCCTGGGCAAGAAAATCCATGAGACTCTTATCTCCAATTAACCACCAGAAAACCTGAAGTGGCGCTGTGGATCAATGTGGTAGAGCACTAGCCTTGTACTGAAGAGCTCAGGGACAGTGCCGAGGCCCAGAGTTCAACCCCCACGACTGACAAAAAAGAAAAAGAAAACAAAAGAAAAGAGGAGGAGGAGCAGCAGCAGCACAGCAGCAGGAGAAGTCCAAAGACTTACCCAGAGATACTTTAAAAAAAATTATTTGTGATGCTGGAGAGCAAATCCAGAGCCTTTGGCATGCCAGACAAGTTCTTTTTGAGACAGGATATCACTAGGTAAGCAAGACTAGTCTAGAACTTGCAATTCTGCTTCTGCCTACCAGATTATAGGATTATAGGCTTGTACTACACCATGACTCATAGCTCTCTTTAACCTCCAAGGGTTATTATTTCTGACAGCAATCCCTTATACTAATCCTCACATTCCCTCTCTACTATCACATGTATATCTATATCTCAGGGTGAAATTTCTAGAAATGATTTAGTGATCTCTTGAGTGAAACTCCTAGAGGGAAAGAATGAGAAGCAGGGGCCATGAATGCCATTGGCAGTACACTTGTCATCACCTCCTCTTTCTCTATTAATACCCCAAAGCCATGAAAGAAAAATGTAACAGAAAACCTACACTGCAAGGCTGGGCTCAGTGGCTCACACCTGTAATCCCAACTACCACAAGGCTAAGATGTGAGGATCACAATTCCAAGCCATGCCAGGCAGGAAAGTCCTTTAAACTATTTCTAGTTCAACAAAAAGCCAGAAGTGGAACTGTGGCTCAAGAGGTAAAGCATCAGCCTTGAGTGAAAAAAAAAGTCAAGCAAGAGTATGAGGCTCTAAACTCAAGCCCCAGTATTGGAATAACAAGAAATAAGATGAATTGTACACATAAATGGACATATTAAACAGACCCCCCCCCACCCCATATACAACTATTTGAAAATGAAAAGAAAAAAATTGGACCACTGATTAAATTTGCATTCCAGAACAATAACAGACAAAAGCCTAAAGTATAAGTAAACAAATATATATTGTAGAAAAGTCTTTAATGTGTTGTTTTTGAGCAATTTTATGAAACAATATGTACTCATATATTCTATTCAATCATTGTTAAATTTCTTACTTGGCATTTAATGAGACTAACAACAAAGCTCATGCCTAAAATTCTAAGAAAATCTCACCATGTCAGAGTTGGGATAAAATTTCTTCAGTTTCTAGTAAAAACGGAACATAAAACCACAAACAAACAAACCCACACTTCCTCAGTGCTTGGATAAGGGAAGGTCTGCTACATAGCAATCATCTTTTTATTTATATTTTATTGGCAGTTCAGTTCAGTTCCAACAACATTTATTGAGCACCTACTGTGTACCAGGCACTGTACTAAATGCTGGAGATACAAAGATGAGAAAGACATGGTCCCTGTCATAACATTAGGATTTTAAATACAATGGTGGGTCTTTCAAAATGTTGAGACAATGAAAATGTGTTTTCATGTGATAAAACTGTAAAACCATTAAGACCTAATTCTGAAAGATTCACAGGATGGAAGGTAGGTAGTACTAAAAAATGTATACCATAGGTGTTTTTTTTTCAAGTATCTCATTCTTAGAAATATTATTGCCCACATTTGTGCTGTAGTCATAGCCGTAGCACAGTTTATGACATCACTCACACCTGAGCATGCCCGGATTCAGTTTCTCGCTGAGTTTATGAATTAGAATGGCTAATTCCTCTGTGGCCTGGCTCTTGTCCTCCAAAAGTTCATATCGAAGGCTGGAGATATCTTGCTTGATTTCTTTTAATTCACCTGGAGTATTTGGATCAAACATATATAACATACAATTGGTGGTCTGCTCTTCAGATTTAGAAAAGAACAAAGTGAAATTCCTACAATTTTAGTACCTTTGCTTCATAAACTCTTCCAAGACAATTTCTTCAACTGTTTGCCTTTGAAATGATTAAAAATAAACTATCTGTGCCAAATGCTGGCAGCTTATACCTATAGTTGTAGCTACACAGGAAGCTGTGATCTAAAGATTACAGTTCAAAAACCAGCTTGGGCAGGAAAGTCTGTGAGACTCATCTCCAGTTCAGCAACAGGGTGCTAGAAATGGAGCTGTGGTTTAAATAGTTAAGTGCCAGCCTTAAGGAAAAAAATTCAGGGATGGTGCTGAGACCCTGAGTTCAAGTCCTGTTAGCACTGCATGCACACACAGAGAGCCAAGGAAAAAATGTATTCAATATTTGTACAACAAAGTGGAGTTTTTTTCTTAAGACATGCATGATTCTATATAGTTTAATAAACAGTACTTTTGCCCCCATTGCTGGAAAAATGTTAGCATTACTGACCTTACTAAAAATGGATTGTGACTACCAATCTCTTTTTGTAAGAAAGGTGTGTGTGTAGATGCAATGCATGGATGCATGGATGCATGCTGGTTCCTGGGGCTTGCACTTAGGGCCTGGGAACTGTGCCTAAGATTTTTGCTCAAGACTGGTAGTCTACCAATTGAGCCACAAATCCACTTCATGCTTTTTGGTGGTTAATTGGAGATATAGGAGTCTCATGACTGTGCTGCCAGGGCTGGCTTTGAACAGAGAGCTTCAGATCTCAGCCTCCTGACTAGCTAGGATTACAGTAAGCACTGGAACCTGGCATGGATTTTTTTTAATTTACTTTTTTTGGTGCTAGTGCTGGGACTTGAACTCAGGGCCTGGGCGCTGTTCCTGAGCTTTCTTTGTTCAAAGCCAGTACTCTACAACATGAGTCACAGCTCCACTTCTGGCTCTTTTGCATCATTTATTGGATATAAGAGTCTCACAGGAGCTGGGAAGGTAGCTCAGTGGTAGAGCACTTGCCTTGCATACACAAAGCCCTGGGTTTGATTCCTCAGCACCACATAAGCAGAAAAAAAAAAAGCCGGAAGTGGTGCTGTGGCTCAAGTGGTAGAGTGCTAGCCTTGACCTGAAGAGGTGAGGGACAGCGCCCAGGCCCAGAGTTCAGGCCCACGACCGGACCCCCCCAAAAAAATTGTCTCACAGACTTTCCTGCCTGGGCTAGCTTCGAACCACAATGCTCAGATCTCAGCCTCCCGAGTAGCTAGGATTACAGACATGAGTACTGGCACTAGGCATGGATTTTTTTTTTTTTGGGGGGGGGGGCAGTTGTAGGGCCTGAACTCTGGGCCTGGGCGCTGTCCCTCAGCTCTTCAGCTCAAGGCTAGTGCTCTACCACTTGAGCCACAGCGCCACTTCCGGCTTTTTTCTTTTTGCTTATGTGGTGCTGAGGAAGGGAACCCAGGGTCTCAGGCATGCAAGGCAAGCGCTCTACCACTGAGCCACCTTCCCAGCCCTAGGCATGGATTTTTTAAAAGTGTGCTTCAATGTGATGTTTTCCATGCTCCTTAGATTAATTATGAAAAAAAATGTTTCTCAACTGGAGATTCTTACCTTCATTAACTTCATCATTTTCTTTGTCAACTTGTGCTTTCAGAACATAGCGCTTGATAAGTCTTTTCATTATCTGCTATTGGATGAAAGCAAATGATTATGTTACCAATAAGCCAATGAGAACCTGGTTCTTGTATCCAAAGAGCCCTGCAGTTCTGTATAGTAGCTAGTGCAGGGAAGACAAGCCTTTATTTATTTATTTTTATTTTATTAATTTTTGTCCAGTCCCAGGGCTTGAACTCTGGGCCTAGGAGCTGTCCCCAGGCCCTTGTGTTCAAGGCTAGCATTCTACCACTTGAGCCACAGCACCACTTCTGGCTTTTTCTGACTGGTTTATTTGAGATAAGAGTCTCATGGACTTTCCTGCCTGGGCTGGCTTTGAACTAGGATCCTTAGATCTCAGCCTCCTCAGTAACTGGGATTACAGGTGTGAGCCACCAGCACCCAGCTTATCACTTATTATTTTGGTCTATTTCCTTCAAGTATCTTTGAGTTTTATATACACGTGATTATGATATATGTTACCCTTTAGGCTTTCTACATATCAAACAGCTTGACATACTTTAGGTTTTCCTTTCTTTACAATATACAGTGACTAGTCTTCACAATATATAGTGACTATTTTTCCAGTCTAAATACGCATTTCTTTTCTTTTCTTTTCTTTTTTTTTTGTTGGCTGTTGGGCTTGAACTCTGAGCCTGGGCGCTGTCCCTCAGCTCTTCAGCTCAAGGCTAGCGCTCTACCACTTAAGCCACAGCGCCACTTCCAGTTGTCTGGTGGTTTGTTGGAGATAAGAGTCTCACGGACTTTCCTGCCTGGGCTGGCTTTGAACCGTGATCCTCAGATCTCAGCCTCCTGAGTAGCTAGGATTACAGGCATGAGCCACCAGCACCCAGCTTAAATAAACATTCTTACAGAATAATTGTTTCTTTATATGGAAAAGCCTACATTTGAGTCCTCATGCCAAAAATACAAAATGTGAAGACTTTAAATATGAAAAATAGCTTTTACATCTTTTAAGAGAAAGTAAAGGCGAACATATTTACTTCATAGAAGAGATGGATGTTTTTAAAAGGCAAAAATTCGAATTACAATAGAAAAGACTGACCAATTTCATCAACTTAGAAGTTGCATTTATAAGGATTCCATAATGAAAGTAAAAAAAAGCAAGCCACATTACAGGAAATAATACTGGCGATACTTACAGCTAATAAAGGATGGATGTGTTGGGCACTGGTGGCTCATGCCAGTAATCCTAGCTACTCAGGAAGCTGAGATCTGAGGACTATAGTTCAAAGCCAGCCTGTGTAGGAAAGTCTGTGAGACTCTTATCTCCAAATAATCACAGAAAAAAAGCTGGAAGTGGTGCTGTGGCTCAAGTGGTACAGTGCTAGCCTTGAGCAAAAAGGAGCGTAGGGATAGCACTCAGGCCCATAGTTCAAGTTCAAGGACTAGCAAAAAAAAAAAAAAGAATGGATGCAAATATAGAACTTTCACTGAATAAGGAAAAAACTCAACCAAGTTTTTTAAGATGGGCAAATGATACACAAGGATTTCACAGAAATAAAACGTGAATAATCTACAAATTTATGAAATAATGTAATCTCATACTTTTCTGTTGGGAAAACACAGATTATGACCAAAGCAAGGGACTTTTTTTGTTGGTTATGGGGCTTGACCTCTGGGCCTGGGTCCTGTCCCTGAGTTTTCTTGTGCAAGGCTAGCACTCACAACAGCTCCACTTCCAGTTTTTAAGTGGTTAATTGGAGCCAGCCCAGGCTGGCTTTGAATTTCAGATCTCAGTCGCTTGAGTAGCTAGGATTACAAGCTTAAGCCACCAGTGCCTGGTAGAAAAATTTATATTTAATAAAGGTAACAATAAATCAATTTGACAATGCCATGTTTAGGAAAGATACTTCAATCATAATATGGAAGCCCCATCCAGGGACTTTCTTCATGGTTTTGACACAAGTATAAAGAAATACACTACTTCACAAACAACCTGGCGTTATCTTCTCACGTTGAGCATGGGCACAGCCTTTCATATGGCAAGTCCACTCATTGTGGGGATCCTGGAGAAAATGTACAAGTGACCCAAGAAATGTAACAAGTCACAAGCCACCCTGAACCAAATGGCAAAACCTGGCAACAGTCTAAACAAATATACACAGAACAGACAAACACACCACAGGACAGTCAGAGGGTGTATTCGTGTGCATCATTAATCGTATTAATGAACCAGAGTCACAGGGGACAGTGTGGAGGAATCTTAGAAGCACAGTGAAAAGTTGAATGAAAAGTTCCACATGTGGAAGATCTCATAAAATGTGAAACTTTTCTTATAAATCTCAAGAACAGGTGAATCTATAAAAATAACCTTTATTTGAAAACAAAAACATAAAGATTAGAACCTTGGAACTTGTTTTGTAGCTGGCAATATATTTAAACTGGTAATACTACATGTTGATGAGAAACTTACCTGTTTGTTTATTTTTGGTGCCAGTACTGGGGACTTGAATTCAGGGCCTCATCCTCTTGCTTAGCTTTTTTTACTTAACACAAGTACTCTACCACCTGAACCACAGCTCCATTTCTGACTTTTTTGCTGATTACTTGCAGATAAAGAGTCTTAAGGACTTTCCTGCCCAGGCTGGCTTTGACCATGATCCTCAAATCTCAGCCTCCTGAGTAGCTAGGATTACAGGCTAGCTGTTGATAGTGCTATTTGAAGTTGAAGATATTATTACCCACAATCAAGTGCAATACAATTTAAAGTATTAATATATTGTTATCTAAAAGCATGTTTTAAAATGGCCTGTAATTTTACATTTAGTACCAGTAGGAAAATGAAATCTATTAAAACATCATAGAGGGCTCAAGTTTCCTAGAAAAATCCATTCATAGTAAATTCTTTCACTGAAGGGAAAATAGAAATGAATATTCATCTTTAAATACTCAGGGAAGATTATGATTTTAGGCTTAAATGTTTCCCTTTCAATATTTAGTGCTTTGAACTTAATATATACCCCATGAAAGTTTTATGCTAAAGGAGACTCTAAGAAAATGCATTCTTTTTTTTGTGGGGGGGTCAGGTCGTGGGGCCTGAACTCTGGGCCTGGGCGCTGTCCCTCAGCTCTTCAGCTCAAGGCTAGTAGCGCTCTACCACTTGAGCCACAGCACCACTTCTGGCTTTTTTCTTTTTGCTTATGTGGTGCTGAGGAATCGAACCCAGGGCCTCAAGCATGCAAGGCAAGCGCTCTACCACTGAGTCACCTTCCCAGCCCAGAAAATACATTCTTTACAGAGCTCTGTTATATTATCTTTTGGAACTCTGCTGGAAAAGCAGAATCAAGTGTCAAGTCCTGTCTTTTTCATTTCATTCATCTATTCATGCCAGTCTTGAGGCTTAAACTCAGGGCCTGGAGCTGTCCCTGAGTTTTTACACTGAAGGCTTGCAATCTACCATTTGAGTCACAGATCCACTTGCAGCTTTTGCAGTGGTAAACTAACAATAAGAGCCTCACTGACTTTCCTGTGTGGGCTGGCTTTAACCTAGGATTCTCAGGGCACAGTCTCCTGAGTAGCTAGGATTACAGGCATGAGTTACTAGTACACAGCCTCAGCCCCCATTTAACATTTTACCTTCAACTCCAGCTGATTTTCTCATTAATCAGTACCGAAAACTTAAATTGACCAATAACAGATTCATCTTTTGTTGTTCTTGGTCAAATTTCTAACTAAGACATCAATAGTCTATTGATAACTTTCTGTATTCTACAAACCTTCAGGAATTCTCTAGATTTTTTTGTATGGGCCTGTGAATCATCCTTTAAGAAAGGAATTGTGACTTTATAGCATAGACTATAGATGGTCCCCGTCCAGGATCTAGAACCCCCCCCCCCCATAACTTGAGTGGTAACTAGGCAAAGACCCTAGTTAGTTGTTTTGCAAATAAACCTAAATTTATGTTCAACTCCATATCAAGACTGGGAGAAAAAGTAGGATGTGGGTGGTTCTACTTGGAGTCAGTGGTTCACACCGGTAATTCTAGTTACTCAGGGGGGTGAGATCTGAGGATCTCCACCTCTTGAAGTCAGCCAAGTCAGGAAAGTCCTTGAGACTCTTATTTCCAATTTATCACAAAAAGTACAAAGTAGAGGGCCACCAGCCTTGGGCAGAAGAAGTTAAGCAATAGCTTCAGGCTAGCATCAAAAAGGAAGGAAGGAAGGAAGGAAGGAAGGAAGGAAGGAAGGAAGGAAGGAAGGAAGGAAGGAAGGAAGGAAGGGAGTTGAAAGCCTTCCTTTCCCAAGTGTCAAAACTTTCATTTGTTTGTTTCCCTGATTCAAATCCAATGAATTGTTGTTAACTACTCTATCTGCTATTTTACATTAATTGTCTTACTAAATTCACAGAGAAACAACTTTGTCCTGAGTAGGTTTGCTGCTATGAATTTCAGCCATTGAAAAAGTGTAAATGAAACTAATGAGATGGGTTGGGACAAACATCCGGAACTAAAAAAATACAGAGTACATTTTCCTGGAGGGAAGGGATCTGAGGAGGCAACCTTTTTTCATCCTTTCATGCCTCCCCTCATGAGACACGTGACAGGTATTGCGACACCATTCCCATAGAAACACCTGTGGATCAATGTGCTGTTACTGTCCCCCATACAGCTGGCTTCATCCATTGTGGATAACTGTAGCTGTTCGAAAACAACCCCTTTGTGCTAAGTAATCTGCTTCACTGTCATTTCTTTCTTTCTTTTTATAAATCTTTAAGTAATTGTACAAAGGGGTTTCAAGTCAACTCGCCAGTTTGAGTACAATGTGTCTTGGTCAATGTCATTCCTTCCATCATCTCCCCCATCTCTCCAACCTCACCCATCCCCTCAATTTTCCTTGTTCCATTTTCACACATGCACATCGTCTATTATGAATGTATCTACTTATCTTTCTCTTTTTATTCATCTGCCCCCTCCTGTTGGCCGCACCCCACTGACACTCAAGTTCTAGCTTCCTGGTATTCATTTTGTTAGACTATAGGTCAGTTGTTTAAAGGAGTTACATGATTGGAATCCTCCCCTGTGTATACTATATTTTAGTAATATGGTTGGGTATACGTATGCATGATCCTGTGTATGTCTACATATCTATTTATAAATCAAATCTAACTTCTACCTATGAAATAAAACGTGTCCCTTATCTCTCTGGGCATGGCTTATTTCACTTAACACAATCTTTTCTCCTCAGTTCTATCCATTTTCCAGCAAACGCCAAGTTTTATTCTTTGGAACAACAGAGAATAAGTTTACTTCTTCTACCTGATTGACTATCAAAGATTACTGGGCTTTTCTGGGCTCTGGGTTTCCATACCATTTACTTGTATGTCACTGTATCTGTTTGTATTTCTACCTCGTGTGTGAACATATCTATACCACATAGCTAGATTGCCATCTTGTGTGTTTGCTTCCTTTTTCTTCACTTTCTTTTCTTTTTGGTATCAGACTGATCATTCTCTCTTTTACTTGGCTTTTTCCCTCAAGGCTGGTGCTCTACCACTTGAGCCACAGCTCCACTTCCTGGTTTTGGCTGGTTAATTGGACACAATTATGGACTTTCTGCCTGGTCTGGTTTCAAGCTGTAATCTTCAGCTTGCACACTCCTGAGTTGCTAGGACTCCAGGCATGAGCCACCAGTGTTTAGCCTTCTTTCTCTCCCAAACACTGACTCAACTTGAATGGATCAATCCTTGGAGACACAGATAATTCCTTTGGATATCTGAAGTCTGGGCTGGTTTCAAACTGTGACCCTCAGCTCTCAGCTTCCTGAGTGGCTAGGATTCCAGCCCTGAGCCACCAATGCCCAGCTATATCTTTGAATTCTTATAATCTAAGATTATGCATCATGTCCTGAAAGGCCAGGACAAGTACTATGAATAGAGCTGGGTATGAAGGCTTTGGCCAGGGCTATAGCTCAGTGGTACAGCCCTTATCTAGCAACCACAAAGCAGTAAGTTACATCCTGTACACCCCAAAATCAAGCAAAAGAAAATGTAACCTTTAAAGGAAAATGAAATCTATTTAGTCAACTAAAGTCTAGAATTGATTGAAAGCTTATTATTGTTATCAATATTATTTTTATTATTATTATTATTATTATTATTATCATTATGAGTGCCTTTCCTGGGCCTTGAACTCAGGGCCTGGGTGCTGTCTCTGAGCAATTTTTGCTTAGAAGTAGTGCTCTACCATTTGAGCCACAGGTCTGTTTCTGGCTTTCGTGGTGATGAATTGGAGATAAGAGTCTCAGGAACTGTCCTGACTGGGTTGGCTTTGAACCATGATCCTCAGATCTCAGCCTCCTAGGTAGTTAGGATTACAGATGTGAACCACTGTACCTGGCTTGAAAGCTAATTCTTACCTGTTGTGATCATACTTGTGAAAGTCAGTATCAATCCAACAATTATAGTTCATATCCATTGTCACAAACTGAATGTTTTGTCAATGCCAAATTCATGCAAAGATCCTGACACCCCTGCCCCGCTCCCTGTGAGGCTATTCATGGTGATGAGGTCATCAGTTAGAGTCCTGACAAATCAGGTGAGTGCTCTTATAAAAGACCCCAGTAGCCAGGTGTCAGGGGCTCACACCTGAAATCCTAGCTACTGAAGAGGCTGAGATCTGAAGATTGTGGTTTAAAGCCAGACCCAGAAGGAAAGTCCATGAAACCCTAATCTCCAATTAACCACCAAAAAGCCAGAAGTTAGAGCTGTAGCTCTCAAGTGGTAGAGTGCCCGCCTTGAGCAAAATACTAAGGAACAGTGCCCAGGCCCTGAATTCAGCACACACACACACACACACACACACACACACACACGAAATATTCTTGACCCTTTTCTAACATGAGTTGAGGTAGCAAGAAGAGAGACTATGAACCAAAATCAGGCTCCCACTGGACACTGAATCTGCAGGGGCCTTGATCTTGGACATTTAGCTTCCAGAAGCATGAGGAATAAATGCTTGTTTAGACTGCCCAGTCAATGGGCACCCATACCATATAAAAAACATAACACATAAAAATAGACGCTAGGTTACTTCTTCAATTACAAATAGCGATCATTTGTTCATTTGAACCAGTGTCCTTAATGCATTAAAATACTTCCTGAAAATGCTAGATGGTATGTTGCTTACATTTCATACCCTGCAAAAATCATTTATTTTGAAGTGTTTTCACTCGTTACAATGTAAGTCCTAATTACACTCAAAGAAACTTATTCTTGCTGGAAGCTAGTGGCTCACTCCTATAATCCCAGATACTCAGGAGGCTGAGATCTGAGGACTGTAGTTCCAAGCCAACCCAGAAAGAAAGTCCATGAGATTCTTATCTCCAATTAACCATAAAAAACAAAAGTGGAGGTGTGGTTCAAGTGGTAGAAGACCAGAATTGAGCAAAAAAATCTAAGAGATAGCCCCAAGTTCAAGCCCCAGTATCAGAGCACGTGCATGTGCATGAGTGCACACACACACACACACACACACACACACACACACACACACACAACTCTTAATTGCTAATAAAAGCCATCAAGAAAAACAAATATATGCTAAATCATAAGAATATACAATATTGCACATAAGAAGATCAAACTTGGCTGGGCACCAGAGGCTCATGCCTGTAATCCTAGCTACTCAGGAAGCTGAGATCTGAGGATCGAGGTTCAAAGCCAGCCCAGGCAGGAAAGTCTGTGAGGCTCCTATCTCCAATAAGTCACTAGAAAACCAGAAGTGGTGCTGTGGCTCAAGCGATAGAGCTCTTATCTTGAGTTGAAGAGCATAGGGACAGTATCCAGGCCCAGAGTTCAAGTCCCAAAGCGACAAAAAAACAAAAAGGTCAAACTCGTTCACAACACAAAAATGTGGAGATAAAAACATTTTCATTTATCTATTTGTATACTCATCTTGGTAACATATTTTTGGTAAATTAAGCAGGAAATGGGTATTTCCATGCATTTACTGTAAGAGTATAGACTGGTGTAAGCTCCATCAAAATTGGATTGATAATCGCTAAAAATTAAAACACAAATATGTTAACCAGACAATTCTGTACATTTGCACTTGTTTGAAATGCAATTATTGGTAGTAGTATTTCACATACATGATTAAATACTGACTATATTCCATTTCTATTCTTTATTTCTATTCTCTACTTGATATATCCATCAAATATAAGGATGTGACAATCGGTGTGCCAATCAATTTTGCACCATTTCCTGGTAAATGATATAAAGATGAGTGTCATCATTAGTTAACATGATCAGGGCCTCATTTCACCTTATATACATCAGAATCTAAAGCTCTGATCACAAAGAAGTATGACCTCTTTTTTTTTTTTTGCCAGTCTTGGGGCTTGAACTCAGGGCCTGGGTGCTGTTCCTAAGCTCTTCAGCTCAAGGCTAGTGCTCTACCACTTGAGCCACAGCACTACTCTGGCTTTTCCTGTGTATATGGTACTATGAAATCGAACCCAGGGCTTCATGCATGTTAGGCAAGCACTGTACCAGTAAGCCACATTCTCAGCCCCATATGAACTCTTTTTGACCGCTTTTTTGTTGTTGTTGGTCATGGGGCTTGACCTCAGGGCCTGGGCGCTGTTCCTGAGCTCTTTTGCTCAAAACTAGCACTCTACCACTTAAAGCCATAACGCCACTTCCGGTTTTTTAGTGGCTAGTTGGACATAAAGAGTTTCACGGGGACTTTTCTGCCTGGGCTGGCTTCGAACTACGACCCTCAGATCTCAGCCTTTCTGAGTAGCTAGGATTACAGGTGTGAGCTACCGGCTTTATAACCCCTTTTGAGATGTAGAAGAGTCTTCAAATGTCCCATTCAACAGCAAAAGCTATCTTGAAGCAGTACTGACTGCAGTCTACACCAGCCTAACAACCATTTGGAAAATGAATCACCTAAAAAAAGCCTGTGAGGTGTGTCAGATCTCCACACTGTGAGAGCATTCTTTTAACATATTGTATCTCCCACTTCTTTCTCCAGCTTAAGGTTTATGCAAATGTTCTTTGAAAAATTATAGGAACACTTTGCTTTCAATGTTGCCAAGGTAATTTCCTCATCAAAACCAAACCAAACTAAACCCCAATAAAGGACAGATTTCCCTCATTTGTTATCATTAGGATGTGCCTATAAATCTACAAGTAAACCCAATTAATAGTAAACGGCAAAAAAAATTACACTTGGACATGATAAACTTAACAGACTCTAAACATTCACACAGTGAGACCAAAGGAGGATATTCTTAGGAGAGGAGCACAAGGGCTCAGTAGCTATGTGCATATGATCATATGACATGATGCTTATCAAAATGAACTCCACCAAGTGAAATGAGAGGTTTTATTTTGTTCATTTTACTTTTTGTGCTTATTTTTCTTTTGTCGTTTTCCCCTTTGTCTCTTTTTTTGATTTCTGTATCTTTTGTCTTGTATGTAAGTTTATCTGATTTGGGGACTGGAAGGAAAAGCACCGAAATGGTGGGACAAAGGCTGAACTAATTCAGCAGTGATACTAGACACTATGGTGACAATAAACTATACAACTTGAGGAGGGGGGGGTGTTCAGGAGGGAAAAATTGGGAGAAAATGAGGGAGGTGGGGGATGACTGTTCAAAAAGAAATGTACTTCATCCCTCTGTACATCATCTTTACAATGAAAAAACGTTTTAAAAAAGGACTGAACAAGAATACTATTTTCTTATTTTCTGTGTTCTGTACTATCCCTTTAGTATATTTTAAGACTACCCCATTAGACACACACACGCACACACACACACACACACACACACACACACACACACACACACACACACACACACGGATTCTCAGAGAGATTTGTCTAATGAATGCTTACCTGATAGCGTGTTGGCTGGTTGAGAATGCTGTTGAAACTGTGTGATTCAAAAACTCTTGAGTTAGACTGAGTGAAGAGGTTTAACTAGGAAAAAATACAATTAACCTAGTAAATTAGAATACATTTATTTGGAATTAGAAATACAGTCTATTTTCCTTGATAACCTTTTTAAAGTTAACATATCTGAGGAACATGTGTGGTAGCTAAGTTTTACAAATGATTTAATGTTTTTCCAAAGGGAAATTGAATGGGAAAAATATGGTCACACTTGTCAAAATGCTAGCAAGATGGACTGTCATAGAACTGTCCATTAATAATGTATATTTAAAAGTGGAATAATACTAAAGACAAATTTTCCTGTGAATCTGATAAATTCATCAAAATATCCTCATGGCATCTAAAAGTACAAGTTTCCCTGAAGTGGTTTAATCTGTTCTTGAGCTGAGTTTTTGTCTTAGACTTAGCAAAAGTTCACTCTCAGGATGGTGCTAGCTGGTATTTTACAGTCCTAAAATATCAACCCAGGGCTAGGAATTTGACTTAAGTGATAGAGTACTTGTGTAGCACACATGAAGCCCTGGGTTTGATTCCTCAGTACCACATAAACAGAAAAGGCTGGAAGTGGTGCTGTGACTCAAGTGGTAGAGCGCTAGCCTTGAGCAAAAAGAAGCTCAGGGACAGCACCCAGTCCCTGAGTTCAAGACCCAAGACTGGCAAAAAAAAAACACTATACAAATAGCACATCTTCGCAAAGCCTACAGTATACAGGGAGTGTGTGTGTGTGTGTGTGTGTGTGTGTGTGTGTGTGTGTGTGTGCGCACGCTCGTGCACGTGCGCGTGTGCATGCTGGCTGGCACTGGAACTTGAACTCAGGGTTTCATGCTCCTACTTAGTTTTATCTGCTCAAGGCTGGTACTCTACTACTTGAGCCACACCTCCATTTCCAGCTTTTTGGTGTTTAATTAGAGATGCATAGTTTCACAGACTTTCCTGCTAGGGATGGCTTTGAACCACTATCCTCGGATTTTGGCCTCTTGAGTAGTAAGGATTACAAGTGTGAGCCATTACCACTCGGCACATCTGACCTTATATGGAGCCAGGACCACAACTTTGGAGAGAATTAGGCTAGAGAATGTTAGGTTTTCTTTTCTCTTTTTCTCTTCTTAAGACTTAGAGTGTGAGTACCGAGCATGAGGAATACAAAGGCGCTGGCTGTTATTCATGCACAGGACCTCTTCTTCATGGACAAGAAGCCATCTACAAGGTGTTGTTCAAAAGCAGGACTTTTTTTTGGGGGGGGGGGGGGGTCCGGTTGTGGGACCTGAACTCTGGGCCTGGGCTCTGTCCCTCAGCTCTTCAGCTCAAGGCTAGCGCTCTACCACTTGAGCCACAGCGCCACTTCCGGCTTTTTTCTTTTTGCTTATGTGGTGCTGAGGAATAGAACCCAGGGCCTCATGCATGCAAGGCAAGCGCTCTACCACTGAGCCACCTTCCCAGCCCTAAAAGCAGGACTTCTTGTTCAAAAAGATATGTTCACTCCCCCCATCCCCCAATCCCGGCCAAGTCGATGCAGGAAGGTGTGGGATATTGGAAAGGAATCAAGAGGGTCTGATAGGAAAGACTTCGTTTAGTATGATTGGAGAAAAACCTTAGCTGAGAGTGAAATTTTCCTATTGGCCACTAGAGGTCAGGACCTGATGGCTGATTGAAATACATGTACAGGTTAGTGGGAAATGTCTGAGGCCCATTCTCCCTCCAAACAACAAGAAGCCAGGAAACCAGAAATCCTCCAACATTTTTTTTTGTGTGTGTGTCGGTTGTGGGGCTTGAACTCTGGGCCTGGGTGCTGTCCCTCAGCTCTTCAGCTCAAGACTAGCGCTGTACTACTTGAGCGTTGGTGCCACTTCCATTTTTCTAGTGGTTTATTGGAGATAAGAGTCTCAAGGACTTTCCTGCCCAGGCTGGCTTTGAACCTCCATCCTCAGGTCTCTCAGCCTCCTGAGTAGCTAGGTGTGAGCCACCAGCGCCCAGCTTCAACATTTTTTTTAAAACTAAATTTGACATTGGAGATTGTCTATATGACTATGAATAAGATTAAAGAAGTTTAACCAGGTGTAGAGGCACAGGCCTAGAAGCCCAGAGACTGGAGAGGCTAAGGTTGGAAAACCATAAGTTGGAAACCAGCCTTAGCAACTTAGGAAGATCATGACAAAAAAAAGAAGGAATGAAAGGAAAGACAGGAGAGATCAGGATAGACCGACAGATAGGCAGAGAGAAAGAGAGGCAAGGGAAAGAAGAGAAGGGGAAAGAAAAAAGAGAAAAAAGATATGGATAGACAATATCTATCTATCTATCTATCTATCTATCTATCTATCTATCTATCTATCTATCTGTCTGTCTATCTATCTGCCTATATATCATCTATTAAGAAAGTGAGAAAAAAAGAAGGGAGGGAGAAATAAAGGGAAAAAAAGAGGCCCAAAGAGATTTAAACAGTTCTATGTAAAATGGCATTGTGTGTGTGTGTGTGTGTGTGTGTGTGTGTGCGCGCGCGCGCGCGCACGCCTTACTGGAGCTTGAACTCAGCACATTGCACTCTCCCTTAGATTTTCTGCTCTAAGTCTGGTGCTCTACCACTTGAGCCACATCTCCATTTCTTGCGTTTTGCTAGTTCATTGGAGATAAGAGTCTCATTGACTTTTCTACCAGGGCTAGCATCAAACCTCCAACCTTAGATCTCAGCCTTCTGAGATTAGGGGTGGGAGCCACTGGAGCCTGGCTTCTGTTAACCAATTCTATTTATGTAAACTAAGCTCATGCTAGTAAAGTGCAACAGGAAACTTACCTTCTTTGTTAAAATTAATACCTGACTCAATCGGTATAGCCCTAGGATAAACCATACAGGAATATTTATAAAATGGGTATTTACAGCCCTGTGAGGATGTGAGGCCTGTATCTATTTTATGATAGTAAAGGAAGAAAGATTAGCCTAGGAAAAGGTCCCTACAAAAAAGAAAAGAAAAGACTTTGGTGTGGCAAAACCATACATATACCAAGGGAAAGAGTTCAAAATATTCCACTTCAGAATAACAGCTGAGAAGCACAGAACACACAAAAACACAGTGTTTCCCAGAATAACTTTTCTGTTAAACAAGTTATGGACACTTTCTGTTTGCTTTTGATCTAGCAGTTTACAGGAATTTCTGACCAAAAGCAGGGCATAGACTAAGTGACTTTTTGATAGAAGTATTAAGTATTAGTCTATGCGCTCATGGATTGGACAGTTAATTGTTAACTTCTTCTAAGTTCACCCTTAAAAATTATCAAACAAACATTAAAAGACAAGGAGGAAGAAACAAAGCAAGTCATATGTTAAAGTCTTGGTGAGTTTTCAATGCCTACCCTTGACTTTGAGTTACCCATTCCCATTTCCAGATCCTTCTGTAGCCTTCTCCTTCTGCATTTGGAAAAGTTCATGATCCTCATGATGAAATACACAAAAGATTTGGGACTAGGGACCAGACTGAAGGGTGGAGGTAAGGTTTTTCCATCGTCAAAATAGGATAACCAGAGCTTTGAACGAGCAAACTTCCATTCTACGTCACTGTCATCCTGAATTACAAAAAAGATAAAGGATTCATTGTAAGAACTTAGGTTGATTACTAGGATATCTGGTTTTAAAACCTAAGAACTGATTTAAAGTTAGTTTTTTCTTTTAAGTTAATTTTTACATAAGTAATGTATGCACATTGAATTGCATATGCTGCTTATATGCCAATATAACATGCTATCACTTCTTTTATTTTGTGTGTGTATATGTGTGTGTGCACGCACACACATGCGCATGCATGAGCACATGTACCAGTTCTCTGGCTTGAATTCAGGACCTGGGTGCTCTCACTTAGCTTTTTTTGCCCGAGGTTAACATTCTACCACTTGAGCTGCAGCTCTACTTCTGGCTGTTCGCTGGTTAAGTGGAAATAAGAATCTCAGTCTTTCTTGTCCTGCAGGCTTCAAACTGCAGTCCTCAGATCTTAGCCTCATGAGTAGCAAGGATTACAGGCTTGTGCTACCAGTGCCTGGCTCCTGCGGTCACTTCTATGATGCACATGCAGTTTTTTTCGCCACCATACCCCTGTAATGATATCCACTAAAATCTACCCAGAATTTCCTACTCACTACCCAAAGACCAAGTAAAAAGACAAGAAAAATCCAGGGTCAAATAAATACCAAAATACTAATTCCTAGCCAGGTGCTGGTAGCTCAGGCCTGTAATCCTAGCTCCTCAGAGGCTGAGATCTGAGGATCTCCATTCAAAGACAGCCCAGACAGCAAAGTCCATGAGACTCTTATCTCCAATTAACCTCCAAAATACCAGAAATGGAGCTGTGGCTCAAGGCACCAGCTTTGAGTGTAAAAGCCAAGGGAGTGTATGCAGCCCTGAGTTCAAGCTCCTGTACTGGCACAAAAATAATGATTAATTCCTGCCTCCATCTTTTCCCTCTCCAACTCTCCAGGCTTCACGTGAGTTCTCTACTGTATACCCCTCTGTCCCAAGACACATTCAAGCTGGGGAGAAGATGTGGCAGATTATACTCTGAGCACAAAGGAAAGGGTAGCATTTAGGTTAACTGCCTTGGAGTTTATGTTTCTGCCACTTGTCCTCATATGTCACATGAGTTCTCCAGTGGGCTCGAGCCATCTTTGCATTCTCATCTGTCCTTAGCCACACCCAGAGTGCTGGGTTTAATTATCCCAACTGACTGAGGAAGTACAGGGGGAGGGGAGAAAGAGAGAGGGAGAGGAAAAGAGAGGAGGAGTGGGGAAAGGGAGAGGGAATGTCAATACTAGAGTTTCCATTGTTACAGTACATAGATTCTGCTTGAAGGATGATGTATCATGAGGCTGTAACACTCTCTCTCTCTTTCTCTCGCACGCACACACACACACATACACACACACACACTGAGATTTAGCAGAGTTAATGAACTAGTAGAGCACTAAGAATGTACTAAACCCTCAACTGGGTAAAGGACATAAGGAAATACACACAGCAATAAAGAATGTGGCTTAAACCGAGCCACATTACTAAAGCCAAATTCTAAAATACTGAGGATTCTGATTGGATGGAAGGCATCAACCAAACTCATGGTTCACACCTGTAATCCCAGCCACTCAGGAGGCTGAGATTTGAGGATAAAGGTTCAAAGCCATTTCTGTATGTCAACAATGAGAAAAGTGTGGCTGAAATTGGGAAAGCAACTCCATTCGTAATAGCCCCACAAAAAATAAAATACCTAGGAATTAACTTAATCAAAGAAGTGAAGGACCTCTATGATGAAAACTTTAAAAACTTGAAAAAGGAAATCAAAACAGAACTTAGAAAGTGGCAAAAACTCCCATGCTCCTGGATTGGAAAGATCAACATCGTGAAAATGGCAATAGTTCCCAAGGCTATCTACAAATTCAATGCAATACCTATCAAAATTCCAACCTCATTCTTCAAGGAAATAGAAGAGGCAATCCAAAAATTCATATGGAACAATAAAAGACCCCAGATTGGTTGGGGGGCGGGGGAGGATGGGAAGGGATGGGAAGGGGAAACAAAGGAGGAGGCTACAATGCTTCATAAGAAAAGTACTCATTATCTTGCCCATGTAATTGTAACCCCTCTGTGCAGTATTTTCACAATAAAAAAAAAAAGGTTCAAAGCCAGCCTGGGAGGAAAGTCCATGAGAATCTTATCTCTCATTAACCATCAAAAAGCCAGAAGTGTGAGTTGTGGCTCAGGTGGTAGAGTGCTAGACCCAAAGCAAAGAACAGTTCCCAGGTCCTGAGTTCAAACCAGTACCAGTAGCCTTCCTCCCAAAGACAGAGAGAGAGAGAGAGAGAGAGAGAGAGAGAATCAACCATTTTTGCCAGGCATCTGCAATTTTTACACCAGGAATAATGGCTAGCTTTCTAACCTAGGAAGCAACAATTTCCCCATGGGCAATATTTCTAACCAGTAATCATGAAACTTCTGCCTGTGATATTGCCAGAGTGACAGTAAACTCATGGACTCCCTGCTCTGCTCCAGAAAGAACGAGGAGTATGACTACCTATCCAGGTAGAAGGACAGGGGAAGCCTCTCTGCTTGGATATCTGCCACTTGTTACAGAAGCTGAGGCTGGATCAGAGGAGTCTGCTGTCATCTACCATCAGCACTGGGTGATGAGGAACGATGCCATGAGGGGCAAACACACTTACCTCAATTTCTTGATATGAGCTGTTAATCATAGCAATGAGCATGTTGAGCAAAACGACTACCATAGTTACATTGTATATTCCGTAAAGAACATATCCAATATTCTCTATGAATTTGTGATCATATTTAAGAACAACAGAAGTCACTTCTGACAACCCAAAGATGGACCAAAACAAAGTCTTGAAACTTTCTTCTACACTGTTGAAAAAAACAGAAGACATACAGTAATTTAATGGTTTTTCAGCAACTAAAAAGCCAAAAGTAAAAACAATTTCCGGTTTGATCCTATACTGATGTAAAGCACCAATAAAACATATTCATAACAAATTAACAATTACTTCTAGTAAAAATTCTAAGATATATATCATAACAGAATTAATAACATAATATAATATATATTTGAAGATACTAGGGTTTGAATTCTGGCTTTGCTTTTGCTCAGCTGGTGCTCTGCCACTTGAATCACACCTCCAGCCCTGTTTGGTGCTGGTTAACTGGAAATGGAATCTCTCAGACTTTTCTATTTGGGCTGGCTTCAAACAATTATTCTTCAGATTTCTGCCTTCTGAGTAGCAGCAAGGATTACAGATGTGAGAATGTGAGCTACTGGGTCTGTTATGATATTAATAGAAATAACAGGCTTAGGTTTTCAGAAACTGGTGCTGATACCTAGATTTTCTGAAGTTATCATCAAGTACTAGTTCGCTCACTTAGCAGGGCAGAGTCAAAGTCATATCATACTACTTGTGATATGAACGTTTGGGATTTGATTTTGTAGGTGGTTCAGAAAGTTAAATCAGGGGGGCTGGGAAGGTGGCTCAGAGGTAGAGCGCTTGCCTTGCATGCATGAGGCCCTGGGTTCGACTCCTCAGCACCACATAAGCAAAAAGAAAAAAGCCGGAAGTGATGCTGTGGCTCAAGTGGTAGAGTGCTAGCCTTGAGCTGAAGAGCTGAGGGCAGCGCCCAGGCCCAGAGTTCAGGCCCCACGACCGACCAAAAAAAAAAAAGAAAGAAAGAAATTTAAATCAGGGTTTCTGAAGTCAAACAGTGCAAGAATTAAAATGATATACACACTTCACAAAGTCTCTATGAAGTATGGTCTCTGTGACATCATTTGTAAAGAAGTAATTTGTTAGAATATAAACAATGTCAACATGCAGGGAGCAGACTAAACAATTCTGGTATATTCAGATAGCAAGATGCTATCCAACCATTGTGTAATATAAAATGGTATCAGAGATATTAGGTGAACATGAAATGCAGCAAGGGTGAACTGTTTCATCATTTGAATAAGGAAGGGGGAAACAAATATGCGTATTCTTCCTTATGTATAAATCGTTGCTGCCAGCTTCACACCCGGAATCCTAGCTACTCAAGAGGCTGAGACTGAGGATTGTGGTTCAAAACCATCTTGGGCAGGAAAGTCTGTGAAACTCTTATCTCCAATGAACTACTCAGAAAAGCCAGAAACTGTTCTGTGTCTCAAGTGGTAGATCACCATCCTTGAGTGAAACAGTTAAGGAACATTGTCCAGGCCCTGAGTTCAAGCCCCAATACAGCACATGCACGCACACACACACAGTATTGGTTGAATATGAAAATGTGTTCCCAGGAATACTGAACATAGACTATGTTATCTCTCTAGAAACAAATACTTCACCAGAAAAAAAAAATGGTGGATGCAACAGAAATGAGATATTCTGGTTATTTTTCCTTAATTTATATAGTCTATCTCTTACTTTTTCCATCATTAAGGTTAGTATATAGGCCCTCAATACAATAATCCACTCCTTTTCCTGTTAAATGACTAGTGGTAGCATGTATTTGGTTGATTTTGCTATTTTACCAGGTTGTAATCACTGATCTCCAAACACAGCAAACAATCCTCCAAAAGACCTAGAGGTGATATTCCATCACAAAGAAGAGTGAACAAAATAACTTTTCCCCCAGAAAATGATTTATGGAAATTGTTCTTAAATTTTATTTATTTATTTTTATCTGAGACCGGGACTCGAACTTGGTACTTGATGCTTTTGCTCACTGGCTAGTGCTCTACCATCTGAGCTATACTTCACCAACCCCTGGAAACTGTTTTGAAAACTTTTTGTAAACAACAAATTCTAAATAACATTACAGATAATAAATTAAATATTAATTCATTTATTCATTCACTCAATTTTTTTTCTTTTGGTGCCAGTCCTGGGGCTTGAACTCAGGGCCTGGGTGCTGTCTCTGAACATATGGCTCAAGGCTAGCACTCTACCACTTGAGACACAACTTCATTTTTGGCTTTTTGCTGCTTCATTGGAGATAAGAATTTCGTAGATTTTTCTGCCTGGGCTGGTTTCTACCCATGATCTTCAGATGTGAGTCTCTGAGTAGCTAAGATTACAGGCATGAGCCACTGGTGTCTGGCTTACTCAGCCAGTACCGACAGCACATCTATTATGGTCTAGAATTTCTGCTAGACTCAGGGGAAAAGAGTTGACTAGAAGAATTTCTATTCCTATAGGTTGACTCTCTATTATGATACATTTGATGTGTGATGTTAGAGGATGTTGATAGCAGCTTTTTTCCTCTTACCTCTGCATTTATTTAACCACCACACAACATTCTCCTGCCTCTTCCTCTTGCTCATCTGTAAATTTCCTGGCCTTGATCTCTTTGTGTCTGTGTAGCGTGGATGTGCAGGGAGGAGGGGGAGCAGTAAAAATGGAAAGGACTCTGGAAGTTCTGAGCTCCTACTGTGGGCAAGATCTGTGTATACCTCCCCTTACATAATCCTCACAATGGCCTCATTTAAACCTACGGTGCTTATTTTTAAAATGAGGAAAATGACACCGAGAAATGCTCAGGAACTGAAGCAAAAGGCACAGCTAGAAAAACAGCAGAGAATGCATTAAAACCCTGGCTTGCCTGACTTTTCAGTCCTTTTTCTTCCCACTGCCCTCATGTCGCCACCCCATGGGCACTCCCCCCAAAAAGTGTAGAAGTGTGCGATGCTGATGGCTCACACCTATAATCCTAGTTAGGAGGCTGAGGTCTAAGGATTTGTGGTTCAAAGCCAGCCTGGGGCAGAAAAACTTATGAAAATCTTATCTTCAGTTAACTACTCCTCCATCCCGCCCCCCACAACAAAAACCCTGGGAGTGGAGCTGTGGCTCAAATGGCAGAGGACTAGCCTTGAGCACAAAAGTTCAGGGACAGTGCCCAGGCCTGAGTTCAAGCCCCAGGACACTCTCTCTCTCTCTCTCTCTCTCTCACACACACACACACACACACACACACACACACACACACACACAAAGTGCAGAAGAAGTAAATGCAGAAAATGAGTTACCATTGAGTTAGGAGGAAGAGGGCAGACGTGGTGCTCAGTGTTGGTGCCCCATCTCCCCCATGGGTCAAATAGATTATTTTCCTTCATTCTAATAAAGTGAGTTTCAGATCTCCTCCACCTGTGAGACCTGGCCGTGTATGAACTATTTTCAAATTAGCTTTAGAATAATTTTGATATCTGCAAGGGCTGGATATTTTTCCCTCGATACTTCTGTCCAGGGAACTTACTGAACGTGTAAGTAGTTTCTAATGGTTTTGATTTCTGGGCGAACAGGGAGGATTCATGTACTTTCTACCACAGGGCTAAAGAAATAAACAGGGGTGCGATATCCCTGACAATCTGGATGTCTTCATGCTGAGGAATTTCAGAGGGATGGTGATTATGAAAGCTTTAATCAAGGAAGACTTGCGGGAGGTGATGGATCTCACTTTTATCATCAGGGAAGGAAGTGTAACATCTTGGCAGTGGCCTGTAAACATTTAGCTCTCCTTCACACTTATCAATCCCTGAACTGGCCAGTGACCAGCATGTTAAAATGAGGTTTCTTTCCCGCCCTCCTCCCCTCTTTGCCCCCCCACCCCTGCCCACTTCACCCCATGCTGGTCCTGGGGCTTGAACTGGAGCTTTTTGCTCCAGGCTAGTGCACTACCAACCACTTGAGCCACAGCTCCACTTTCTTGGTACTCTCAGAGAGTTTCCTGCCCAGGTTGGCTTTGAACCATAATCTTCAGATTTTAGCTTTCTGAGAAGCTAGGGTTACAGGCCTGAATCACTGGCTTGAGGATCATGCCCTGTTTTTGAACGAATAGTGTTCATTTTAGTGAGACTAAACACTATGTCATATATAATGGACAAGACATCCAGTAATCAAAATTTGTTACCCCATACTCTTAAAAGACTTTGAGATCTGTCTCCAATCCTAATTAATTCTATGGTCAAATATCAGGAAGTTCAAAGAGATAGTCTGTGAAGCCATCCAATCACATGCAGGTACTCACTTTCTTTATGGATATCTGCTCTTATAAACATATTGAAAAAGTGGAGGTGTGGTTCAGGTGGTAGAGTCAGCTTGAGCCAAAAACAACATGTCAGAGTGCAAGGCTCTGAGTTCAAGCCTCAGTGCTGGCACCAACCAACTAACCTACCACCTAACCAAATCTTTATAAAAACAGTCAAAAATTTTCCTTTTTTTTTTTCTAGCCCTGCTAGAATTTGTCTTCATGTACCTCTCAAATAAGATGTTTTACCACTGGACACTATGTTGAAAATGAACCATAGAACTTGTAGGTGGGGGTGGGGAGGGGAAAACTGGGAGACAGCGAAGGAAAGGGTGACGTTGTCCAAAAAGAAATGTACTCTTTACCTGACATATGTAACTATGACCCTTTGTACATCATCATTATAATAGAAATAAAGGATTTTTAAAAAAATAAAGTACATTGTATTAGTTAAAAACAAACAACAACCAACCCCCAAACAGGATGTTTTACTTACGTGGTAAAAGCAGGATTTACTTTGGCTCCAAGGTAGTAAGAATAAAGTATGAACATGCCGATCATAAAGGCCAGGAACACCATAATAAAGAGAACCATGAACTTGAAGATGTCTTTCACAGTTCTTCCCAGGGAGATCTGCAAGGGGCCAAAGCTCTCATTGGCAGGAAGGATGTAGGCAATCCGGGAGAAGCTGAGGACAACGGCGATGGCATACAGACCTTCAGAAATGATCTGGGGGTCAGAGGGGAGCCATTTATCTCTGGCTAGAAGAGAGAGCAAAAGGAATTTTGAAAATGGAGTATAGGATCACGAAGGTGCCATGTCTATGAGCATCTGACCACACAAAATGATATTTATCGACGTCAATTCCAGGAATTGGAAACAAGAGGTGTTTTTTTTCTTTGTTGCCATTTCTTTTTCCTTTTCTATTCTTTCTTTCTTTTTTGGGGGGGGGGAGGTCCGGTTGTGGGGTGAGCTCTGGGCCTGGGCCCTATCCCTCAGCTCTTCAGCTCAAGGCTAGCGCTCTACCACTTGAGCCACAGCACCACTTCCGGCTTTTTTCTTTTTGCTTATGTGGTGCTGCGGAATCGAACCCAGGGCCTCATGCATGCAAGGCAAGCGCTCTACCATTGAGCCACCTTCCCAGCCCCTTCTTTTTTCCTTTTCTGTCTTGTTTGTTTTTCTGTCTTTGGGAGGGTAAGGGGAGAGCACAGAAATGGAGGGGCAGAGGGTGAACAAATGCAGCAGTGGTGCTCACTAGATACGGTGTGGAAAATGAATTATACCGTTTATGGGAGGGAATGGAAGGGAAAAATTGGGAGAGAGCAAGAAAAGGAGGGGGTGACACTGTCTAAAAAGAAATGTACTCATGACCTGACTCATGTAACTGTCACCTTTATAATAACAATACAACATTAAAAAATGAGAATAGTATATATAGGTTTCAATAAGAGGAGCAATTCAACTATCTTGTGGGGGTTGTAGCTGGGTAAGGGGAACTCATGTGTTCTTCATTGGTATGTCCTTCCCAAACACCCTCCTGGAAATATCAGAGGCCCCCACGGCAAGCGACTTACCATAGGTGAAATACTGAATTTCTGGTGGGAGCGTGACCTCACTGAGATCACTCTCCTGGATGTAACTGTCCACGTACTGCTGGGCTTTCGTGGCCTGAAGGAAAGCGAGGAATCTGGCAGTGAATGCGGCAATGAAGATAGACAGCATCCCAAAGTCTAGAACATTCCACAGCTGCAGGATGTATTCCCTTGGGCCTTCTAGCCACAGCTCCTTGCACTCAGACCACATCATTCCTGTCCCAGGACATACAGGGGTACGGGTTTAGCCACGAGAGCTTAGCCATTATTTTATTTGCTTATTTATTTATTACTATGCTGATGCTGGGAGTTGAACCCGAAGTCTTCGGCTCTTGTTTAGGTTTAGTGTTCAGGGCTGGACCTCTATTACTTGAGCCACACCTCCACTTCTGGCCTTTTGCTGGTTACATGGAGATAGAGTCTCATGGACCTTCACATCTCAGCCTCTGCTGTAGCTAGGATTATAGGCATGAGCCACAGTGCCTGGTGAGAAGCTGTTATTTTTGTCTCCATTGGCCATATCTTATACAGAAAACAGTGGACCTAGAACCATGTAGCACCGGCTGACCTGGCACTGTTAGCCAGGCACTAACAGAATCACATGGAAGAGGTCTCTACTCAGAATCATTCTCCCCACATAAGAAATACAGAACCACTAGGCTACATGGATGACACTGGAGAGAAGGGAAGTTAAGGAAGGTTCTTAAGCCCAAGGATTTTCTTCATAAGTTTTTCAGGGATAGGGGAGAACGCGCATCATTACAAAATTTAAAAAAAATGGTTTTTGCCAGGCATGGGTGGCAGTGGCTCAGACTTATAATCTTAGCTTAGCTATTCAAGAGGTTGCCGTCTGAGGAGGTTGCCAGCCTGGAAGGAAAATCCTCAAGACTCTTATTTCCAGTTAAGCGGGAAAAGGCCCGAAGTGGAGGTGTGACTCAAGTTGTAGAGTGCTAGCCCTGAGTTTAAAAGTTAAAGAAGAATACATTCAAGTTCTGAGTTCAAGCCCTACTACTGGCATGTGCATGCGCGCACGTGCGCACACACACACACACACACACACACACACGTTTTATTATCAAACCATAGTGACATGAACAGAAATAATCCTTTAAAGTGAAGAAATCAATTCATTTCACTACAAAAAGCCTAAGAAAATTAGGTTTTTAGCAAGAACAGTTTCCCAGTCATCGAAGCTCACTTCATCTTTCCCCTCCAGCTACAGGCTGAATGGGTGAAAGACATCATTTGAAAAAGACAAAAATCTTCCAGTAGAAAGCTCTACTTCAAGCCAGGGGCTGGTGGCTCACGCCTGTAATCCTAGCTACACAGGATGCTGAGATCTGAGGATCACAGTTCAAAGTCAGCCTGGGCAGGAAAGTCCATGAGACTCTTATCTCCAATAAACCACTAGAAAACCAGAAGTGGTGTTGTGGCTCAAGCGGTAGAGCACTTACCTTGAGCTGAAGAGCTCAGGGACAGTGCCCAAGTCCCACGACCGACCAAAAAAAAAAAAAAGCCCTACTTCAGAGGAACTGAAAGCAATGTCATCAGGGGAGAAGAGGACAAAAATATCACAACAATGTTCTGAGTATATGAGAGGGAAAAAAATGCAGAATTTTTATATAAGTCTTCAGTTTATGACAACTGGTTAATCTTACAGGTATTTCAAATAAATGAATTGATCATCCCAGGGAATCATAGATGAAAACTTATACCTTGTTTAATCATGGAAGCTAGCTTACTGAAAAACGGTATGTTATCATCAGGCTCATGTGAATACATTTTTACTTAGTATAAAGTATCTTTTAGCATTATGTAGCTCCCAAGTTGTTCAATGATTTTGCTATCGAACTTTTCTCACACTGGTGATTGTTTTCACTATGTAAGAAAAAAGAAATAACACTTTTAGTAGAAAATGACAGCCAGAAATAGTAGCTCATGCTTGTAATCCCAGCAACACATGAGGCAAAGAGCAGGGGGATCCAGAGGTTTGTGATCAGTGGGGACAAAAAAAGAAAATCAATAAAAGCTGGGGACAGTGCATGGGCCTGTCATCTCAGCTACAAGGCGGGAAACAGGATAAGTGAGGTCCAGGCTGGGACATAAAAGTGAGTATTCGTCTTAAAAATAATCAGAGTAGGCTGGGAAGGTGGCTCAGTGGTAGAGCGCTTGCGTTGCATGCATGAGGCCCTGGGTTTGATTCCTCAGCACCACATAAGCAGAAAAAGCCAGAAGTGGCGCTGTGGCTGAAGTGGTACAGCACTAGCCTTGAGCTGAAGAGCTGAGGGATAGATCCCAGGCCCAGAGTTCAGGCCTCATGACTGGCAAAAAAAAAAAAATCAGAGCAAGCTGGGCACTGATGGCTCATACCTGTAATCCTAGCTACTCAGGAGCTGAGATCTGAGGATCACGGTTCAAAGCCAGTCTGGGCAGGAAAGGGGTGAGACTCTTATCTCCAATTAACCATAAGAAAACCCTAAGAGACTTTGTGGCTGAAAGTACCTTGAACCAAAGAGCTCAGGGACAGCACTCAGTGCCAGAGTTCAAGCCTCACGACCAACCAAAAAAATCAGAGCAAAGAGATGTGGAGGCATGGCTCAAGCAGTAGAGCACCTGCCTATTAAGTACAAGGCCCTGAGTTCAAACCTCAGTACTGCCAAAAAAGAAAAGAAAAGAGAGAAAATGGCAATCATGAATGTAGCGTTGTTGTTGTTTTTCTTGGTAGAAATCAGAGTACTTAAAATAGAAGGCTTACCCAGAACCCAGACCATGATGAGCATCTCGGTCCATGTGAACTGGGTGGTTTTCACCCTGAAGATCTGCCTGGGGAAATCGATGACGGTGACATTGGGTGGTGTGGCAATGCCCTCGAACCTGTCAGAGGCGTTAAATACGAGGAGCCCCAGGAAGATGATGAAGGAGGCAGCATGGGCCACAAACTTCATGAAAGGGGCCCGTAGGATTTTCCCTAGCTGGGGAGGAGGGAGAGGGGAAAGGGTGAGGAGGTGGAGGGGGAGGGGAAGAGGGAGGACAGGAAGGAGGAGAAGGAGGGAAGGGGGAAGGGAGGAGGGGGAGGAGGAGAAGGGAAGAGAACTTGCTTTAGAAAATCAAGTTCCAGCTGACCGCTGGTGGCTCATGCCTGTAATCCCAGCTACTCAAGAAGCTGAGATCTGAGGATTGTGGTTCTAAGCCAGCCTAGGCAGGAAAGTCTGTGAGACTCTTATCTCCAATAAACCACCAGAAAACTGAAAGTGGTGCTGTGGCTCAAGTGGTAGAGTGCTGGCCTTGAGCTACAGAGCTCAGGGACAGCGTCCAGGCCCAGACAGACAGACAGACAGACAGACAGACAGACAGACAGACAGACAGACAGACAGACACACACACACACACACACACACACACACACAGAAAATTGAGTTCCCACTTCTGACAATCAACATGTAGGAACAAGGACATGGGTCCCTTTTGTACAGTCCACCCTGTTTCTGCAGAGCTATACATTGTGAAAACAGCTCTTTTTTAAAAAGGACCTCCTTCCTCCCAGATTCAATTCAATCAAACATAATTTAATATGTCTTCAAAATTCACTGTAAACACACCCAGTGTGACTTAGGAAATACTGTGCAGTCAAGTGCTTGTCTGGCAGTTATGGGCTGGTTCTGCCTCCTTTTTTTTTTAATGCAGATTTTGGGGCTTGAACTCAGGGCCTTAGTACTACCCCTGAACTTCTTTGCTCAAGGCTAGCAATCTACCATTTGAGTCACAGCTCTACTTCTAGCTTTGTGGTGGTTAACTGGAGATAGGAGGCTCATGGGCTTTCCTGCCCAGACTGGCTTTGAACCATGATCCTTAGATCTCAGCATCTTGAGTAGCTAGGATTATAGGCATGGGCTATGATACTCAGCTGTCCTACTCTTATTTTTATATGAAAGACTATGTAAATTCCAAGTTCTTAGGGCTTGGGGAAAAAACCTTGAAATTTGGTCTGTGTAATTCCTTCATGCTTTATAATTGAGAATGTTGTTATGAGTTATTATGTTATTATGACTCATCTAGGGCACTAAAAACATTCTGAAGAGTGAAACAAGTGGCAGGCACTTGTGGTTCCTGCCTGTAATCCTAGCTACTTAAGAGGCTGAGATCTAAGGATAGAGGTTCAAAGCCAGCCCAGGCAGGAAAGGCCATGAGACCCTTATCTCCAATGAACCACCAAAAAGCCAGAAGTGGAGATGTGGTCAAGTGGCACAGCATGAGCCTTGAGCAAAAATGTTCAGAGATAGCTCCTGGGCCCTGAGTTCAAGCCTCAGTACCAGCACATCCCCACACACATACAAAGTAAACCTTTATTACAATAAGACTAAATGTTAGCTCTCATTTCTAAACATGAAAATTTAATCATTGTATCTTGTATACTTAATAAGATAGAAAAATAATAGAATTAAGATCAATATTCCATTGGTTATTTGTACTTGTACTCTAAAAACAGGGAGATACAGAATAACTAAAACTTTTAAGTAGACTAACTTCATTAAAAGTCAGGTGAGTTTGGAAAATCATGCTATAGTACAAAAGCACATCTAAAAGCCAATGTGTAATTATTTTGAGGTCACTTCTTAAAGTCTCCTGGGATATACTGTCCCATATGTCTGGAGTTTAGCCCTCATATGGAGGGAAAAATAGTTCCATGTTCTAGCAAAAGTGAAAAACAGTCAGATGTTCACACCTATTATCCTAGCTACTTAGGAGGCTGAGATCATAGTTTGAAGCCAGCCTGGGCAGGGAAGTCTGGGAGACTCTTATCTCCAATTAACCAACAAAAATCCAGGACTAGACTTGTACCTTAAGTGATAGATCACCAGCATTGAGAGAAAAGGCTTAGGGACCAGTGCTGTGATCCTGAGTTCAAGCTCTACTATCATGCACACACACAGACACACGCAGACACACAGACACACACATACACACACACACTCACACAGAAATACATTCAGGCTTACATTCCAAAGATCTTAACTTCAAATAAATATGTAGACTCTTAATTTGATATCAGCCAAAGAACAAAGACTGCCAAGTATTTCTGGCATTGAACACGGACACACATGGACATGTTTTCCTTAGTAAAAAGAGAAACATTTACTCTGCCTTAACCCAGCTGAGAACAGGAAACTATTGGGGGGCTTATTCCTAGCACAAGTAATTCTTTTTGGTTAGTCTCAGGCCTTGAACTCAAAACCTGGGAGCTGTCACTGAGCTTTTTTGCTCAAGGCTAGCATTCTACTAGTTTGAGCAATAGTGCCACTTCCAGTTTTCTGGTGATTAACTGGAGATGAGTCTCAAAAGACTTTCCTGCCCAGGCTGGCAGTGAACCATGATCCTCAGATCTCAGCCTCCTGAGTAGTTAGGATTACAGGCATGAGCTACCAGTGCCCAGCTTCTAGCACATGTAAGTTTTTGATAATGGCCAAGTCTGTTTGGTCCAAAGGTTGATCTCTCTCTTCTATCTCTCTCTTCTCTCTCTCTCTGTATTGAGGCTTGACCTCAGGGACTAACACTTTCATTCTTTTTTGCTCAAGGCTAGCACTCTACCACTTGAGCTACTGATTCACTTCTGGCTTTTTTTTTGTAGTTTATTGGAGATAAGAGACTCACAGACTTCCCTGCCCGGGCTGGCTTTGAACTGCAATCCTCAGATCTCAGCCTCCTGAGTAGTGAGGATTATAGGCATGAGCCACTGGCACCCAGCTTCACTGCTCTTTTAAAAGTAAAGAAAAAAAAAACACCAGGTACTTATTTCAAACTTGATGTAATGTTTAACTGATTGAGCCGCCTTAAGAGACCAACTCTTGGAAAGATGAACTTTCCAATTCATTTTCTCCAGAAATTAATTATGTGAGTGGATTATGATTTTTGCCCTATGGCTATGCTCTCTCCTAATATTTATATGTTTTAGTCTTTAGTGTTTATGGATTTGAAGGATCACAAAGTACTTTTCCATAATACATAACAAAAGAACATAGTCATCTCACTTGCCCAAAATCGGTCAATTTTCTGCCTTCCAGAGCACTGAGCAAGTGGTCGCTGAGTTGAGAAGGATGGGTGGTCCCCAACACACATGGGCTGCCCAGGGGGGCAGACCCCTGTTGAGCCCAGGGGGCTGACAGATTTCCAGGGACATTCATAAGTAGCCTTGACTTGTTTTGCCAGAGCTGTCTCCGATTTAAACAAAACCAGATATTGAAATATAAAAACAGGATTAAAGGATATCAAAACAGCTCATTCTCTCTAGCAGTGTCCTTTATTAACAGTACAGAGTTGGCCTGACCTGTTTTCCTTGATTTGTGCTGGTCCCAGGGCTTGAAATTAGGGCCTGGGTGCTGTCCCTGAGCTTTTGTGTGCAAGGCTAGTGCTCTACCACTTTGAGCAACAGCGCCATTTCTAGCTTTTTGTTGGTTAATAGGAGATAAGAGTCCCATGGACTTTCCTGCCCAGGCTGACTTTGAATCATGATCCTCAGATCTCAGCTTCCTGAGAAGCTAGGATTATAGACCCGAGCCACCAACACCCCTATGTAGGGATTTTTTTTAAACACAATCAAATTTTCTTTATATGGGTAAGTTGAGAGAAGAACGGCAAGTAAACAAAATGACTAAAGCAAAAGGAAGCAATGTAAAAAAATCATTGAAGATACCACCTAAATTCTGTATATATATATATATATATATATATATATATATATATATATATATACACATATATACATATACATATACACACACAGAGTATTCACACACAGAATATATGCACACACCTATGCAAGTACTTGATTCTGTGTGTGTGTGTGTATGTGTGTGTGCCATTACTGGACATGAACTGATAACCTAGAGCTCTCACTTGGCTGTTTTGCTCAAGGACAACATTCTACCACTTGAGCCACACTTCCACCTCCAGGTGTTTGCTGGTTAGTTGGAGATAAGAGTCTTTCAGATTTGTCTACCTCTGCTGGCCTCAAACCTCCATCCTCAGACTGATCTCAGGCTTCTGAGCAGCTAGGATTATAGGTATGATCCATTAGCATCAGGCATTGTATATTTTAGAATCTTCTGGAAGAACAGAGGCCTAGAGGAACCTGCCACATATGTATGTGAAGACCTGGACATAGCATCCTTCTCAGTGTCCTTTAAGACACTGAATTCAGCCCAGATCCCAGGCGCTACTGCAGTCTAGCTGTGTATTTTTCTTTTCTCAGAGCGGATTGGCCCAGTTGATGTTTGGCTGGTTAAGCTATCAACAGACAAATGCTACTTTTCACTCAAGCTGCTTTTCTTCTTTTCCATCTACCATGGGGTTTTATCTGAAAAGTCTAAGTATTAGTCAGGTGCTGGTGGCTCATAGTAGCTACTCAGGAGCTGAGATCTGAGGGTCTCGGTTCCATGCCAGCCTGGGCAGGAAAGCTCAGGAGTCTCATCTCCAATTAACCACCCAAAAGCTGGAAGAGGAGCTATGGCTCAAGTGGTTGAACACTAGTCTTGAGCAAAATGCTCAGGGCCAGTGCCCAGGTTCTGAGTTCAAGCCCTGGGACCAGCAACAAACAAAAAAACCCAGAAGCCTTAATAGTCTATTCTAGTTATTCAAAATTCTTTCTCATCACTTCTCTGAGTGGATCCAGTTATTCAAAAGCAGAATCTGTGTCCTTGAGTGAATGAACATGCAAGCTTGAAGCTTTTGTTCTTTTCCCTTCTAAAGATACAGGCTCCACCAACCACAAAGGAAACAGGGGTAGGCAGCCAGTACCCTGCTGCATGGTGCAATCCAGTAACCCATGGCGAGGAATGGCAGGCCCAGGGCCACCACCAGCACCACCAGACACTTGATGGCTATGGTCTGCTCACGAAGGCCTGAGAGGTTCTCGTACCAGATCGTCAAAAGCTGCTGCTGGCAGTTGGGGTGCGCTACAAACTGTTGGGGGTGGGGGAGAGAGAGAGAGAGAGAGGGATGATCAGTCACATTTCTACTGTTGACAGTTCAGCTCCTGAATGCCTTCGCATCCAAAAGATATTAATCATACATATTTTTCCAGAGCCCAATTCTGGTGAAGCCTCCTTTGCCTCCCTTCTATTCTTCAAAATTGCTTCATAACTATTAAAGGGCTCAAGCTGCAGGGTAAAAATTCCAAACAAGAGGAAGCGCATCTGTGCAGCAGCTGTCTCTGCTAATAGGACACTTTCAAAGCCATGATAAAAAGCAAGTGACAAGTGACATCCATTCTCTCAGGTGCCAAACAGAAGAGACACAAATCGCAAGACCTGCACGTGTCTGCCCAGACAGCGTTCTAAAAAGGCCTTACCATCAATCGTCTTCCAAATTGTCCTTTCCCTCCCAACCCTAGCAAAACCTCAACTAGCAAGAGCACTCTCAGTGGAGAAAAGTAGGGTCAGTGTAGTGACCTTGTAACTTGAAAAGTTGTTTGCCTTTGCTCTTTACTGAAAACATTTTGAGTTCATTGTCCTGTTATATAGAGATCAGTCATTAGTGCCTGACCACAATATGGTACTATCTGTAAAAGTTGTGTTCTGGTGGAGTGTGTGTGTGTGTGTGTGTGTGTGTGTGTGTGTGTGTGTGTGTGTGTGTGTGTGTGTGTGTGTGTGTGTGTGTGTGTGTGTGTGTGTGTGTGTGTGTGTGTGTGTGTGTGTGTGTGTGTTCAGAAAGGGGAAAAGGAAAGACTCTCCATCCTTACTTGGTACTGGGGGAAAACACAGGCTTAGGAACCAGAGGCATGTGGGAGAGCTGGTTTGGAAGAGATTTAAGTCAGTTCATTTCATTTTTTTCTTCAATAAAATGGGGGAAGGGGAAGAAAGCCAGGCACTTATAATCCTAGCTGTTCAGGAAGCTAAGATCTGAGGATCCAGGTTTGAAGGTAGCCAGGGCAGGCAGGAAAGAACTCAGAGCATCCTTCCTGTTGGAGCTGGAACTGGCTGTCTGCAGCTTTATTTGCTCTGAAGAAATGTTCTATATGCTTTTTTATGTTCATTTAATGAATTTATTTTTTGTTTAGGTGGGACAGAGGACTCAAACCCAGGGTCTCATGCATGCTAGACAAGCAGTCTACCACTAAGCCACGCTCCTATCCCTGAAGAATTATTCTGTTTAGGCCCTACACACTCCCTTACTAGACCAGTTCTGGACCTGGTTCTAAGTGAAGTTTCTACAAGTACAGTTTATATAAGCTTTTTCTCCACTGCTCCTTATTCTGTGAGCTTTTTTAAAAAGTAAGGTTTTATTATCTTTAAGTAGTTCTACAAAGAAGTTAACATTCAACAGATCAGTTTGTAAGTACAGTACATTTATTTTGTCTGTGTGCCAGTCCTAGGGCTTCAACTTAGGGCCTGGGCGCTGGCCCTGAGCTTCTGAACTCAAGGCTAGCAGTCTATCACTTGAGTCACAGCTCCACTTCTGGCTTTTTTGGTGGTTAACTAGAGTTAAGAGTCTCAGAGATTGGCCTTGAACCCTGATCCTCAGATCTCAGCCTCCTGCATGGCTAGGATTACAGGTGTATGCCATCAGCACCCAGCCTCTGTGTGATTCTTGACACTCTGTTAAATTCTTGCTTTAATGAGTACTGGTCTGACACTATGATCTGGAAATGATACGGGAACATAAAGCTTGTCTTTGATGAATTTGCTTCATTCATTATGAATCCTTATGTAGTTCATTATGAATTCCACATTTTGCATTTTCATAATGTGGGAATGTTACTACAATTGTTCATTACATATTAGTTTATTAATGTACAGTGCTAATCACATGCATTATATCAAATCATCTTCAAATGGCTGAATAGTTGTATTATTACTGCCCTCATTTCACTAACCAACAGACCAAGGCTCAGAGGCCCAGTGACCTGTCCATCACTCAGGAAAACAGTGGCAATAGCAGGACTCCAACCCTGATAGACAGGCTGTAGTGTCTGTCTTCTCCACGGCCCAGAGCAAGAAGGGCAAGAGACTTAGCTATTCACTGACCAGCTCATGACGCCAGATCCATTTGCAGTTAGAGCTTATTTTGTCTCCATTCATCAGCTCATTTTCAAGTTCAAAAGAAAAAACAAACCACCCTCTCAGTTATATAACATGCATAAAAGTTTCAATCTCTGGATAACTAAGATTTTTTAATGCACTAAAATATTTCTACCATAATTATTGAATTATTGAAGAGTAATCTGAAGAGAAAAAACTTCACAGTTGGAGACCTGAGCTTGAACCAAAACAAAAAGGAAATAACCAACCTCTGGAGGAGGGCTCAGTGGCTCAGGTGGTAGAGTGTCAGTCAATGAACGAAAATGTCAGATAACTGAGTTCAAGCTCTTGTCTCACAGAAGAATAAAAAAGAAACAAAGAAAAAACTAACTAAAAATTTCAGTTTTGGCCCTTTCAGGACCAGTTTTATGACTATTTGACCTGAGAAACGCTGAATTGAAACTCCTTTGCACAACTGTTTAAAGGTAATAATAATTTTTAAAAAGAATCAACATGAGAACACCATAGCACCTTATTAAATGTATACAAGTAGCACATGTAGTTGTTAATTACACTACAATGAATGATTTCTTTTCTTTTTTTTTTTTTGCCATTTGTGGGACTGATTGCCTAGATGCTGTCCCTGACTTTTTCTACTGAAGGTTAGCACTCTATAACTCTGAGCCACAGTTTTCTGGCTATTAATTCGAGATGAGAGACTCACTGACTTTCTTGCCCTGGCTGGCTTCTAACTGTGATCCTCAGATTTCAGCTTCCTGAGTAGCTAGGATTACAGGCATGAACTGCCAGCACCCAGCTCCATTGCATACCTTTAATTCATTTAAGTCCCACAAAAACTCTGCCTTGATAAAGATATTATCAGGATTAATATTCTATTAGGAGATATTATGTTCCTTTGATATATGGAAACTAAAATTTACAGAAGATTCAGGACCGGTGCAAGGTCCCTTCTGGGTAATTATGTGGAAAGAATCAGACCTGACATATTTAACTTTCAACTTCAGATTCTAATTGTTTTTAGGAAGGAAAAAAACTTATCAGGGGTGTGTGTACACATGCACACAAGGCCTGCCTGCCTGCCTACCTGCACTCTACCACCTGAGCCACAATTGTTTTTTTGGGGGGTAGATAAGAATCTCATGGGCTTTTCTGCCTTGGCTGCCTTCCAATGCCAATCTGCTCAGCCTCTTCCTGAGTAGCCAGGATTTCATGTATGATCCACCAGTGCCTGGCTCTGATCCGTTTTTTCTTTTTTCCTTTTTTTTTTTTTTTGTTGTTGGTTGTGGGGCCTGAATTCTGGGCTTGGGCTCTGTCCCTCAGCTCTTCAACTGAAAGCTAGTGCTCTACCACTTGAGCCACAACACCACTTCTGGCTTTTATGTGGTGCTGAGGAATCAAACCCAGGGCCTCATGCATGCAAGGCAAGCACTGTACCACTGAGTCACCTTCCCAGCCCTCTGATCCGTTTTTAAGTATCCCAGACTAGGGAACTGATGGGTCACCTTACCTTTTTGACTTCATATTTAATGGCGAGTTTGACTCGACTCAGTGAAGCTTTGTGTCTGTGCACATCCAGGGGCTCGGTAGATTCTAGATCACCATTGAGAATGGCTTCTACCTCTTCCGAGTCCCTGCAAAGGTCCAGCACGCCTACTACAAAGTCTTTACATTGCATGGACAGCTTCCTGTAGTCATTCTAAAAAAAAAAAAACAAGAGGGGTTGTGGTTAGTGTAAAGAGTTTCCCCTAATCCAACAGGAAAGCTGTGTTTAGAGGGGATGCGGCATAAAAGATGTCCCTTCTTCTGGGAAGGCATCTGTAGCCTCAACCAGCAAGGCTGGTTGAGTTAGACAGGCTAGAGGTGACCCCTACTTCCTCACCCTACCCTCACCCAGGGGTTCTCTTCTACAACCTTCCCCATGCTGAGAGACAGTTTTGGAAATGGTAAGCCCATATTGCTTGTACATGGAATCTGAAAACAGCTGAACACAGAAATGAAGACTAGATTGAAGGTGAGAGAAGGAATGGAGAGACATTAGTCAATAAAGTTTTGGCCCACACCTGTAATTCTAGCTATTCAAAGGCTGAGATACGATCATCAAAGGTCAAAGCCAGACTTTGAAGGAAAGTACACGAGACTCTTCTCCAATTAACCGGTGGAGCTGTGGCTCAAGTGGTAGAGTGAAAGCCTTGTGAAGCCCTGAGTTCAAGCCCCAGTGTCAGCACACATACACACATAAGCACAAAAGTTTTCAAATCTGCTGTTAAAGGCATTGACCAAAGTTACAACAATATATTATATATTTTAAAAATATTAGGATTTTGTAGGTGCTGGTAGCTCATACCTGTGATCCTAGCTACTCAGGAGGCTGCAATCTGAGGATCAAGGTTTGAAGCCAGAGCAGGCAGAAAAGTTTGTGAGACTCTTATCTCCAATTAACCTTCAAAAAGCCCAGAAGTGGAGATGTGACTCAAGTTATAGAGTATCAACCTTGAGCTAAAAAGCCAAGAGAGCTTCACGTGCATGCATGCATACACACACACATACACACACACACATGCTAGGACATTTCAAATATCACATCACACACACACACACACACACACACACACATGCACGCAGAAAAGTGAAGTGACAAATGTGTTAATTCACTTCATTTAATCATTCCCAATTCATACATATATCCAAATATTGCATGGTATCATGTAAATACAATTATTATTGGTCAATTAAAATTTTTAACTAGATTTGCAACTCAGTGGTAAAAATTTTCCCAGTGTATGCAAGGGTCTGACTCCAATTCTCAGCACTACAAAAATAAAATAAATAAAAATTGAAAGTAGCTAGTCTAGCACCAGGACTCCTGAGTCCTGATCAACTCAGCAGTCTGAGATCTGATGATTGTAGTTCAAAAGCAGTCTAGGCAAGAAAGTCCATGAGATTCTTAATCACCAAAGAAGCTGGAAATGGAGCTCAAGTGGCTCAAGTGGTAGAGTATCAGCCTTGAGCAAAAGTAGCTTAGGGACAAAATCCCAGGCCCTGGGTTCAAGCCCTAGAACTGGCACAAAAATTAAAATATGCCCCCCAAAAAAGAGTGGTATACATTCAGGTTTTTGGTATATTATGTGATGTTGGTTAATCAGTTTTAGCTCTTTTGTACAAATAGAAAATAATTCATTCTACAGCTAAAATAGGACATGTTTATAATGGAAATTCTCCTACAATAACACTTTAACAGGGAAGATGGAGTATCTGTGAAAATAACATGCCCAGTGACCATTCCCTTGACATAGCTTCTGAATGGCCAGGGCTCAGAATCAACGGCACCTGTGTAGGTCAGATCATGCACATTCTCGGTTCTTTCCCTAAATATCCTGACAGAAAAATTGTAGGAAGAAGATGAAAAGTGGAATGGGAAGGACGGGTGAGAAGGTTGAAAGGGGTGAGATTGATCAAGAGGCACTGTGTTCATAAATTCATTTCATGAATGGCAACTACTTTATAAAACGACTTAAAGATAATCTGTGGGGATTTGGAGATTCTGACAGAAATTAGTATTTGAGATTTTATAAATGGTTTTATAAAAAGTGCAAAGAAGTAGATAGGTTCTCATTTATATAAAAAGTTGTGAGGTTCCCCTCCCCCTGGTTTGTCTTAAGTTTTTTTTTTTTTTAAATCAGTACAGAAATGTCTGATTATGTGTAATGGAATTCTCAAAGGTTACAGAATATCAATACCTAAGAGAAAAATTTCCAGGCCACTGGAACTAACACCTTGCTAAAAATAATCATCTGTGAATCTTTAATTCCATCTGCATATTTATAGAGTGCCATGGATGGTTGGACAGCATTCCCTATTACTTCCAGAATGGAACTGATTTCAACACCATTGGTTCCAGCTAAGGTTCCAATGGGCATTTCTTGGGAAAGGGCCTTTCTTTTGAAAACCCTGCATTTATGAATTTCACTAAAATTCTATCCCTTAAGACAGCCAGGTGGCTGGGTGATGGTGGCTCACGCCTGTAATACTAGCTACTTAGGAGGTTGAGATCTGAGGATGATGGTTCAAAGCCAGGTTGGGCAAGAAAATCTGTGAGACCCTTATCTCCAATTAACCAGCAAAAATAATCAATCAAGAGATTAATTAAATCAACTGGAGATGTGGCTCAAGTGGTAGAGTGCTAGCCTTTGAGTAAAAAGGCTCAGGAACAGTGTCCAGGTCCTGAGTCCAAGTCCCGGGGTTGCCACACACACAGACGTACACACAGACTGACTCTCTCTCTCTCTCTCTCTCTCTCACACACACACACACACACACACACACACACACACAAGTCAGCCAAGTAATTTGTTTAATTTGGCATACTTGAGGAAAATAGAATGCCTCATTTTTAACATGTCTGGATACTGTGTCTAACTAACCAAGTAAGACAGCACAGAAGAATATCTGGACTTCCACAAATCATATTGTAAAAGCTAAGAAGAACATAGAATTCCAATGATCTTCTCTTAAATGATTAATCTGATTTTGTGGGCAAAACCAAATCACCAACTCAAATAAACACAAAGAAGGAGAGTGACTGTTTACAAGGCTGCACAGACTAGAATACTTTCCATTTCAGATATCAGAAATTCAGATAAAGAACCATTACAGTTAATCCTTTTTCCCTCATAAGGGCACAGATATGATGAATAAAATTTCAATCTCTGGTCTCCATTCAAGTTGGTACATGCAACTGATAAAAATTAATAAAATGTTCAGGCTCTGGTTTCTGTGCAGTGTCAGTTAAATGTCCATCTGCCTTCCCTTCCTGAAAGACTAATGAAATATTTTGTTATAACTTACAGAAATATTAAATCCATGTCCATATAGCATACAGAAATATTAAATCATGTCCATCCCTTTGATGCAGCCTTTCAGAAGAAATTTCCTTGTTTTACTCTCCAATTCAGACTGTTTTCTAATAGGACAGCCATTTCTCTATTGATCAGAAAAAAAAAGCCAGGTACCAGAGGCTTTAGCCTGTCATTTTAGCTACTCAGGAGGCTGAGATCTGAGGATCAAGGTTTGAAGCCAGCTCTGGCAGGAAAGTTCATGATACTCTTAACTCCAATTAAACAGGAAAAAGCTGGAAGTAGAGGTGTGACTCAAATGGTACAGTGCCTGCCTTGAGCAAAAAGCAAAAGGATAGTACCCAGATTCTGAGTTTAAGCCGCAGTACTGTCGCGTGTGCGTGTGCACACGCACGCACACACGCACATACGTACACACACACACAAACACAATACATTCTATGATTTGAAGAGAACTTAGTTCTCACAGTAACATCTAAATAATGACTCAGTGCCTTTAAAAATCATCGTTTGGTAAATGGTCCAGTTTTAAAGAAAAGCTGTGCAATTTTTCACAATGAAAGATCACTTGAGAAACAAACAACCAAACAAATAAAAGAGTATCCTGCAAGTTACCAGGATAAGGCTCTGATTCCATAACAATTTTTTTTTTTTTTTGGGTCCGGTAGTGGGGCCTGAACTCTGGGCCTGGGTGCTGTCCCTCAGCTCTTCAGCTCAAGGCTAGCACTCTACCACTTGAGCCACAGCACCACTTCCAGCTTTTTTCTTTTTGCTTATGTGGTGCTGAGGAATCGAACCCAGGGCCTCAGGCATGCAAGGCAAGCACTCTACCACTGAGCCACCTTCCCAGCCCCCTCCATAACAATTTAGACAGATCTTGCTGGAAGATGTTTATTGCGCAAGTGCTGGAGATAACAGTGATTTATTTTTTAACTTTTTTGTTTTTGGCTCAATGCTGGGGCTCTACTACCCAAGCCATTGCTCCACATCCAGCTTGGTTGATTAATTGGACATAAAAATTGCAGTATTTTCTACACAGGCTGATTTCAGACCTTGATCCTCAGATCTCAGCCTCCTGACTAGCTAGGATTACAGGTGTGAGCCACCAGTGTCTGACAGGTGTAAAATTTTAGACATAATGCCTAGGATGAGTGGGACTTTGGCTACAGCCTCTTGCTTTCCTACTTGTAAATTGAGAGGTGTGTATAACCAGAGATCAGTATATTCCTACTCTCTCTCTATATATACATATATAGATAGATCTTTCTCTCTTTATTTATATATATCAGATCTCTATATAATATAGATAGATATAGATAGCTAAATATAGACCAAGATCTCTCGCTGTATGTATGTATGTGTGTATGTATGTGTGTGTATATATATATATATATATATATATATATATATATATATATATATATACCTTTTTTTTCCCTTACTGCTCTAAGTGACAGACGTTGAAACTGCTTTTCTACTTTAAGGAGAGGAAAACCGAGGCACAGAGAAGACAGATGGCCTGATATTTGTTTGCTTTGTTACAAAAAAATGTGCATCCTGCTCTCAGTCAGAATTAGCAAGTTTCAATTTGTGTTCTCCCAGCTTAATAAATGATGGCTTTGCCATCAGGGACATGCACACTATTAAAGCCAGAGTCCATCCTGTCCAATATTCTGTAGCCCAGAACAGCTTCATCCAGCATCTGCACATCAAAAGACTTCTTTAATAACCTGTCACTAGGCTGCCCTCCATTAATTTATCTAAATATATACAGTAGAATGTTTGACCTCTAGGAATAATGACTTTCATGTGCTTTCAGCTCTATGCCCAAGGTATTTCTGGGGGAATTTTGAATACTTCTCAGTGGTTTAGATGCTTCTCTGAAATAATCTGAGCTGTGAGATATGACGTATCGCAGGCCATCGATAAAACAAAATAGGTACTGTTGTCTGAAAAGGGGAAAACCCCACCATCTCTTTTTCACTAGAGAGTGTATTATCTATTCTTTTTTCTTTCAAAGCTGGTACTTTGAGCTTAAAGTCCCTATGGAGAAAGAAGAAAGCGAACACCCTGGAGCAGGAAAATTAGGTTACGTGCTTTCCTCAGAAATGAGTCTCATTTGCACTGCCTTTGCTAAGCTCAAGCATCTCTGAGTCAGCACTCTGAAAGCACCATAGTTTCAGTCTGTTGAAAGCCCTGACAGATAGGTGTGAGGAAAGATGAAGGAGGTGAGTGTTAGGCAGACAAGAAGAACCAGCACAGGTGAGAATGGGGAAAGAAAAGAAAAGGTACATCCAGCCAGGGGAGGGAGACACCCCCACCTCCATTTAGGGACTCAAACTTCTGAAGTGCTTTTGAGATCTGGGCGGATAGAGGATTGCGTGACTAAATGGCTTCCCACACAATCCAGAGATAGGGACTTCCAGGTTGATACGCCTTTTGCATACCCTCAAGATATTTGGCAGCTTCATGACTGTCCTCTAGAACTCAGTTGTGTCTTCTCTTTTTCACTGCTTGTGATACTTTCCTACCTTGGAAAGGTTAGCAGAGGTCCCTCTTCGAATCAGAAGGAAGGAGATTCTGAGCATGACTAATCTGGATTTAGCCAGCTTCAGGGGAAAACTATGAATAACAAATTCTCTCTCCATCACTTCACTGAGATGACTTCTATGAGCAAAATTGCAAACATCAGACATCACCATCTTTAGTGAATTATTGAAACATAATCTTCAAAAATATTCCCTTTTATAGAATTTCTTAAGCAGAGTTTCAATATATACAGAGCAAGATACGTAAAAACAAAGTTTCTGTGACATTTGAAAGAAATGCCAAATAAAATTAGAATTATGTTTTTATTACTGTGTCAGAAATAAAGAAGTGATATTTAGAGGCATTTTGCCTAAATATTTTTTTATCTTCTCTAACCCACTGGAAGTTCTCTCTTAAAGAAAATTTGTCTTGAAGTCCAAAGAAATATTTCTTTTTGAATAGCACATAATACATATCTTTAAAGGGTTCTGGATATAGAAAGTGTTATTTATTTTCTTCTTTGGATTTCCCTCTACATTTCCTCCCAAAATTGTACTATATGTAAGCTTGGCTTCCGTATCATAAAAAAAAAAAAAAACAATTTTGAAGGCTTTGCATGATCATTAGAGCTCTATACCGGGAGGACTCTGAGTGGGTTGGTATATGTCTTAGATATTAGGTGTGAATTCAAAAAGGAAAGAAAGGGGTTTTCCCATCATGTCCTTACAACTCCAGGGTAAAGATGATCTTCCTTAGCATGAGCTGTATTTCTAGTTATATTTGATGGGTTCTCACTTAACTATGAAAAATGATTAAGATGTCAAAGACAGAATGGATCATTTTTCTCTGATGGATATCAAAACACTGACAGGAGTCACCCTTCTGGAAAAGAATTCAAGGACTTGAATCCAGCACCTGTAATTATCTTAGGTGGGAAATGGGAGGTAACAACAGCCAATATCTTTGGACCAGAGCTACAAATAAAAATTTTATTCTGCCCTAGATAGGTCCAATAGCTAGATTCATTCACAATGCCTAGATGATGCAGCAACTTGGTAAAATAAATAAATAAAAATAGTCTATCATTAATGTACAATTTTCATAAAAGTGACTGGAGAGGATGTACAGGAAAATGTTCACTCATTAAATTAAAATAAAATCCATTAAAGCAAAGTCCTGTAGCTGTTCTTGTGTTTCTAGGTTGACCTTACATCTATGGCTTGGCACTCTGAATGTAATGTACATTGTAGAATTCTTTTCTTTTTTTGGTCTGAATCCTGGGCTTGAACTTGGACCTAATGCTTCCACTCATTGGCTAGTACTCTTCCAACTGAGCCATGTCTCTGACCTCTCATTTGTAGAATTCAAGGAGAGACATTGTGACATTAGTGAAAGAATTCTAATAGTATTTTATACTAGTCTTTTGCTTTTTTATTCTAAAGGACTACCACTGCTTGAACCTTTGAATAGGAGTTTTCAATGTTATATGGGGAGACTGGGTAGGGGAGGGTGCTCCAAGCATGGAGCTGATATTACAGCAGTCCAGAAACAGTGCACCCTCTCGGGGAAATAAAAACAAAACTAATCTCAGTTCTTTTTTTTTTTTTTTGGTCGGTCGTGGGGCTTGAACTCTGGGCTTGGGCACTATCCCTCAGCTCTTCAGCTCAAGGTGAGCGCTCTACCGCTTGAGCCACAGCACCACTTCCCTAATATCACCTCTGTGTTGGGTGTTACCCTAAAACTATAAATCTTGTCAGGAGCCAGTGGCTCACACCTGTAACTTAGGAGGCTGAGATCTGAGGATCGTGGTTTGAGGCCAGCTCAAGCAGGAAAGTTGGAGAGATGTCTCCAATTAACCACCAAAAAGCCCGGTTAAAGCTGTGGTTCAAGTGGTAACCCTGAGTGAAAAAAACAAAGGAACAGTGACCAAGACCTGAGTTCAAGCCGCAGTACTGGGACAATCCCCTTATTCTCCCCCATTCCCTCCAAAAAGCCCCCACAACAAAACACCTGTAAGTCAGGAGGAAGAATTTGGAAGGGTAGTTCACACTAAATCCCTCTAATTAACAGAAAAGGAAGTCTTGCCTTTCCTTAAATGTTCCACTCAAAACACAGAACACCACCAGAATAACAGCCCTGGGATCCAGCATGCACACATCCTCGAGAATTTATCTCGGGCTGTCTTTAAGAGGATCCCAAGTCACCATATCAGCACCGAATGCTGTTTCTCAATCCTGGGGATTCAAAATCCATGGACAAAACTAAGTTTGGGCCAACTAGGGGAAGGAAGGATCCTAGCAGCAGCGGGGGAAGCAGGGCGAGGGAGAGGGCACAGAGCCGCAGGTGGCATCAGGCAGAGCCGCAGGGGTGCAGGGCGCAGATCAGCAAGGGGGCATTGGGCAGAGCCGCAGGGGCGCAGATCAGCAAGGGGGCATCGGGCAGAGCCGCAGGGGTGCAGGGCGCAGATCAGCAAGGGGGCATCGGGCAGAGCCGCAGGGGTGCAGGGGTGCAGATCAGCAAGGGGGCATCGGGCAGAGCCGCAGGGGTGCAGGACGCAGATCAGCAAGGGGGCATTGGGCAGAGCCGCAGGGGTGCAGGGCGCAGATCAGCAAGGGGGCATTGGGCAAAGCCGCAGGGGTGCAGGACGCAGATCAGCAAGGGGGCATTGGGCAGAGCCGCAGGGGTGCAGGGCGCAGATCAGCAAGGGGGCATTGGGCAGAGCCGCAGGGGTACAGGACGCAGATCAGCAAGGGGGCATTGGGCAGAGCCGCAGGGGTGCAGGGCGCAGATCAGCAAGGGGGCATCAGGCAGAGCGGCAGGGGTGCAGGGCGCAGATCAGCAAGGGGGCATCGGGCAGAGCCCCAGGGGCGCAGATTAGCAAGGGGGCATTGGGCAGAGCCGCAGGGGTGCAGATCAGCAAGGGGGCATCGGGCAGAGCCGCAGGGGTGCAGGGCGCAGATCAGCAAGGGGGCATTGGGCAGAGCCGCAGGGGTGCAGGGCGCAGATCAGCAGGGGGGCATCGGGCAGAGCCCCAGGGGTGCAGGACGCAGATCAGCAAGGGGGCATCGGGCAGAGCCCCAGGGGCGCAGATTAGCAAGGGGGCATTGGGCAGAGCCGCAGGGGTGCAGATCAGCAAGGGGGCATCGGGCAGAGCCCCAGGGGCGCAGATCAGCAAGGGGGCATCGGGCAGAGCCCCAGGGGCGCAGATTAGCAAGGGGGCATTGGGCAGAGCCGCAGGGGTGCAGGGGTGCAGATCAGCAAGGGGGCATTGGGCAGAGCCCCAGGGGTGCAGGACGCAGATCAGCAAGGGGGCATTGGGCAGAGCCGCAGGGGTGCAGGACGCAGATCAGCAAGGGGGCATTGGGCAGAGCCGCAGGGGTGCAGGGCGCAGATCAGCAAGGGGGCATTGGGCAGAGCCGCAGGGGTGCAGGGCGCAGATCAGCAAGGGGGCATTGGGCAGAGCCGCAGGGGTGCAGGGCGCAGATCAGCAGGGGGGTATCGGGCAGAGCCCCAGGGGTGCAGGACGCAGATCAGCAAGGGGGCATCGGGCAGAGCCCCAGGGGCGCAGATTAGCAAGGGGGCATTGGGCAGAGCCGCAGAGGTGCAGATCAGCAAGGGGGCATCGGGCAGAGCCCCAGGGGCGCAGATCAGCAAGGGGGCATCGGGCAGAGCCCCAGGGGCGCAGATTAGCAAGGGGGCATTGGGCAGAGCCGCAGGGGTGCAGGGGTGCAGATCAGCAAGGGGGCATTGGGCAGAGCCCCAGGGGTGCAGGACGCAGATCAGCAAGGGGGCATTGGGCAGAGCCGCAGGGGTGCAGGACGCAGATCAGCAAGGGGGCATTGGGCAGAGCCGCAGGGGTGCAGGGCGCAGATCAGCAAGGGGGCATTGGGCAGAGCCGCAGGGGTGCAGGGCGCAGATCAGCAAGGGGGCATTGGGCAGAGCCCCAGGGGTGCAGGACGCAGATCAGCAAGGGGGCATTGGGCAGAGCCCCAGGGGTGCAGGACGCAGATCAGCAAGGGGGCATCGGGCAGAGCCCCAGGGGCGCAGATCAGCAAGGGGGCATTGGGCAGAGCCGCAGGGGTGCAGGGCGCAGATCAGCAAGGGGGCATTGGGCAGAGCCCCAGGGGTGCAGGACGCAGATCAGCAAGGGGGCATTGGGCAGAGCCCCAGGGGCGCAGATCAGCAAGGGGGCATTGGGCAGAGCCGCGGCGGGGCCGCGCAGCGCTCACCTTAAACTCCTTCTCTATGTTGGCCAGCTTGGCCAGCTCATTGCTGAGCTCCAGGGCGGTGAGCACGGGGTCCTCGCTGGACAGGGACAGGTAGGCCGGGCTGGCCAGCCCCTTGTAGGCGTTGATCCGGGAGCGCGAGTGGCTGAAGGAGTCGTGCCGCTGCTTCTCGGCGCACTCGGCGCACTTGCAGAAGTAGTCGTGCGGCCGCTCGATGCGCGCGCCCTTGAGCAGCAGCATGTGCACCACCTCGTACTTCTGGCAGTGCGCCGCCAGGATGATGGGCGTGATGTCGGGCGAGAAGCGCGTGCCGTCCTCGTCGTACGCGTAGAAGTCGTCGTCCTGCAGCTCCTGCTCGCAGGGGCTGAGCGTCAGGCGCCCGCTGGCGGCGAAGGCCGGGTGGCTGAGGATAGCCTCCACGATGCGCACGTAGCCCTTGCTGATGGCCAGCAGCAGCGCGTCGCCGATGCGCGCCAGGTTCTCCTTCTTGAGCAGCAGCTCCGTCACCTCCAGGTGCTCGTTGCCCACGGCCAGCTGCAGCGCGTTCTGCCCCATGTAGTCCACGCAGTTCACGTTCAGCGTCCGCGATTCCTCCAGCATCTTGCGCACCACGGGGATGTTGCCGTACTCCGCGGCGTCGAGGAAGCGCTCCTCCTCCGCCGTGAGGCTGGTGCCCCGGTCGTTGAACATGAACGCGGGGCCCCGCACCGCCTGGCGCCGGCCCTTCTCCCGCATCACCGTCGTGCGCCTCAGGGATGGACTGCCCTCCATGGACCTGGTCGGTAGCGAGGATACAAAAATAAACCAACTGTAGGAGGAAGGGTGCGGTGGGGTTGGGTTGGATGGCTTCCGTCCGCCGATCTGAGACCGGTTTCTGGAGAGCGCTGAGCCCGGACGGTGGCGGGGGATGAGGACCGTCAGGGCGGTCGTTAAGGGCTCAGCCCAAATGGATCCTGTGGCTAAGCTTGGACTGCAGGCCCTCCAGCGGGGAGCCGGCAGTTCCCACACAATACGGCATTCCGATGGACTAATAAAACACATTTCCACACACCTACCCCTCCCTAGGCACCCAGGTGAGGCTGTGCTACTACTGCTCGTGGAGATAGTGTGACTCCTGTCTTAAAAGTCTTGGAAATGTCATTCTTTCTGATGGAGGCATAGAATTCCATTGTGTATATATACCACATCTTCTTGATCCATTCATCTACTGAGGGGCATCTGGGTTGGTTCCATATCTTATGCCTCCATCAGAAAGAATGACATTGCCCCATTTGTTAGGAAATGGAAAGGCTTGGAAAAAATTATATTAAGTGAAGTAAGCCAGGCCCAAAGAAACATAGGTCCCATGGTTTCCCTTATTTGCAATATCTAGTATAGGTATGAGTCAAGCGGAAAAAGTCAGAGAATGTGATGTTAGGAAAACGAACCCTTAAATATGTATTTTAATGTTTTTGTTTCTTTCATGCATGTGTTTCTAACGCATTTATAAGATTATTTCTTTGTTGCTTTGTATGTCCCTCCCCCACAGTGTAACCCCCGCTTTCACTATATTTGAAGTCAGTATAACATGTGGAGGAGACAGGGACAAACAAGTCGTTTAAGGATTCAGGTGGACCTGTTGCAACAATGAGAAGTACAAAATGTCATGTCAAAACCAGCTTTACAATGTCGGTGGGGGGGGGGAGGGGGGGGTATGATTGGGTGGGGGGGGAGGGGGGAGGGTGGGAAGGGAGGTGAAGGGTAAACAAAGGAGGAGGCTGCAATGCTTGGTAAGAAATGTATGCATTATCCTGACCATGTAATTGTAACCCCTCTGTACAGTATGTTCTCAATTAAAATAAAATAAAATTTAAAAAAAAAAAAAAGTCTTGGAAATAGAGGCTAGTGGGTACTTGCAAGCAAGCACCAAGCTTGAATGCCAAAGGAAGTTATTTATTGGTTTCAAGAATTAGGACAGGACAATCTTCTCAAGTCATTTGTACACTTTGGGCAGATGAACCTCTCATTCTCTGTCTCCACACCCCCCCCCCCCCCCCCCCCCCCGTCTTTTTTCCTTCTTTATCTATTTGCCTGCCTGCCCGTCTCTCTCTGTCTCTGTTTCTCTCTGTGTCCCCCCCCCCCACAAACACACCACCCCTGTATTTAGGCTAAGTATTATCTTGCAATATTGCCTTAACTTTTCTCTTAAGGAGACCTCCTTCCTCTTCCAATTATTTTTATTTTACAAGATTCACCCTTTTAACTACCCTGAGAAAATATAGCAAATATAAGATTCAATGAACAATCCAGGCTTACTTTCTGAAAAGGAACCAAATCTTTGCAATTAGGATTAATTACCGATGTTACACATTTGCCTCCTGAGCCACAAGAATATGTTTTAAGGTGTAGCTTAAACATCACTGGTGTATTAGAGCCTAGTGTCAGTGCCTCAGCCTGTAATCCCAGCTGTTTGGGAGGCTGAGATCAAAGGATTGTAGTTCCAAGAGAGGGCAGAAAAGTCTAGAGACCCCATCTCTAATTATCCAGCAATATGCTAGACTGGAGATGTGGCTCAAGTGATAAGAGTGCCAGCTGTAAGACTAGCAATCTTGAAGCTATAAATTCAAGCCACAGTACTGGCATAAACACACACAAAAAGTTTTATAAATGGTTTTGATGTCTTGACAATTTTTAATGTAGGTATTTTTGGCAACCATTACATTTTAATCTTTCTGCAAACAAATTCATTGTTTTTGACTTGTTTTTAGTGAGAACAGATGTGTCATGGGTAGAGCAGATGTGGAACGAGGCCTGTGGAAAGTGGTGTATGGGGACACAGAGTCAAGACTCAGGCTGGGTAAGTGTGTGTAGGAATAATGATGATTTTTAGGTAGACAAAACTTAGAAAATAGCATTCACCTAAGCATACAAAAGAGAATTTCAAACTCTATGAATCTTGTAAATATGATAATGTGTTTTATTAATAGCAATAACACTCACTTTATTGGGTCAAAATATTGTTCCTCTTAAGCTATAAACTAAACTGGTGCTAGTGGCTCACATTTGAAATCCTAGCTACTCAGGAGGCTGAGATCTGTAGTTTGAGGTTCAAAGCCAGCTGAGGCAGCAAAGTCTAGGAGCCTCTTATGCCCATTTCACCACCAAAAGCTGAAAGTGGAAGTATAACTCAATTGGCAGAACACCAGTCTTGAGAGAAAAAAAACAAGCAAGCAATTGAGAGAGAGGCCCTGAGTTTAAGTACCAGTCTGAGGTGTGTGGAGGGGGAGGGGGGGGAAGCCGGGACTCTCAAAATGGCTAGAATTTCCTTTAGTCATAGATAATGTCATTATATTATGAAAGCAAAAAATAATTGCCACTGATAATCTGTTGACATTATCTATGACTAGCAGGATATACAACAGGAGAGAGTGTACACGCCAAGTATATCTACATACCAAACGTAAGCGTATAATCTAATGGATTAGTTTAAGGAAGGGCTTTTCTTTAATTCAATGATACTAACCTACAAAGAAAGCTATTTATAAAAAAAATCCACTATTTCTCCTGAAAGAGACTTGAGACTATTAGAAAACATTAGTGTCATGACTTCTTAGTATTTTTCACTTTTTAAATACATTTTTATCTACTCAAGGTATGCACCATGAGGATGTGTAGTTATGTATATGTATAGATACACATCTATACACATGTATCTATATACATATATAGATAACAAAGTTTTAACATATTGATCAGCTGATATGGTTACTGTTTTTTCATGACAACAGCTGAAAGCTACTAATTCAGTCTTGATTCTAATTTATAGAACTGTTTTATGACCTAGAATCCTGATGTTGTACATTAAATTTGATTACATTGACATTTTTTCTTAATATTCTTTCAGAATCTTGACTTTATCATAGCACACTTGAACTGAAATGTTTGATTTTAGTCATGAGTCATTTTTGTCTTTAAATGATCCTAACACTGAGTTAAGTGTGAATCTGTTTTCTCAATCATAACAAACTATACTGTGATTTTGAAATAAAAGAGCCAACTTAATGCTACTTATCTTCATGGTGCATCCACAATAGGATTCTTTTTTTGGGGGGGGGGAGGTCTGGTTGTGGGGCCTGAACTCTGGGCCTGGGCACTGTCCCTCAGCTCTTCAGCTCAAGGCTAGCGCTCTACCACTTGAGCCACAGTGCCACTTCCAGCTTTTTTTCTTTTTGCTTATGTGGTGCTGAGGAATCGAACCCAGGGCCTCAGGCATGCAAGGCAAGCACTCTACCACTGAGCCACCTCCTCAGCCCCAACAATAGGATTCTTTTTGGTTTGTTTTACTTTGTTTTGTGTTGGTACTGGGGCTTGAATTCAGGACCTGGATGCTGTCCCTTAGCTTTATCCCTCAAGGTTGGACCTCTACTACGTTAGCCACAGCTCTTCTGGCTTTTTGCTGTAACTGGATATAAGAGTCACACATACTTTCCTGCTCAGGCTGGCTTCAGATCTTGATCCTCATATCTCAGTCTCCTGAGTAGCTAGGATTACAGTCATGAGCCATTCGTGCTTGGATTTTTTCCCTTCTCCTTTTAATTTTCCTTATAGTAATAAGATCAACTATGTTAGCACACTGATGTAAATGGCATAAATCAACACTGAATTCATCCACAACTCCATGAACTCAGTCCCAGGACCAGGCACTCTTAAGAATATAGCATTTCTGGGGCTGGGAAGGTGACTCAGTGGTAGAGCGCTTGCCTTGCATGCTCAAGGCCCTGGGTTCAATTCCTCAGCACCACATAAGCAAAAAGAAAAAAGCCGGAAGTGGCGCTGTGGCTCAAGAGGTAGAGCACTAGCCTTGAGCTGAAGAGCTGAGGGACAGTGCCCAGGCCCAGAGTTCAGGCCCCACGACCGGACCCAAAAAAAAAAAAAGAAAAAAAAAGAATATAGCATTTCTAGCTTGAGAAATAAGAAAGGAAGGGGGGTGAATGGAAGACCATGTTGAACTCTAGTGATACAAATATTAAAATAATTTCCCCAGGGATTTCCCTACCTTTCAGATCATTATCTAATGGGTCTACTCATTCACTGCAAAAGCACATTCATTGTGTAGGAACCTATTTCTAATTAAAAACGCAAGCATGTTAACAGCCTGAAATCACAGGATCAGTATGAAGCTATATAGGTGACAGCTCTGGACTAAATTGTGTGCTTCCAAAACTTCTATGTTGAAGCCGATCGCTATGGGATGGTATTTCAAGATGGGGCCATTTTTGAAGATCATTAGGCTTAAATGAGGTCCCAAGGTAGGTCTCTATGATGGGATGCGGAGATACCCAGAGCTAGTTCCTGCATCCAAGAGTACACACTGGGATGTCAGCGAACAGTCAGCGGACATGAGGTTATGTGAGGACACGCAGCCTCCAGCCAAGGAGACTCTCACCAAAAAATGATCCCTGCTTGAACACTTCCAGCCTCCACAGCTGGGAGAAAGGACATTTCTGTGTTAAGCCCCATGGTCTACGGTGTTTTGTTACTGCAGAGGGACAACAAATACTCCTGCATGTTTCATATGAATGGATGAAACATGCAGATCTCCAAGAACTATTGGGGAGCACCCTGGGAACCTTCAAGCTCTACTCTGTTCAGAGGCAAAAGTCTAAAACTCTCAGTTCTCCGAATGTTGCGATGATTTGCCTGGCTTCTCCAGTGTCACTGACCTACCTGCCCCAGGTCATCCACAGTACCAGTTAACAAGCATACTTTGCAGTCTCATTTCAGAAGCATGA